CGTCAGTCGAGAGCAGCCAGGTGGAGTGAGCTGCACAGGACGGACACGGTGTGGAGGGGCACGGCGCTTCCGAGCCTCTCTGTCCCCCACCGTACCAGGTCTGCCCGTGCTCACCGCCCCGGAAGCTCTGAATCCTCATGCTTCTGTGGGGACTTCATCACCGAGCTGTGATCAACTCACCAGCCACTGGTGACTGGTCCCCTCCAGCCCCTCGCCCCTCCCTGGGGGTCAGACTGAAAGTTCCATCCCTTCAATCACATGGTTGCCCTGGCAACCAGCCCCATCCTCAGGTGAGGTCCAAACATTTCCTCCCTCACAGAATGAGAGACACCTTGGTCATTTACGATATTCTAAGCATTTTTGGAGCTTGGTGCCAGAAATAGGAATAAGCTCCCAATGTCTTATTAAAAATCACAACATCACGTTACACAGAAAAATGCATGAAGCCCCTCTCACCCTGAATAAGGGGTGAGCAGAGCTGTTGGCTCCCAGGTGCTCTCAGCTGTCTGGGCTCCTGGGACGAGGACAATTGTCCACAGGTGGAACCACGTCACAGCAGCAGCCCATCAGCCCAATTTCACCAGTTTTAAGAAGCAATTACCATCATAACCAAAAATGAAGGAGTTAACAGGCTTGTTCCCTCTGCCATCTGTCTCCTCTTCACCACCTGGCGTTGAAGGTCTACTGGGAAGCCGAGGGTCTTCCCAGAGCCCCAGGGTTATTTTCAAACTAAGGACCACAGTGATTAGAGCAGCATTTGAGCACCTACTATGTGCTGGGCTGTAGGTGATTGTGGACATAGAGGCCCCTATTTTTCCTTTCCCAGGAAAACTTTTCTCCATGTGCACACCCCTGTGTTCTGGGGGACAGGGTTCAGGACAGCAGGGTGGACCCCCGGACGCAGAGGCTGAGGCAGACAGGTGCCAGGTGCCTCCTGTCTCCACCCTCCCCCATCAGCCCCCGAAGGCCTCCCTTCAGCTCTTTGCTCTTCATTCACATTGGCTCCTAACGCAAAACCCCCATCAACACCAAACCTCGTTCTCGGCACAAAATCACGGCCCCCAGACCAGACACCGACGAGCCGTGCTCTCCAGCCTACGTCCGCGGAGACGCACGGGCTGTGTCGCAACAGGGCAGCCCCACCGCCCCCTCAGCCGCGGCGAGACCAGGACTGGTCGACTCCTCCTCTCCTCCCAAGCCCGAGGGAGTCCTGTAGAGGTCGCTGTGCAAGTCTCGACACAGGACTCCTACTTTTGAAATCCCCATGATTCAGCCCCTTCACTTGGCAATCAGGTCCCTCGTTCATCCAGCGGAATCCTAAAGAAAGCCCTAGAAGAAAAGCACCAAGGACGCCGCGAGAGGCCGTCCACCAACCTCCCTGTTTCATCCAGAATCCTACGCGTTTAGCAATGGGAACAAGGACAGAGCAGTACTGTGGGCAGTCACCTCATTTCTCATGTGGTTGCAGAGGGGGTTCTAGTCTTCGAGAGTCAAGGTTCATCGGGCTGGCCAGAGAGTCCGTCAGGATTCTCCGCATGATGGCTTTAGTGGTACTTAGTTGTCTTTAACTCCCTTCGAAATGGTTTTGTTAGATTGTTTGTGACAACTGTCATATCAGCATGCATAAAAACACTTATTAAAATTAGTGAAATTTTGTGCAGCCATTTTAATATTGAGATGGAAGAAAACATTTTGGCGCACTGTGCTTTATTATTTCAGGAAGGGTAAAAACACAACTGAAATGCAGAAAGATTTATGCAGTGGATGGAAAAGGTGCTGTGACTGATTGAACGTGTCAAGAATGGTTTGCGAAGTAAACATTGTGGCCAAATAATCCTTTGCTGTGGGCTGTCTTACGCATTGGAAGCCATTTAGCAGCACCCCTGGCCTCTATGCACTAGAAGCTATAGCAGGAAATAGCCAACATACTCAAAACATCCAAATCAAAGTTACTGGTGAAAATTAAAAATGTGTCTTGTATATTACAGAAAAAACGTAAGGGACTTTTTGGCCAACCCACTACTTGGCAACGAAGACCTAGGCATCCTCTGCTGCGCCCTAGTGGTGGATTTGGGACATGACAGGCTTATTGTGCAGGCTCCCCAACCAGGTGGTGCTCAACCCAGCATGTTCCTGATGAGTGGGAGTTAAAACTATTCGATGATTTTATTACTTATATCCGCAAATAGCCAAAATTCTTTTAACATGGAAATCATGTTGGAGAGGAAGAGAGGGACACAGCACAGCGAAGGCCACACTGCCAGCCCGTGTTGCCCCGCAGAGACCCAGGCCCCCAGGCCCCGGTCACACAGCCACGCAGACACACGCCACGCGTGAGGTGGGCACGCCGCCACCTCGACCGCAGCTCACGTGCACCTCAGACACGCCCGGCGGGAGCGGCTACAGGCGGCCCCCAGTCAGCACGCGCCAGAGACGCCACGTTCGGCTCCAGGTGTTTTCACTATTTTTTGAAAGGTAATCTTCCTTTCACGTGGAGACCTTTAATTCTGGAGATGGCGCCGCCTGTGCTGTGTCTCGCTCCCTGCGGTGTGGAAGTGCCCCCTTCCCGCGGGCGAGGGCGGCTCTGTGCCCGGGCGTGGCGCCCGGCAGCTTCTCTGTCATCGCAAAGCGTTGCATGAGCTGGGCCAGCGCGGGCGCGACCCGAAGTGCTGGTAACAGGAGTGGGTTTGAGCATTTGTCAGGGAAGGGCCGTTTCCACGCGCATCTCTCTTCCTGTGCGGACACGAAACTCAAGAATGGCGGCTGCGCTCGCCCCGAGCCGCCCGCCCTCGGTGGGAGGAGCCGCTCCTCACGCTCCGCCCGCCGGGCCACGTGGGCGCCTGGAGTAACAGCTGGTCGCACTGAGCCATTTTCTCATCTTGGAAACAAGGTCATCATTTCATTCTTTGTTTACGATTTGCCAAATCACACTGCTACTTATTTGTGACTTTTGCATAGCTATTTCTTAGTGATATTAGTCTGAGTTTTTGTCCAATTTGGGGACTGATGAAATCCAATACTTGCTTAAACATACTGGGAACTTTGCTTTTCTCTGGGACCCTGTGGCCGTTCAGAGGGGCCTGGAGCTACCCACTGAAAGCATCACAGGACCCATCTGGGCAGCACCTGGATCCCGCTCGCAGTTAAAACTCAGGCTCTGCTCCTGGTTTCTTCCGCTGTCGGGTGTCAGGTGCATTAATCAGCGTTCTCCAGAGAAGCAGCCCAGGGGGTAACGCAAGTAGATTGGAAGAGAGTCACGGTGAGGGACTGGCCCCCCGAAGTCAGAGCACTAAGTCCCGCCCTCCCTCTGCCTGCCCCCGACCCCGGCCCCCGGCCCCGCCCCGCCCCGCACGGACGGTCTGCTTTGCTGGTCAGATGCCAATCCATCCCTTCTGGAAACAGCTGCACCTGCTCAGGCCCCAGTCACGTGGGGGTCACTGTTACTCTGGTCTCAGTGGTCATTTTTAGTCATTTCCAGTTAAATAAAATTATTTTATTCGGATTTCTGCATTCACTTACATAAAATTAGATGACGTTTTCTTATAACTATTTCCTCCCTGCTAATCTCCCTAATGCAGTTTTGCCCCCAGTATGTGTGGCGGGGGGTGGGGGGAGGCGGACTCCCCTCGGGCAGGAGAGGGGAGCTTTGTCCAACCAACAAGCAGGTCTCCAGGAGCAGCTGGGCTTCCCAGTCAACTCGGTCTCTCCCATTTCCCGGAGACAGTGTCTGTCCACAGGACAGGCCGCCCCAGACACCCGTCCCGGGGCCCCAGTGTCGAACCCGCGGCTCTGAATCAGGGTTCCCAGCACCCGCTCCTTGGGTTCCACTCACCAGATCACCATTCATTGTCAAAGGATGCCACTCGCGAACAGCCCGGTGACACCCCAGAGGCAGGGGCAGGCGGAGCGCCCGTGCCGGCCTCGGCCACTGTCCTGGAACTGCCCCGGCTCCCAGACTCCTTCGGTTTCCTTGGCGGCTTCCTTACGTGGGCAAGATTCCCTCCCTGAGCACCGTGATGGGCTCCACCTGCAGCCCTTCCCCTCCCAGAGGTCAGGGGTGGGAAGACACGTTCTCCCGGCCACGTGTCCCGTCCTCAGGTGCTTCCCCCAATCACCTCATCAAGACTCAGGTGAGGTGGAACAGGCTTTGCTCAGAACAAGGAGACCCCGTTTCACCTTTGTGGGCTGAAGCCACTTCAGGAACAGGGGACAGCAGATGCTACCGCTGCTGTGACCACTCAGGAAATTCCAGGTCCCGGCTCCTGTCAGAGCCGGACGGGTGCACATTCTCACCTGGTGCCCGCGTCCCGCAGCCCCTCCTGTTCTGGTCGGGGCACACTGCTGCCCCCGCAGCTGTGGTTCCCGTCGGAGGCAGTTACCTGGTTGTTAGTGCAAAGGCAGCTCTTCAATGTGGTTTCTGTGTTCACTGGTTTTCCTTCTCTAAGGCGTCCGCTCCGTTCACACCCGTCCCAGTGCGTCGGCTTCCCGGGCACCTGGTGCGGGTTCCCTGTCCCGCCACCCGGCCCGAGCCCCACGGCCCCGGGGGAGGCTTAAGGTTCCTTGTGGCCCCTCCTCTGCCATGTCCTGTAATTTCTAACATGTTAGGTTTACAGAGTTTTTAGCGGAAGATGTGAAGTTGGAAAACTAAACTGGGAAGCACTTGCAAGTGTCTCTGAGAGCCGTGGTCTCGGGGCAGAGCTGAATGGCCCTCCCAGGAGGCTCTGCACCCCCAGCCCCCAACGCCCCAGCTCCTACTTCTCACTCACCAGAGACCCCAGAATGAAACCTTTGCTTTTCTCCTTTTGCATAACAACCACCACAAATGTTCTCTGAATGCAGTGACCAAAATCCCAGGCCTCAACCAACAGTTGGGGGCAAACAGCACATTCAGTCACAACTCAGAAACGGCAGCGGAGCGATTTGTCTTCCCCGTGGCCTTCACCGGCTCCATCTCGTCTCCTGAAACCAGAGGTCAGCGGTAAAGGACAAGTCCCTGAGGCTGCAGTGAACACTTGTACGTTTTATTTACTTAAATCAGCATTGTACACGTTGCAGCTATGTGTTGTTAGTGTTGTATTTTTCCCGTTAACTAATACATGCCCTCATAGATATATTCAGTTAGTGTTATCACCATGGAAACAAGATGCCGAGTCATCAACTGAAAATTCACTTCTTCTCACAGTTTTCAAGTTTTTTGATTACACAGCAAAAATCAAAACCAAAAGGAGGTGAATAACCGTTAAGTTGTTACACAGACGTCATCTGCACTGCAAATCACACGACAGAAACGCTTTCTGGGGCCCAGGGAAGGGCTCACGAGAGGCCACCGCGTGTCCAGGCCTCGCCACTGGCCTCTCACTTCGGCTGCAGAGGACGAACTTCCAACCCCACAGCCACGAGGGGCGGGAGGCACAGCGTGGGGGCCGTCCCCAGGACATGCCCTCCTGCCACGCTCCCTGAAGTGACTGAGTGGCACTGTGTGTCTCGAGGTTTGTGACATTGGGAGCAAGGATTGGTTTTGCAGGAAAAGACCGGCTGGAATCGGGAATGCGCCATCAGGGAGGATAGACTCTGGTGTTTGTTCTTAAATTGCATCTCCATTGCATATGCTTTTCTTTAACAAATAATGTCCAAAACGTATACTGTTTACAGGAATATATTTGTGAGTAAATGTGATTAAAATGTTGCGCAGCTCTGACCACTGGAAGAATGCAGACCGGGGCGTGGGGACCACTCAGGTGACGGGAGGCCCTGCTTTGAAATAAACACACGGGAAATGCCCAAATGCACCTCAGGGTTCAAATAAATAAACCAAAACTTTTAACCAAACCCAAATTTTTAAGGACTTCTCCATCTTGTCTGCCATCTTGTCCATCTCACTGAAGGGTGAGACGTGTCCTGGGTAAGAACGAAAACCGCCCGAGTGTTGAGAGCAGGGCTCTGACCGGGCCGGGTTTCCAGGTGCGACATGCAGGCGCTCGCGGAGACGGGCCTGGAGGGAGGAGGAGGAGCCGGAACCTCCCACCGACGACTGCAGGTGCTGCGGGCAGAGCCTGCTCAGTGGCCGGACCGAAGGGCCGCCCGTAAGACAGCGCGGTCTGCGCGAGCAGCGACGGGAGTCTGGAGCAGGGCAGGGGTTGCAGCCTTGTGAAGCGCCCTGCCAACACTCCCGGCCACAGTCCGAGCTCCCCTGGGGCAGTTCCTTGGGGTCCTCACCCCGGAAGGGCCGAAGCTACGCTGGACTGTTAGGTCTGGTAGGTCTGACCTGTTGCGCAGCGGAAGGTGCCCTCGCTGGATTGTTAGCGAGACCTGAACGAACCGCACCTGCTCGTCCCGGGGCGAGGTGCACAGGGAGTTGCCCTGATCGACGGCTTTGCATGGAGCCCGGGCGGAAGCGAGGGACGAGGAGTGGCCAGTGCCCAGGCCGGTCCAGACGCCAGGACATTGGGGACACAGCACCCAGGACGAGGATGCTATCTTTGGTCACAAATTAGCGTACAGTTAAAGGGGGTGGGGGCGAGCTAACCAAGTGCAGTGTGTGTGCTGGAGGGGGGGGTGTCAGGGCCCCGGGGCCAGGCAGGCTGCTCCTCTGACAAAAGGGGGTGCGCTGTGCACCGAAGGTGCGACAGGGTTTCCGACGTGAGCTGCGGGGCCCTCACTTGGCCTCTCGCTTCGGGCCGTCCTGGCAGAAACGCCGCAGCAGTTGCTGGAGGTCGTGCTGGAAGGCGTCCCGCTCCAGGGCCTCAGGCACATCCTCCAGCCGCTCCAGGTGCACCCGTGTCCCCTGCTGGTCCTTCACCACCGCCCTCTTGCGCGTGCTGGCCTTACTGAGCGTCGTCCTGGGGGCAGGCAAGACAAGGTTAGGCCCAAGACGGCGGCTGCATGCACACCTCACAACAGGCTGAGACGGGCCCTTGTTAATTTACTCAAAGCCCCCTCGCTTCGGGCTGCACTGCGGAGGGGCCAGGAGGGGCCGCCCGGCCCGGTCCCGCCACCGCCTGCCCCTGCTGTGGAAACACTGTGATTAGTTCACACTCAGGCCTGTCCACTCGCAAGTCCAAGGCCTCCTTCCACAACATGCAGTGAGTGTGTTTCAAGTGCTGGGTGCTGTGACGAGAACGAACGAGGACGCTGAATCCCAGGGAATGTAAGCAATTCACCGGCGAGGACTGGCGGGGCCGCGCCCAGGGTCCCGGAGCCCACGTGGGTGGCCCTGTGCACCCTGCCTCACGTGGGACCATGCTGGGCACCGGCCGGCGGGCTTCCAACACAGTGCAGGCAGGTTCCCAGTGTCCAGCACTGGATGTCTGCCCATGGGCTACTCTCCCGGCCCCTGTCCTCTGACACCCGCTGCATCTGCTAGGTTCACCTGGAGCTTTAACGCGGTTTGCGTGCTGGCCTCTCTGGGCCTCTCCCTCCTTCCTTCCCCTCTCACGCCCCGACACCCGCTTTCCCTCCGGTTCCACATGAACTGCTTTGTGGCTGAAAGCACCTTCAATCCTGAACAAAGGCCTACACGGGGTTCCAATGGCTGAAATCAGATTACGACTTTCTAACTATTCAGCATCCATAGGTTTCTTTTTTCCTCCAAAAACGCACACATCTGACACCTGGCCCGGATGGCGCTGATGGTGGGGAGGGGTAACAGTCCATCACGGCCCTGCCCCGGGTTTTGCCGCATGTGTATCAAGTGTGCTACAAATGCGTGTGTCCCTGGTGGGGGCCCAGACTCACTCGTGGGCCCGGGAGCTGAGGGCAGCGGCCGGGGCACAGTGACATGCACACAGGCAGTCTGCACCCCGGACCTCGGGGGCTGCCGCCCTCCCTGGCTGAACCCCCAGCTGCAGTGGAGAATTTAGGGGGAGAGGCCTCAGAATCTATGCCAACGGGGAGACCTCATGGTGTGGGCTGCGCGAGTCTGTGGGGTTCCACCAGAACCAGACACTGGGCGTCAGAGCCCAGGACACTCTCCCCTCAGCTCGGGAGGCCCCTGGGGGCCGTGGGAGCTGGGACGCGCGCCAGCCCCCGGCAAGGGCACAGATGATCTGCCCAGAGGGGCCTGTCCCCGGGCACAGGTGTGGGCTGCTCACTGCTGATCAGACAGATCCCGGACCAGCCGCCAGGCACACTTGAGGTCACACACCACATGCAGAACACGACCAGCTTCTGACCCAAAGCAGCAGGCAATTTCCTGAGACTGAGCCACAGGCGGCCGTCACAGATGCATTTGTGAGCGACTGACCAGGCCCCTTCCCCTGCCCTCCAGTCTGCTGGCTGGCCTCAGCGGGACCAGGTGACCTCGGGGACAGGAGTCCACTGTCCTCAGGCCCCGAGGGTCAAGAGGACAGCAGGGTCAGACTCCCTGACACCAGGAGGCTGGCAGCTCCCAGGGGCCCCGGGCTGCGTGCAGGCTGGCAGGCGGCAGAGCGGCCCCCCATGCTGCCCAAACCTTCTAACGACCGATCCGTCCTCTCTCAGGATCTCGCGCTCTACTAAGCTGGGGAGGTGGACTTGCGCGGGGCTACCTGCGAACCTCAACGCCTGAGCGGGAGAGAAGAAACAGGGCAACGGTCACCACCACGGCCCAGGGGGCCCCGCGCCGCTGAGCCGGTCGGTGCTCAGTGCGGACGGGTGAGGCTGAGAAAATAAACTGAACCCACACTGGGGGCCGGTCGGGAGGCAGGGCCCTTAAGTCTCCCCCACGTCTGCGGGGGGTTTGCCGCACCACTTGGCAAAGGCTGCCGACCAACGCTGTGCCAGCGGCTTTAACCTCCTCCGCGCCCCCCACCCCTGCTTTCTACGGCGGCGACTAACGGCAGATGGAAGGACCGGACGCAGAGCGAGGAAAACCGCTCCGATCTCCCCCTTCTGATCTCCGAGGTCACTGGCTGTCCGAGGGCGAAGGCCTGGAAGTGTGTCAGTAAGTCACGCCTTCAGTCCCCACCTAATCAGACACAAGCTCAGTGTGTTGCAGGTGTGGACGAGGTCCCACGGTGACGCTTAATCTCAGAACGTTTCCACAGCAACAAACGCTTTGCGGACACTCGCCCACTCCCACCATCGCACCGCCAACCTGCGGCCAGCTGTGCTCGGAAGTAACAGGACGTGGACACTGTCCACCCTTTAGCACAGGACTGTCCCCTCCGGGGGCCGAACAGGCTCCTCCTCAGAGCATGTAAGTTCTACAGCCGATTAGCTTGCTACCAACTTTCAAACCTGGCTTTGGTTTCCAGAATTCTGGATCTTAGAATCGTTATAAGGGTTTATGTATCTATCACTATGGACTGGTTTTCTAATTATTGGCAATCAGAAGTTAATTACAAATGCTTCTCTTATTTGCGGGTATGAAATGAATGAGGTTTTCCTCATGCCCATCACTGGACCTGCACCCTCCCGCATCCTCCCCTCAGACTCGGGGTGCACCTCACATCCACAGCCACGCCGAGCTCCGGAGCTGGGGCTCTGCCTCAGCTGGGACGAATCCATCATCCGGACTTTAAAAAGTTGTGACAGTGACTGGGATGAGCCCCCAAGACTGAGGGGACAGCCCCTCGCCACATGGGCTGTAAGCCAGGAATGCCCGTCTGGGGTGGCTGGCACCCCTGGACCACACACGAGCGAGGACGCAACCACAAACCCCCTCATTTCACGCACACGCACGGCCGTGGCGCCGTGGCGCCCGTACCTCTTCAAAGTCGGCTTTGGCGGAGGGAAGGTCGGAAGCGAGACGGGGGTCCCCCAGGTGCTTCTCCATCCTCTCTCCACGCATCACTGTCGTTTTCACGACTTTGCTGACACGCCGGCCGTCCACGGGCTCAGCCTGGAACCTCGAGGACTCACACAGGGCACTGGGCTCAGACAGAGTCACCTGAGTGGGGACACAGAACAGCTTCTGACTGACGAGGCAGCAGCGATGCCTTTGTTTAATGACAAGGCAAACCCTCAAAGGCTACAATGCTACACAGGAGCCTTCCAGGAGTTTGGGAAAGAAACAGTTCGGGGAAAAGCCCAATAATCCACCAGTAACGCCGGTCTAACCGCTCCGTGCCCAGAGATGGGCCACCTGCTGAGCCACCAACAAACCTGTCAGAAGTCCCGTGAGATGTGCCACACGGGCAGGACCCTGTGCGCCGCTCCCCCACCTCCCTGCGCAGAAACCGGCTGCTCTGCGTTTTGGAGAGAAAACCACCTGGAGACAGAGTTCTCCAAGTGGGAGACACTGACACCTATTTCTGGAGCCCATGTGTCACAACGAAACTGCAAGGACATGAATGAAGCGGCGAGAACAGTCACGGCCTCGCCCAGAGAGACGGGCGCGCAGAGCCAGACACGCTGCCGGGCACCCTGTTGGCCTGTGGGGACCCCTCCGTGCCCCTGGGCCTTCCCTGCCTCTCTGACCGTCAGCACAGGGGCGTCCGGGCCTCCCACCTGTGCTGGGTGTCTGCTGTGGTGGACTGTGAGCCAAACAGGAAAGGGACAGAAAGGACCGACACAGCAGGTATCAGGCTGCAGATGACCCTGACGGCTGTTTTGAAACTCCAGCGCCCCATGGAGACAGACGGGTGTGTCACTGGGAGCCACGTGAGGGGGACAGAGGCCTGCAGGGCCATCTGCTTGTCCAGGTCCCACGTCCCACGTCCGCACTCCACCACACTCTGCCCCGCGTGTCCACATCTCACGTCCACGTGGCCCCTCACCTCTGACTGCTCGGTGTCGCTCCTCAGCACCACACGCTTTATGACTTTGGAGAAGCCGTCCCCATCCTCGACACTGATGGGTTCCTGGGGCTGTCCCTGCACGGTGACCTCCTCCCTCTCTATGCCGTCAGGGGACACGTACCGCCTGATGACCTTCCTGGTAACCTGGAAGACACGGCGCCCAGGTATCTTGTCTTTGAGTGACAGGCCTGGGCGTGAGGACCAATAGGCAGGACGGCGCCGGGGGGGATGCGGGACGTTACCTTCCTCACCACGGTGTGCCCGTGCTCGTCCACGTACTCCTGCTCTGTGACAGTTTCTGGGGGCACTTCAGGCATGTCTTCACCCTGCACAGAGACAAGTCCTGTCAGCTGGGGGCACCAACTGAGGGCCCCTCGTCCTGGCAAGAGCACGCGCATGTGAGGAGGTTCACAGAGACAGGCCGGGGTCACGGGGGCAGGCCTGCCACAGGGGCTTCCAGAAAGGAGGGCAGATGACCCTGAGCTCAGGGGGCCAAGCCACATAAACACACAGAGCGGGTAGCACCTGGGTGAGGGGTGCAGACAGACGTCGGAGCATCCCCACCCGGAGCAGCCACGGTGCCATGTCCTTAGCATCAGTGCTCAGGACGATCACACGGCTGCTTCCTGGGGCCACACAGCACCATGTGGCCCCGCCGCCCTGGGCCGGCCACCAGGGCTGGGGGACACGGTCCCAACATGCATCCTCTGAGCAGCTGGTACCTGAATAATCACACGCCGGCGGACGACCCTGGTGGTGACTGTTGCTTCGTCATCTGAGCTGGCCTCCAGTTCACCCAGCTCGGCCGTGAGCTCCTGCAAGCAGGCAGAGGTGGTCATCGCCCTGTGGCGCCTCTGCCATGGGCTCTGCTGGAACTCACGTGTGCCCCTGGAGGTTTTGTCTACTCAGCCCCGAGGACGAGCCCGCAGGCTGCAGACCACTGCCTCGAGGCTCAGATGCCCCCAGGGTTGAAGTTCGTGGTTCAACGAATGGAAGGCAACCTTGGCATCCAAGCGTCCGAGGCCCCACTGGACAGACCGGCTGCTTGTCCACCCTGCTCCCAGGACATACGCCCGGGGAGACACAGCCCCTCGGACTCTCGGGCTTCGGCTTGGAGTGGCTGACCCGCAGGTGTGGCAGTGTCTGCCGCTGGTGGCAGCCGCTCCCACAGGCCCAGGCTCCTTGCAGCCTCCCTGGTCCGCGGTGCCCCTGGTGTGTCCCACTCACCGTGAGGGGGAGGGGCACAGCCAGGGACAGAGCCAGAACGTAACCTCAGATTACAATGTCTCAGAAGCCACATATCAAACCACTCTCTCCTCATGGAATGTTATTCAAAAGGGAAGAAAAACATCGACATTTTCTCAACCTATTTTAAAGTAGCACTTACGTTTCTATCTTTTTTGCTAAAGAAAAACATATAAAATCTGGACCAAGTTATACATTAAATATGCTCAGGAACCTGCTGCCTAGAAACAGAGTCAGCAGGGAACCCGATTGACATCCGACCCCCAGGTGGGGTTCGTGAGAGGGTACAGTCAAAGTCCGGAGCGCAAGTCAGGGGACAGGAAAGGGCCCGAAAACACAGGGCAGGGCTCAGGGTGACGCAGCAGAGCCCTGCAGACCGAACGCAGGGATCACCTAGACCGCGGCTCCAAGTCTGCACGTCAGTAAGCACGTGGGTTCTGGGCTGAGCTCGGCAGCTTTGAGCCCCAGACGGCGCCTATGAAACGTTTTTACTGGGGCTGATTTAAGCCAGTTAGTTCTAGAGAGATGAGTGATCTCTGCAAAGGCATGAAAACCATGAAATACAAAACCCGTCCAAGGGATGGTCCCTGACATTGGGGGGCGGCCCGGAGAGTGGAGTTCTCGCCTGCCTGACCACGGTTTCGGCAGCGATGGTGAGGCTGCTGCGGACGGCGTAGCTGACGCTGAGCCAGCACGTGGGGTCTGCAGCCCAGAGACAGGCCGGCACGACTTTCTCCCCAAAAGCTTCGATTCTTTTATCTAACTTGTTCTTTCCTACTAAGACAGACGTTAATACATTAAAAACTCTTTGACGTGGAGAATATTTTGAACTCTAAAAGGAAAAGGAACACCTAACTGAATGCATAGTAAATTAAATTGAATTCAAATAGGTCCACACATTTGCGTGTAGAAATCAATGGGGTTTCCTGACAACAGCAATTCTTCCCCAAGTTCAGGGTTCCAAGGGCATCCACCCCCAAGTGGTGGTGAGCGGGAGTACATACACCTCTTTCCAAGAATCGATAGTCTCCATGGATTTGCCACAGCGGGCTCCTCCCTTGTGCACGGTTGGCCCCCAGTTAACATGCAGGGATGTAGGGTTGTTCTCATGCTGCCAAAGTCGGGAGCAGCAGCAGGTTCAGGAGGAGGGTCCCTTTCCTAAGTCATCCCTGAAACTCACATCCTGGTGCCGATCTGTCCCCTACCCATCGTAGCAGGTCTAACTAAGGTCTCTAACTGTGACCTCAGTATGAATGTTTCCTAGCCAAAGGGTTTCCAGTGACAAAATGCAGCCTCACAGGCAAGTTGGAATCATGTATCATTTTTTCTGGATTCACCGGGTCCCGTATTTTGAAAAGGACTGCAGGGTTCCCATGGCCCAAATTCATTAATTTGACAACCTTGTGGTTCTGCAGTGACAAGATAAGCCCCAGAGAGAAATGACCTCTGGGAGGCAGTCTGTGGCTATCACATGTGGGCAGGAAACGCAGAAGGGACCTCTTACCTTCTGGAAAGCCGAGTTTTCATCAAGACTCTCGAAGGCCGGTGGCTGGTCATCCCCAGACTCCACTATCACCAGGCTGGTTTTCCGGGGAGAAGCGCCCCGCCTGAGGCCCAGGGGCTCCTGGGGTTCCTGCACAACGGGCGGGTCTGCCTGCTCCCCAGGGGAGGGGGAGGGGGTCCGCAGGGGGGACCTGTCCTCCTTGGGGGTCCCTCTGGGAGAGCCAGGTGCAGATGCAGCCTTTTCAGTGTCTGATCCTTCTGTCCCTGGGGTTGTCACACTGAAACAGAAAGGCCGGTCAGAGCACGTGGCTGCATCCCGCCCCCACAGCAGCCCAGGCCTCAAAGGGGAATGTGACTGCCCTTCAAAGTCCCAAAGTCAAAAAGGTTTTGTAACTTTGGCCAAGAAATGAAATCTGAATATCCCTACCCCCCCCCCCAGGTGAGGTACAGTGTTGAGTTACAGCTTCCTGGTGCAAAGCAACTGGGGAAGGGGTCTTCTGAAGGTCAAAGGTTCCCTAATGCACACCAACCCCCTAATCTCCACAGAGTATATACACTATTACTTCATCTTGGCTTTGATAACTTCAGGTGCTATTGAAGAATAAAGCAGGTCTACGCAACAGAGACCTGTAGGTAACAAGGCATTTGAAGCAAGAATCAAAATTTGGCAAAACTTGTGAAAAGCATGTAAACTGCATGTTGCCCCAGGCATTGCAACTATAAATATAGAAAGTCTCGCTTCTGGAAAACCGTATTACACAACAGAAAGACCCTCTAGCACTGACACTTTCTGCACTGACACAGTCTGGGCTCACTCTAGTGTAGCTTCCTAATCTTACTTTCTAGTAAGAAAATTCTCTGCTTTTTCTGCTCCTGGAACGTGGAGCCACTCCCGTCCCTGTCCAGGATCCTCTCTGACTGCAGGTCTGCGGCTCCCCGCCCTCCTTGCTCCTGTCTTCTCTCAGCTCTTCTTGGTGCCGTGCCCTGAAGTCTGCAAGGGGCAGGGTGGCTTCGTGGGAGAAGAAACCATTCATTACTCGAGTCCCCATCAGTCTCAAGTCCCAGTGGCCCCAGCAAAGCTCACTGAATGACAAAGGACACTGCTGGGTGGCTCCGGAAGCTGCTCTCAGATTCCAGGCCTGAGGACCAGCCTGCTCTTCTCAGACCCGTTTTCTCTCTCTAGACAGTTTGTGTCCTTTGAAGAATTCTCTGTGCTTTGCAGCAGTGACGTGGACCTGGGCTCTGCTCGTTCCCCATCATCTGAGGGTTGGGCCACATTTATGCTATTGTGAGCCCCCTGCCTTTGCAGGAATGCAGTGCCTCCTGAGCCTCACTGCTCATCCTGTGACCCACCACTGCTAGGCCTGTGCAGCTTGCAGGGGAGAGGGGAGCAGCCACCCTACAGGGAGCCCCCTGGGGTCATGAAATCCTGGTTTAAAGCATGCCTTTCCAAGCCTGTTCTTGATCTTCAACCCTGGCCCTGAATAGGTGCACAGAAGGATCCTACTTTGTAGACGTGGAGACAGACTCAAGGGCTGGGAACGGGCCGCAGGACCCGGCCACAGACCTGGAAGTAGGCTCAGGTAAGTCTGTGACCACCATGCAGCCACCACTGTGCCTCTTACACACTATGCTCTCCTACAGCCCTGGCATTTGTGGGGCCATCGAAAAAGCACTGCCAAGGATGGATGCAGCACACCTGGCCCCTCGCCAGCCACCGCCCTGTTCGCATAGAAACCCAACTCACAAGTATTCCTGCTCTGGAGCTGGCACAGTCCCCAACAGGCCCTGGGGCACTTGCTCCTGCTGAGTAGGGGGGACGAGTCTGGAGGCTGGGCTGTCCCCTTCCGTTTTGGGGGTGTAATCCTGAAAGGTGGAGTAGCTGACGGAGAGGTCTTCGTCTGAGACAATGGGAGGGGGGCCGCAGGACCTGCTCTCCCTGGACGCTGCGTGCAGGGTGGACAGCTCCTCTGGGAGGGCAGAGAAGCCTGCAGAGGACAAGGCGCATCGGGATGCCCCTGACGCTCACCCACAGTGTGCGTGCGTTTGCTAGGTGCCCACCCACGTCGTGCCACCTTTGTGTCCCGGGATGGGACCGTGCTCACCTTCGACACGCTGGTCATGCAGGGACCTTGGGCGGGGAGGGGCTGGGGCTGTACAGCTGCAGCAGGTGCCTGTGCAGTGAGCAGGCCCCGCTGAGCCCGAGGGGACAGCAGAGGGGACGCCTCAGGAGTGAGGGTCTCCCCGGACAAGAGACCACAGTCTGAGTGGGGCCGAGGGCCCCACATGCTTGCGACTGAAGGCGAACGTTGATTGGAACCGTTCCCACTCTTTCTAAGAAACAAGAAGCCCGGTCCTCAGCCCCGAATACATAAGGAGACCCGCTGGCGTTCCGGAGGAAGAGAAGGCGCAGCCCCCAGGTGGGAGAGGAGGCGGCGCCGCGAGGGCGCATTGGGCGGGAAGGGTCCCAGAGCCGCCCCGCCCCCAGCCCCCCCCCAGGGATGCAGGGGGCGGGGCGGCGGGGCGCACACGGCCCACGCCCAGGGTGGTGGACGGAGTGTCGCGCTGAAACCCACCCTACAGTGGCGGCGCGGCGGGCGGAGGGGAGCCCTAGGTAGGGACTCTGCCCTGACAAGAGAGGCGGCGGCCACCTTGCACAGCCGGTCTCGGACCGAGACAGACAATTTCTGGGTCTCGATCACGCAGTTCGGGGCCTTTGCCACAGCGCCAGGGCCCCGCAGAACGGGCGGGGACGTCTCGGGGCACCCGAGAGAGATGGCGGCCGCCACGGGGAAAGGCGCCCCGGGCCCTGGCGCCCAAACCGACCCTGCGCCCCGCGCACGCGCGCCCACCCGACGTGCAGGCGCAGTCCGACCTTCGCTGTGGTCCGGCGCCGTAGGCGGCTCCAGCTCCGAGCAGCCGAGGCTGCCGCGCTCCGGGAGCGGCTCGCTGCTGGCCTCCATGAGGTGGACGATGTCCATCCGGTTGATCTTCGTGAGGCAGCCGATGAGGCTGGTATCTGGATGAGCGAGAAACGGCGGGGTTTGCACGCGAGGGCACTCTTCTTTCATTTAGGTGCCCTACTAAAATTCTGGCTTTCATCCAGGAAACCAGCGGCCCCGAATGAGGAAATAACGAGCAAAAACAGGCAATGGGATGAGGAGGAAAAGCCGGGCCGGGCACAGGACTCCGTCAGCCTGAGTTCCAGATAGAACGCAGACACGTCCTCAGCACGAGCAAAGCCCACGCTTGGGACGCCCGTCATGAAGGAGCATCTGTCGTCCGTCTGAAGTTTAGTCTACCTGGTGCCCCCATTTTTACTGGCAAAGTCCCAGGGTCGCAGGAAGGGGCGGGAGGCACAAGTGAGCCCCAGGCTGAGGGGGTGAGGAGGCCTCTGCGGACCCGCGGGGTTGGGGTCAGAGGCCCACACACAGCGCTGTTAGGGCACCACCCTCACCCGTCCTGCCGGTTATCGAGCAGCTCAGGAAGCTGAGCAGAAGGTGGCCACCAGCAGTGACACAGGACAACTGGAGCAGCTTTGTCCGCTGTCAACATTTAGAAAATCTAGGGCTCTGAGACCATGCCTGCTGGCAGCTACGGCTGCCACCCCCTCCCACTGCAGATGCTGGCCTGTGTCCCTGCAGGCCCGCCACAGTACTTGGCCTGGTGGCACCTGTCCTGGGACCCGACCGACGGGCAAGAAAGTGTGTGCCGGACACCACCCAGCGGCACCACCTACCAGTGGCAAGCTTCCCGTCCCGCTCCAACCAGTACTTCAGTAGCGCATGGCTCTGGTCCTGCAGGGAGTTGGGGTTCTCTACTCGGATCTGATGGATCTGTTCCTCGGTGAAGTCCAGCTCTCGTGCTAACTCTGGAAGAGGAGGTCCAAGCCTGTGAGCCATGGACCTCAGACGTTGGTCCCACACTGGCCGTGGTCTTAGGAGGGTCAGCTGTCTGCATGGCTGAGCAACCAGGTCCCTATCTTCTGCACATTCACTGTGACTCTCCCGTACCCTCGTACTTCTACTAGGCACAGACTCTTCCTTAAAGCTGCATGTAGAACTAGTCACCATCCTAGTGGAATACTGAGTCCAAGGCTACGGTGATAAAATAAGTATAACTTGGTCCCATTTAATTCCAAAATTCAGAGAAGACCATTAATACTGGCTTATCCTCTTCACTGACATAACAGAAAATAAATCACTAAAGCAGGAGGAAGAGACCATTGCTGTGAATCACCGCAAGGCAGCATTTTAACCACCTCAAGGCCTGCTCCCAGATCCTGGTGTATAAAACACCAGGTGCAGCCTTAATAGGTTGGCTAAATAGATTCCCTGCTTGGAGTTGCTATGCTGTGACTAAAGGTTTGGGAAGAACTGACCTGTGGAGGGAGCCAACAGCTGTCCCTTACAGGACGCACAGGCTATGTGGATGCTTGTGCACTGTGGGGCATGTGTCTGGAATGAGGCGCCCTCTCTGTGGCGTGATTTGCAAGTACTTTTCAAAATTAACAAAGTACACGCCCTCAACCAGCAATCCCACCTCAGGCGTGTACCCTGTAGCCACACCCACAGACATGCTGTAGCATATGACACTCCTGCCCAGATTGGGACACACTGTCCGTCAGGCACAACCATTGATAAAAGTATGACAGAATTAGCCAGACATTTGAGAGCATGAGGCAGCTACGTCTGTGATGATGGAGTAGTCGTGAGAAATACCAAGTAAAACTTGTCTTATTTTTTAAACAAAAGACTGAGGAGCAAGCATTGTGCATTTTTTCTGAACACATGAACAGGTCCTTCAAGACCAGAGGGCCAGATGCGGTGAGAGACTTGCCTTTTGTGTCCCAGCCACTGAATGTGGCAGCAGTGTCCTATTCTTCACTAAGTTTGCGGATATCCAAGCACACACACACACGTGGACATTTGAGAAACAAAGTCATTCTGAATGTCACCTATTTAACAAGTCAGCCGGAGATAGCGCACTGCTCTTCCTTCCCCTGAGCTCCTCTAACTAAATCTGATCTAAAGAAAATGGCCGTCTTCCTGCCTTCAGTCATTTCCCACATTACTGACTATCTTTGCTAAGGGTATGTCGACGCCTGCTCATTACCAAATCTTTAAGAAACCAAAAGGGGATGAATATTAATTTTATACATTTGTTTCAATAAAATAGTCACAAGGAATAGAAAAGTAAGTCAGACCAAGAAAAGAAAAGAAAAAAAACCAGAGCCGGAAACTGCCCACCTTGCTTTACTATGTTAAGTCCAGGTAATGTGAAAGGGAAAATCTGATTTGTAAGTAAATTGTATTTATTTTAGAATTCACTTTTTCTCAGTAAGCTAACATGTATTATAATTTCTTCTCTTAAGCAGTCCTATTTCTCAAATAATTAGGGCATCTCATTCTTATGTATTTCAACATTTATCCAAAGCAAATTTCAGCACTGTTCACAAAGATACCTGACATACAGGACCTAAAAGAGAGGTGTCCAACCTGTGGCCCATGGGCCACATGCAGCCCAGGATGGCTGTGAATGCGGCCTGAGACAAAATCATAAAGCTACTTAAAAATTATGAGATTTTTTAATGTGTGTACTTAATGTGTGGCCCAAGACAACTCTTCTTCCAGTGTGGCCCAGATACGCCAGAAGGTTGGACACTCCTGAACATGAGGAGCCCTGGTTAAAATCTCAAATTAAACATTATGACCACGGCATCTCACACTGGTTTTGAAAACGAGCCATTTCCCCGAAGGCTGGGCAGCAATGGCTCCCGAGCGGGCAGTGGGGCTGACTCACACTCAGTCTCTTACCGCAAACCCCCAGACAGTAAATGAGCTGCCCTGGTTCGCAGGGCAAGTTCACAAGAACCTGGACTTTCTACTCTGTTTTGTATTATTCTCTTCACTACCCAACGTGGTCTTCCTCAAGAAAAGGGAAAAAAGGCCTCTGTTATCATTAATGACTCTTGGCCAATGTGACCATGTCATTCAGACCAAGCAGGTTTTGTTGAAAAGCAGGTGCCACTCAAGTTACCTGTCCAGCTGAAACCCAGGTGGTCAGCAATGTAGGCCAGCCGTTCCTCCATCCGCCGCTGCTCCTCCTGCTGATCTGCAGAAGGTCAGAAACAGAACAGCGTGCTGTCTGCACCAGGAGAGGCCCCGGGGCTGACCATCCGCAGCAGGGCGGTCAAGCATTTGGACACCCAGAGCACAGCTCTCATGAGAGCAGCTGCATGTCATGTAGGGTTAAACTGCATGTGCCTGACTTCCAGATGGAATGGGGACTAGATCAAACAGAAACCATGAAACCCCGGCGCTTCCACATCTCTGCAATCAAGACTAGTCACTGCTACATAAGCGGCTGACTGGCCGTCGTCTGAGGACCCACATGCCAGGTTATCTGCGAGAACGCTGCCCACCAGTGAACAGCCGTCACCCCTTCCTCAGGTGACGGGCTCACAGCCGGGCTCACAGCCGAGCTGCCGCAGGGCTGTCATCGGTGAGGACTACCTCGCTGCCACAGGCAGCAGTGGCCCCCTCTCATTCGTGGATCACAGGACACTGAGACCCTGGCCAGGTGGGCCAATCCTGGGGCTTTCAGAGTGGCCCTGGCCCTGGTGACCCACAGGTGGGAGGTGAAGTCTGTGTCCACCGTGCAGGCTGTATCACAACACACAGTTGTTATCTGGACCAAGTTTGTATCTGCTCTCTTGTAAGTAAACTCTTACTTTGCTCCCACAAACTGTGATTTCCCATTTATTTTTAACCCCCATTAATTGATGGGCAGCATTTTAGATCATGGCATTGTGACATTTTTCATAACGCAAATTTAAAAGTAACAGTCTTCACTGGAGATGCTGGAAGCTCTGAGCGGCTTCTCCAAGCCCCGAGGTTTCCTTGCTGAAACGGAGCCAGGGCCCCTCCCCGACGACGTCAACCATGCACAGTCCGAGTTTTGTTGTCTGCCGCACGGCCTTGGGTGCCTTCCCTGTTCACCGACCGCATCAGCAAAAAGCCCGTTTTACCTGATCTGTGTTTGCTTAAAGTGTTTACCAACGGTATCCGAAATCCAACCTTTCTGAATCAAAAACAGATCCACAAAATTGGGATTTCGTGATCTGTGAAATCTTCTTGAGCACATGGCTTCCTAATGATTACAAAGTTAAGTATGAATTATTGGCAAGGACACAACAGTAAGAAAAAGCATCGAATCCTCATAATATAAAGCAAACCCCAACATCCTCCTGTGCGGAAGCAGAAGTGCCGAGCTGGAGGCAGAACAACAAAACTCCGCGCAGGCGCGGCCCCGCGGGCAGCGTGGGGAGGCCGGGGCCGCAGCCTGGTGGGACCGCATTCCCGTAAGCATTCCCGTTGCTCAATCTTGAGATTATTGTCACGGACAGGAGGGAACAGAGAGCACAGGACACGAAGGGCCAACACAAACACAGGAGCCACTACGCCAAGCATAAAGAAAAAGAGACACAAACCACCAAATAAAACAAAGGACACGCTACGCAGGCTCAGGACATGCGTGCACAGGGTGTCCCTGGCGGCAGTACCTTCAGCACGGTCATGGCCGTTCTCATCGGGGATGCGTTCAATCAGAGTCTCAATGGACTCATCCCAAACTGGCCTCGTGTCAAAGACGTCCTCGGGGACCGGGGGTTCGGTCTCAGCAGGCGGCAGGTTTTCGATCACGGACACGTCCAGGGCACTACTGCTCTCGTCATCGGAAACTGCCTCCTGCTCCCTCTCTGCCTGGGCCAGCCTGTCCACCAGCTTGGCTGCCTCATCGCTAATCTCCTCGAAGAACTCGAGGGAATTCCTGTACAGGTCCAAGAACTGCTCCTTGCTCTCCTGGGGGGGCCCCCTTCCTTGTGCTGGTAGACAGGTGGCAAGTAGCTTGGGGCTCGTGGCCTCACCCTCTGACTGCAGCTTGGGCTCCTCTGCCCCCTCCCCACCCCCCACTTCTGTCTCAGCATAGCTTCTGGCTCTCCCTGAACTGGCACCAGACTCAGATCTGCCCCTGTCGTCTGCTGCCCTGTCTAGAGTATCCTGTCCCTGAGGGGCCACTGTCTGGGGCAGGGATGGACCCTGGGGCAGGGGCTGCCGCCCAACCCCCTGAAGGGGTGCTTTCATGGGTATTTTAGACTTTGGCCTAGCCTTCGGCTCAGTCCTGTCCTCATCCGGGCTGGGCAGGCCCTCAGGCTGGGCCCTCTCTGCCTGGGCTGGGGCCGAAGTCCTGATGGGGATCTTGGACGTGCTTTCGGGACAAGGCACACTCTCTGTGGCTGCGGTAGGGATCTCAATGACTGACTTTTGCTCCTCTGGGGAGGAGTCAGGAGAATCGTCCTCCCGATCTGCATACACAGACCTGGTGACTGTGGAGAAGTCCAATGCAGCCTGGACAGCGGGTTCTGGGCAGGCGGGGTCAGCCGGCAGCTTCACACTGGACGCGGCAGGCACATCACCACCCTGCCCAGGGGGCAGGCCCTTGGTGTCCACAGAAATAGCCACCTCCCCCAACAACGTGTCCTTGGAGGCTGCGGTCCCTGTCTGGGAGCAGAGGCCACCATCTGAGGCAGGGGGTCCCTCTCCTTCCTCACCCAGGACACTGGGAAGCAAGTCAGCCTCGTCTGTGTCAGTGCATCCTGAAAGGGCGGGGGTGGGGGCCAATGGCCGTGGAGGCTCGTTCACAGCGCCCCCTTCTCTCACGTCATCAGCGGTGGCTGCTTCTCCGGATTCTTGGCTAATTTGGAAAAAGTGGAAACTCTCATCTGCATAGGGCCTTTTGGTCATGTCGATGGCCCCACTTCGGGTCATCTCAAACAGTTTGCCTTCCTGGAAGAGAAATGGGTTCTGCTCGCTGGTTGGGGTCCCCTCCTCAGTGGGGGTCCGTGCAGGAGTAGTGTCTGGGGTGGTGCCCTGTGACTGTCTGTCCGCCATCAAACCAAACACCTTCTGCTCCTCCTCCTTCACTCGGGCCTCAAAGGCTTCATCGTCCTCGCGGATCTCGCTCCAGGAATCGGGATCCGAGTCAGAGGCGGTGATGACGACCTGGCTCACGTGCTCGCTGGCAGCGGCAGTGGAGCGCGGCAGGTGGGGCTGTGGGGGTGCAGGGGCGCAGCCGGACAGCATGTCCCCTGAGGTGCTTTCCAGGCCCTGGTCCCCAAAATTGGAGCCTTTGCTTGAAACAGCCTCACTAGAGACACGGGCCGCCGGCGTGCTGTCCACAGTGGACGCGACAGTCACAGAACACACGTCAGAAGCATGAAAACCGGAGTGTTCTGCACTTGTTGGGGACTTGCTGTCTTTGCCAGAGAAGAAGGACTGAGGAGGCACATTTTCATACGGGCTTGTGACCTGAAGATCGCAGGTGTCTGCAGCCTCAGAGGGGTCACAGCCTGGACCGCCCACAGACAGACTGTCTGTCTGAACAGCCAGGGAGGAGTCCAGTGCGGGGATGTCCTGGAAGCTCTCGGAAGCGTGGCTGGTCTCTGTGCCCTCCGTTTTTGCTGGAGAAGACGCAGAGACAGCACCTCCAGATGCTGAACAGTCAGGCAACGGGGACAAAGGTGACGAGCCCTCGCCGGGGCCACCGGCCTGTGGAGATCCCCCCTGAGAAGCCCCTAGCTCTCCTCCTCTTGAGTCCTCGCCTGGGTCCTGGGGAGACAACGGATCCTCCCAGACGACAAGCTCCTCCCTGCCGGGGCCACAGGGACCTGAGGACACAGATGGGGCCGAGTGGCCAGGACTCCCTGCTGCACACCCGCGGCCGGCACAGATGTTCGGTGGGTCGGCATCTCTGTTCAGATCCTCATGCGGCAGATCCGGGCCTCCAGTGGGATCTGCGTGACCATCTTCAGGCAAACGAGATTCACACTCTTTTTCTTCTGATGTACTGGACTCTTCCTGAGTGTCTTCATTCATCTTGAAAGTGTACTGTTTGGAAGCAACGGGCTGGAATGGTGCCTCCTCGGGACTGGAGTTTGAGTCCAAGCTGGACGGGAGTGGGGACGGGGGCTGCACCCGAATGACCGGCTCTGGGAGCAGCCCCGGCTCAGCTCCTGTCTGCCGCGTCAGCTCAGGCTCACTCTCCGAGGGGGAGGATGCCTTTCTGTTGTCCGAGGTCACCATGACGGGGGTGTCACTTCCGTCCTGTGCACATGCCGGGCCATCAGCGTCCAGGTCAGAGGGTGAAGATGACTCTTCGGGCTTCGTTTCTTTCCGACAGTCTCTTTTCTGCTTGGCTTCTTGTTCAAGTTCATCAAAGGTTTTGATTTTGGTCACCATTTTGAACATCTCCTCTTCAGGGGTGAACCTCTTTTTCTCCCCGTTTTCTGAGTCCTCCTCCTCAGCACACTCATGAATCACAGCTGGTTTGGGGGTGCTGGCATCAGAGGCCTTGGGTGTGACCTCATAGCTGACTTCTTCAGAACTGGGGGTGTCGGGAGAGAGGGGACTCTTCCCGGAGCTCTCCACCAGGGACGTCTGCTCCAGACTGTCATCCTCGGCACTGCCATCGGGGTCTCGCAGCAGCCGGGACCTCACGGAAGCCATCTCTGTGAAGAAGTCGGTCTTGGCACCGGCCACGGGGAGAGGGGCGTGGCCCGGGAGCGACCCGGCCTTCGCCTCGGGCTCCACGGGGCTACTCTCCAGGGAGTCGCGGCAGGGAGACTCCCGCAGGGGGCTGGGCTCTAGGGAGTCCGGGGTTTTGTGTGAGGAGTTGTCCTCCAGCACAGGGCTGGCTTCCAAGGAGTCCCTGTGGCTCACCGCCAGCGACTCGTCAGCCCCGGGACTGAGGACCTCGGGGTCAGAGCGAGGGAGTGGTAGGTCCAGCCCCTGGGGACTGCGCGGGGATGCCTGGGACTGGGCGGTCCTCACAGGGGCCTCAGTCGATAAGGGCTTGGGGCTCGTGGGTCCCTGAGCTCCAGGATCCGTCTGTGTCTTGTGGGCACGGGGGCCATCATCACAGACCACGTCCTTCATCAGCCCGGCAGGTGCTTCCTTTGCTGAGGACACAGTACAGCGGCCCGAGCTTTCGCCCTCCGGTTCGGGGCCCGTCTCTCTGGAAGGGTCCAGGGCGCCCTCCTTCACACACCTGGCCCCGGGTTCTGCGCCCTCCGCAGCAGCCATGCCCGGCTCTTCGGCACCATCAGGAGAGTCTTTGGTGGAGGGATGCACTTTGCCTGAATGAACGTCTGTTTTGAAGGCGGTGTTTGCACTGGTTTCCCCCGTTTGCTCCTGACTTTTCTTTGGTGAATAGGAAAGGCTTTCTGGGCTTGTCTCGGGGGTCTCTGCCAAGCCCTCATGCTTGTAGCTCTCTTCCGAGCTGACCTGCGGGGTCCCCTCCATCAGGCTGCCGCAGGGAGACCCTGCCACCCCTTCCTGCCCCAGATTTTCACAGCTGCCATCCAGGCGGAAGGTCAAGGCTGGGAGTGGCTGCACACTGCCAGGCTCCGGTGGGAAGGCCGTGGGGAAGGGGCTGGTGAGCACCTGCTCCGGCACCAGCGGCACCTCTTCAGGCTCTTCCTGGCGACGGAACTGCTGGTACCTGTCATTGTCTTCCAGCTCCAGCTTAATGACCTCGGAAAAGTCAGTGGAGGTTCTGCGGTCGGGGCTGATCTGGAGGTCCGCGTCTTCCCGCTCGTCCAGCTCCTCCCCAGGCACCGGGCCCACGGGGGGCAGCGTCCTACCGGTGGGGAGGGTCTCCTTCCCTCTGGTGGTATCTTCTCTCAGCCCCGAGACACCACGAGCTCCTCTTCTGGGTTCTGCAGCCCCCACTCCCGGGGACCTCTGGCCTCGTCGGACGGTCGGACTCTCTGTTTTCAGTGTCTCTTTCTGGACTGTTAGCGGCCCCTTTTCTTTTTCAGCCCGAACTGTGCCTTTTTCCTGTGGCTGCTTCAGTTTGACGGTTTTGTGCTCAAACAGCCCAGCTTTGTGCTTGGATGGGTCCCGGCCCGACTGAAAGGCCTTCATCAGCTCCCGGACAGACATGGTCTCCTCGATGCGCTCCGTTCTCGAGGTGGGGGACACCGGCGCGGCCTTGTCTGTCCTCCCAGAAGGTGCCACCGAAAGGCGCTTCTCAGTCTTCCCAGAGGCCGGCCCGGGAGGGTGCTTTTCCGTCCTCGCAGCTGGTGACACGGGCAGGCGCTTGTCTGTCCTCCCAGGTGACACAGGGGGGTGTTTCTCCAACTTTCCTGATGGTGACACTGGTGGGCGTTTGTCTATTTTACCTGAAGGTGACACAGGTGAGTGTCTCTCGGTTTTACCTGATGAGGACCCGGGCGAGTGTCGCTCGGTTTTTGCTGAGGGAGACACAGGCGAGTGTCTCTCGGTCTTGCTCGGTGGCGATGCTGGAGGATGCCGCTCGGACTTGGCTGAGGAGGTGAGGGAAGAGTGTCTGTCCGCTTTGGAGGAGGGGGACACAGGTGCCCGCCGGTCCGGCCTTTGAGGGGGGGACGCGGCCGGCTGTGGCCGGGGTCCCGCCCTGCGGGGCACTTCCTCCTTGCCTTTGAGTCTGACAGGCAACTTGCTTCGCCCCTTCTGCTCATCTTCCACTCTCTTCTGCAGGGCCTTCACTTTGTCCTTGATGGGCCCGATGGGAGTCTCCTCGATCACGGGGGACGTGGCCTTGGCCCTGGGCAGAGGCTCGGGGGCCAAGCCTGGGTCTCCCTCCAAGGACTCTTCGGAACTGCCCTGTTTCAGCTCACCTTTCCCTGTACCGGCTTGCGCACTCTCCCCTCTCTGTTTCTGCGTGTCCTTTAACTTCCGCCGCACTGGCTTCTTTACCCCCAGGCCTGGCTGCTGTAGGGTCTGCGTCCTCTGCGCCTCATCCCGGGGAACGTCCTTTGCTTCGCTTTCCGAGCGTCTGTCCCCGGCTGTGGGGGGCGTTGACCGCGGGGCCCCTCCAGGAGCCACCGGGTAGGAGTTCAGATCCTCTGTGAGGTAGGTGACCAGCCCTGTGGCGTCCCTCTGTCCCTGTGCTGGGGTCTCCTTCTCTAGCCTGATTTCTACACAGGGGACCTCAGGGACCTCCAGGGGGGCCCTTTGCTTGGCCTCTGCCACCTCCTCATCACTGAGGAGCACCCACTCCTCGTCCACTTGCGGCCCCGCAGGCTGGGACCCTGGCCCGCGGCCACTGCCCCCTGAGCAGGCCCCGCCCCTCAGGATCTCGTTCACCTTCTCCAAGTCCTCCTTCACTCTCCCCACGATCTCAAAGGGCTCCCCTGGCTCCTCCTCCGCGGCCCCGGCCAGTGCCTTCTCCCCGAGGGCACCTGCCCTGCTGGCCGCGCCAGTGGCCAGGAGCGCCGTCACCTTGATCAGGTCCTGCTTCATCTCGGAGACCTCCGAGAGCAAGTCTGGGCTGGCCAGGGCCGGGGCCTCCGTGACCAGGTGGCTTTTCAGGACAGACGTTTCTGTTGACTCTGTCTCATCGTCTTTGATGGGAATGGAGGACATTGAAAGTAAAATGGAAACCAGAAAAGATGTTGGCAAATGTAAACAAGGACCCAAGGACACAGTGTCTCTTCCTGTCCTGTCGTGGTGGGAGGGACATCACATGGGCTGGGAGGGCGGAGCCACGGGGTCTCGGGACACAAAGCAAAGCGAGGCTAACAGACAAACTGAAAAGGAGAACGAGCAGGAAATAACTGGCTTCACGTTCTCACGCACATCCGCACACGGGACCACGCAGTGACAGGCTGTCGACACACACAACGCCACACACTGACACAAACACGGGCACGGTGACTTCCACGGGGGCATCTCAAGATTGCTCAGACGTCACAGGTCGATGTGGAAACGAAAACAAACACGGGCGGCGGACGGGGGAGCGAACTGCAGGACACTCGTTTCCTCGGGGAGAAAGCCAGTAAGTAGCCAACTCAGGACAACTTCCCATGGCGTGTGCGCTTCTAGTCACGTGGAAATCTGGGCCCCACGCGTGCCGCTCTGCCCCGCGTGAGACTCTACCCCGAGTGAATCCACTGCAAACTGGCATTTCGTCTAAGGAAACTCACACCGACAATGAGGCGCACGGCCTGGTGCTGAGAGGCACAGCCCTGTCCTTGGAGCCACCTCCTTGTTGGGACACTTACTGGGCAGACCAAGGAGGGAACGGAAAGAAAGGGAGAAGAACAGAAAGGACGGCGGTGATGGAACGTGTGAGTCCAAGGTTCGAGTATGACGCATGGCAACTGGGTCAGAGACAGTCACACGGACACACGCACAGGTGTGTGAGCCAAGTTATTTCCATGCAAAGCGAAGCGGGGTGAAACGGGTGGAGCTTGCTGGGTGCAGGTGGGAGGCTGGTTGGAACGGACGACAGGTACACGTTACTGTGGTGAAGCGTCGACCCTGCCTACGAGCCCACGCATCTGATGTGGAATGCGGGGCGGCCGGGGTGCATAGGCATGGCAGTGGGGGGGCCGCACCGCCAGCAGAGGGAGCGGATCGGACCAGGGATGAGCCCTCCGACAGCGCCTTCTCTGGACACTGTTTTACACCCAGATGGGTGTTATTTAATCATTGTCTTTAAACTGAAAGAAACCCAAACATGAGTCTATATTTGAAAATTTAAAACACTCACAACACCCAGGAGGACCCAGGAGGGTCCAGGCGTTATAGCAACAGAATAGATTTTTGTAACGGCTGGGCTACCTGCACTGATGTTTAATCCCAAGGCCGTATCCAAGGAACAAAGAAACAGGCTGCTCACACCCACACAGTCGTTCTGCCCAAGAAAGTGGGAGAACAAAGTGGAATCTCCTCAAGGAGAAAACTAACGAAGGCAGTGGCAACAGACCAGCTTTACCACAAACAAAAGTGCCTTCTCTTGACAGAGTCGGTATTTGTTGAGGGGATATCTTCTGTGAATATGCATTTGTGAAAATATATTAATCATATCAATGCAGACTTGTTCAAACGTAAACCAACGAAAACATCCAGGAGCTCCAACGTCCTGGCTCTGAGAAAGGCTCCCACAGGAGGGCGAGGAGACTCAGTTAAAAGTGTTTCTGTGACTCGGGTGAATCAGACCATGCGAAGGCTTCAAATAGCCCTCAAAGCAGCAAGCAGGACAGACAACCGTGTGAGCATGGCTCTCCACCCTGAAATACAGTTAACGTAAATACACTTTCGAATGAAAAACAGCCCTGGCTGGTGTGGCTCTGTGGATTGAGTGCCAGCCCGTGAACCAAAGGGTCGCCAGTTCGATTCCTAGTCAGGGCACATGCCTGGGTTGCTGGCCAGGTCCCCAGTAGAGGGTGCATGAGAGGCAACCACACACTGATGTTACCCTCTCTTCCCCCCTTCTCCTCTCTCTAAAAATAAAACAAAATCTTTTTAAAAGATTAAAAAAATTAACAATTAGATTTTTTTTCCTAAAGCATCTGGGGCATAAAAGCAAAAAAAATACCCTGAAAATTTCAGGTTCTTCCGTAAAAGAAGCCAAGTCACCAGAAGCAAACCAACCCGTGAAAACGTTACTGGGCGAGGCAGGCCTCCAGGAAGGCCCGGCAACCACATCTCTCTGCGCCACACTGCTCTGGGATTCGCACCATTATTTAAAATTGTGATTAATCATTGCATCGAGGAGGCGTCAGTGTTTGAATTCATGGCTCTTATTTCCCAGAATGTTTCCTCGAAAGCCCTGCCGAAGCCACTTCACCACAGTAAGAGTCGGGGAGGGTCAGGCCGGGATGGTGGGGACGGTACCGCCTTGGCAGGTGCAGCCCACAAAAGTGAAAGGTGGGTGTAAACAGTGATACTGTCGTGTCCGCTCTACAGAAACGAGAGGACAACGTCATGCTCACAGACGGACAGAAACAGTCGGCAGGTTTCTAACAAGCCAGCAGGAGCAGGGTGAAGGGGGGTGTCCAGAAAGTGAATGCTCAGATGGTCAGTCATCACATTTCACTGCTAACAAGGCCGCATGAGCCCATCTGTCATGGAACGAGCCAAGCTGCTTTTCTGAATCTATGTTAATGGTTAATAAGAATATAAAAGTGTAATTATGATTGTGGTTAGTAAAGGCAACTAGCTTGCATCTTAATTCATGCTTGTCTTTACTGTAGCCAGCTTTCAAACAAGGTTAATTTTGTAGAAAATCTTACTTTTTTCTGATGTCATATCGACCTGAAAGAAAACATACATAAGTTGAATGGTTACAACAGCGTCACGTCTCCTGGCCCCGATGTGCTTGGGGGACCCCAGTCGTGACCCAACACATGGGGACACCAAGCCTGAGGGCCAGGGGCCCCACTACACTCGTCCCTGCCAGCCTCCTTCATTCTTACCCAGACTCTGAGAAAACAAACCTCCTTTTAGACACTACAGGCAGAAGTCTTTTCTACCATGTTATTCCTGGGAAGACAGGACCCAGGGTGTGTTTGATGTTAGAAATGCACATTTGTTAGGGAAAAGGCCCAGGAGAGAGAGACAAGTGTGAAAGTGCCAAGTTCGTTGGAACAAACAGCATGCCAGGACAATACACTCTACAGAGAGCATGTCATTGTCACTAATTACAAGCCAGAGCACAACTGAAAAGGTACAGACTGCTCTTATCACCCCGAATATTTCCTGAAATGGTTCAACAGACACCCTAAAGCTCAGAGGAAGGGCTCAATCGGAGGCAGCTAAGTTGGCTTCGTCACTGCATGGCCCATGGGGAAGGGGCAGAGACCAAGTTCCCACCGCTGTGGTGACTGAGTCACAGGTGCAGGAAGGAAACCGGGTGTGAGACAGAGTAACGGACGTTGAAGGGAGGGTGACCAGGGGACTAAATGGGGACTAATGTGCTGATCCGTAAGTACAAGGATTTGCCACTGATTTCTTTCATGTCCACGATAACATATGGGCGTTTCCCGAGGTTTACAAGGGAAACAAACCAGCTGGCTTGAACTAGAGAAGCAACTATCACTACAATGGGCACCTAGTCCCGGTGACCCATCTGAGACGTGTGTCCTCTGCCTGTGCCAGAGGAAGGCACTGCCCGAGCTGCGGTGCCAAGCAGCCGGAGGGAGCCTGCTGGACCACCCACGCAGTGGCACAGTCAGGGACTGATGGAGGGACTACATGCTCCGTGGTGGTTGGTCTCCGTGGTTCCCAAACTTCCCGGTCTTAAGATCCCATTGACTTAAAAATTAGCGAGGAGCCTGAAGAACTTCTACGTCTGATACACACAAATAAACGTGTGTGGCAAAAACCAGGCTGAGGAAATGCTTGAGCCCAAGTTCACAGGTGCACCCAACGCCGGTGGCCTCCGGGAGCCGCCTCTGGGAGGACGTGCGAGTCGGAAGGCGGACAGTGTCTCCAGGCCACTGCGATGGGCCAGGACCGGCCCCGCGTCTGCAGACCGACCTCTGAGAACCACGGGCCAAGGGTTTGGCTGTCAGTAGTTGGCAGAGAGGAGTGGCTATTGCAGAGGCAGGGCGGCGATCGCAAGGACACACCTGTCCTCATACAGCGCCCGGAGGCTGCAGAGCCTCCAAGCACACAGCCCCCACGGCTCGAGCAACAGCACAGCCGCCCCAAGCGACAAGGTCACACAATTACCTCTTCCTCCTGTTCCTGGTCTGACTCTGACTCCTGGCCGCCCAGACGCCGCGTGTGATGGAAAAGAGCACGAAGAGCAGAGTTTAGGAGGAAAGGTTAGGACCCCGCCCACCAGCCTCCACAGGAGGCACCCTGTCCAGGGGCCTCATTTCTCTCACAGTTCACAGGGGCCAGGCAACAAATTAACTGAATGCCAACGTCTGGAGATCCAACAGACAAGAGAACCCGGATCACAAACACACTGATTCCAGATGGTCAGCCACCAGCCTCGAAGCTGAACACTGAGTGGCTAGGAGGGCGCCCATCTGTGGACATGGTGATGAGACTGGCTGGGAATGCCAAGGCCACGAACAAGCGTGTAATATCGTTGGGGCACCCAGGCACCGTGTGGGGTTCTGCTGCAATAGAGTCATCAAACGCTCGGGTGCAGCCGGAGCATGCGGCGCTGGGCACTCTCCTCTGTGTGCTGGGTTACTAGACCACCTCGGCGCCAGTGACTGCACTGGTCTGTCCCAACAGCTCACTGAGGGCTCACTGAGGTCAGAGCTGGAGCTCACTTCCTCCACAGAGACATAAAATTGGTTTACTCTCATCAAATAAGGCCTCACAGCATCGCACATGATGCTATGAGCCATTCTCTACATGACTCGTTCTCTGTGTACAGGAGTAATTAGTCAGGACACACAGCCTGGTAGGTGAAGGCAGTAAGGAAGTGCTCTGTCTTACGGGGTCCAGATTTGGGGTTTCAAATACATCCCCTCCCTGCCCCACACCTGCCCCACTGCTCAGATTCCTGGGCGTGTGGCCGCCACCTCCTGGGTGTTGCTACGTGGGGGTCCCATTGGGAAGGAATACTGGTTAAAATATTTTTAAATAAAACATTATCCCCAGCCCTGAATTCACTCAGTTGTCCTCTTGGTCTGTTATTTCTGCATAATCCAGGAGGAATTCTGCAGGGGGGTCTGCCCAGAAAGCAGTGCCTGCAGTTGGACCTGGGCCAGGAACTAACACGTTTTGTCCTTTTCAACAAGGTTTCAAATCCACTCCTTGGAATTGGAAGTATTTTGTATAGTAATCAACTATTTAGTTGAAAATTTAATTTACTCCTAAAATACCACAGGTGATAAGATGAACAGGTAATCACTTCAGCAGCAGGACAGACTATCGTGAGGCTGCTCTGCACGTGAGCTCCGACCCCCCTCTCCAGGCTGGTTGTGAACGGGGCGAAGCAGCCGCCTATCTGGGCACCTGAGTGTGGCCCTCAGAGGGCACGCAAAAAGCTGTCAGACAGACACCATCAGTTATTAGTTTTTTAAAAATTAGTCCCCCCAAAATCTTCACTTCAAATTTTCTGTCTCCCACGTCTAAGATGTGTCTATAGTAATGTCTCCATCGAAATGAGTTTAATGTGAGAAGAGCAGAGCTGCTTTTTCCTCACTTCAGTGGAGAGCCACAGACTTGACAAGGGATCAGAAATGACCAGGGCGTGTGTTCGCACCGTGTCCCTGCTGTCACACTTCCAAGGACCTGAAGACAAGCCCCCCCACGCCTGCAGGCACTGCTCGGCCTTCTCCATACCTTTATGTAAACGGGCAGGGTGATGTTCAGGTTGCAGATCGCTTGATGCACCAGGCCTCGGGTGGACTTCGGCTCTTTCATAAATGACAGTCGTCCGCAGGGTTCCTGAGTCGTGTCTCGTACCTCGAATAAGAGAAGCACAGGTGTGCCACCCACACAGGACGCGCGAGACCACCGTTACACAGATGGCGCTCCAAAGCATCGGGGGCAACGGTGCATTTAAGGATCTGAGTCAGGGTTAGCAGCTGCCCTTTCTCCTGGTCTACTACCATTTAAAACAACCTTTAAAACAAGTAATTCAGCTTTCTAAAAAAACTGTGGTGAACTACAGAACAACATTTACCATTTCCATTTTCACGCTGACACAGTCAGTGCACAACCTGGCAGCACAATGCACACTCACACAGCTGTGCCGTCACTGTCCCTGCTGGGCACGTGTTCCCAGCGTCTTGGACACACTCTCTGCTCCCACCACCCGGCCACTGCCCCATCTCCTCGGCCCTGGGCCCAGGGACCTCAACTCTACCTGTCTCTGCACCAGCCTCTTCTCGGTGCTCCAGACAGAGAGACTAGGCAGCACCTAACCTTCTGTGCCCAGCTAATATCACTCAGCCTATGTCTGTGAGGGCCACCAATGCCGCAGCATGTGTCAGAATGTCACTGATTTTTACGGGCCGAGTGACATTTCATTCAGTGGATGGGGCCATGTCTTATCAATGCATCTCTCTGCAAATGGATGCCTGAGACTGTCCACGTTCTGGCGAGTGGTGCCTTTACCGGCATGGGTGCCAGGGTCAGTGGGTCCCGCTTTCAGCTCCCGCAGGCACAGGTACACCTATGAGTGCAGTCCCTGGATCCTGCGGCCACGGACCTTTAATGTTCTGAGGACTCACCTCACTGTTTCCCATGGGGCCGCACATTTTATGCCCGACCAGTTTCCCTGCCTCCCCAGCAACATTTGCTAGTTTCTGACTTTTCTCTCTTAGGCAGTGACCATTCTAATGGGCGTGGAGGAGCCCGTCAGCACCCCAGTAACCCAGTGACCATTCACTCTGCGGCCTTCCCACTCGGCTCTCCCTAAGCTGTGGAGCACCTGTCCCTGTGCCGCTCACACCCCTTTTGTTTGTAAGTGACTTCTGACATCAGCGATACTAAACGTCAGTGTAGTTAGATAGCTGTCTGTGGTAAATGGCTCCGCCGCCCATAAGCAGTTCCTGCTGGTGGGGGGCTCGGTAAGAACCCAGCTTCACTCGGGCACAACCACTGAGCCAGAAATGGCACAACGGGAAGCTCAGGAGAGATCCTGGGGAAACAGTGCTAGACCTAAACCATCGCACAGGCTGACACGGGCTTGAGGAAATCGTGAGGGTGGAGTGGTAACAGGGTCACTGGCAACACACTGCTGGGGATGCAGACGGCCGCCCGGGGTGGAACCAGGAAAAGGCGGACGGCGCCCAGTCCCAGTCCGGGGCGGACTGTGCATCAGCCCCAGACAAGGGCCTGCAGGTGAGCAGCGGGAAGTGAGTGGCCGGAGAAACGGGGGCGGGGGGGGGATGAGTAGCCCTTTCTTTCTGTTCCGTGAACCTCTCACTTACAGTGTTGACCCTCCTGAGACTCGGAGGGGCAAGTTCCAGAATGAAACTTGAATTTATTGCGGCCAGACTCATCTGGATTAACACACTCACGGGGCACTCACATGCCTCTGAGAATGTTTGCTGAGTGACTGTGAATGTACGGCCACCTGTGGCTGTGCTGGGGACAAGCTCTCACTGGGTGACGTGGGCTCCTGGGCCTTTTGAGAGCTTTTATTACAAAAAACTGTCCCTTATAACTCTTGGTCTCTTCTTTTGTGAAATTCACATGTTGTAAAAACTTAAGCACAAACATTTAAAAGAAGTAACACTTAGAAAAGAGAGAGACTTCCTTTAAAACTGGAAAAAGGAAAACCCCTTTTTCTAGTTAATGAATTGGCTATTTATCCTTAAACACAGCCTACAAATAAAACCTATGGTGGAATTTTACTTTCAAAAGTAAAAAGGGTTGCTCCCCAGAACTTTGCAATTTTATAGATAGGGTTTAAATAAGCACCAGAAATGACTGAAAACGAGAATTCTCTCCTGAAGGAAATCGAATCCTCGCTGGTCTTGAAGCAAATGTGCCTGGAAATGCCACGCAGCTATTACCTTGACAAAGAGGGGAAGCCTGTTCTCCTTAAAGGCAAAGAAGCTGAATATGTGGTGCTGGCCGCTCTTGGTCAGGGGCACGAGGTTGCCGAAACAGTCCACGTAGATGGGCTTCCCTTCCAGCACCTGGGGAGACAGGAACGGCGGGGAGACGGCAGCTGCGTCACTGCTGGGCCTCCACGTGAAGAGCGGGCGCTGCCACCGGGAGCCTGGACCTGCACACACAGCCCTCCCCAAACTGCGGATGTGCCGTCTCACCGGCGGCGAGGCGCGTCCTCACGTCCCCCTTCCACTCCTCACCCGCCTGCCTGCGGGGCGCGGCGGCCTGTCGCGTGGATGTCCCCGTTTCCAACATCGCATCAGGCCACCCCCCAGACTGAATGGCACATCTTTAAACCCTGAATGTGGACTTCTGACGAGTCAGGCCGCCCGACCCCACTCCTCAAACCCACGCCGATGAGAAACGCCATCCGCAGAGGGTGCTGTGGAAGTGCCCCGGCACTCCACACTCAGTGAGGACGTGCTTCCCAACTGCTTTCTCTACGGCCAACAATCGGTGTGAGTGTCAACGAAAGATAAACCCATCTGACCTGTTATCGTTGCTGCAGACTTGCTCAATAAGTCACAATTTTCCCCAAGAAAATCTGTCAGGGAAGACTGTTACCTCCTGTACGCTGATGGTGTCCCCGCAGAACTGGTCCCAACCGTCTAAAAATAGCTGATTTTGGACCTTGACCTTCTAACTGATCAAAATGTAGACTTCTATTTTTTTTTTTTAGTTTATGGCTTTCTTTACGAAGTGCAATTTTACACATGGCCCGTGAACAAAGGCGCACATGTCAGCCTACCTTGTTCGGAACACCTACCTCCACGTCCCGGCTCCTGGCCACCTCGGCGAAGTTCTCCTGCTGCTCCAGCGTCTTGTCCACCTTGTCGTCGGTCATGCAGAAACACCGCAGCCTGGCCTCGATGGGGTCGTGGGACTTGGCAAACACCACGAACTTGGCCATGTAGGGCACACAGATGATTTCTCGGTACACTTGGGAGGCAAAGGTGACAGATTCCTGGGTTTGTCGACAGTCTATCAGCCAGAACCTAGAAAACGGTTCCAGGTCAGTCACCTGAAGCTGACGTGCAGCAGCCGAAAAGCATCCGTTCCCCCAGTGGGATCGAAGTCGCTGCTAAATGCTTCTTAGAAAAGAACAAGAGTGAGACGGAGACAAGGCAAGACAGGAAAGGACAGAGCGAGAGGCAGGGGCGCTGAGGACGATGCCGTGTTTGCCGCCAACTACGAAACCCGCATGTGTGTGAATTTCTTGACACACGTGCATCCATGTGTCCAGTCTTCTGAAGTCCACACCCCAGGTCCCAGCACCCTCGGGGGTGCAAACCTGGGCCGTCTTGCCTGGACCTTGGACCGGGGGGCCCCTGAGCCCCTCCATCCCTCCCCTCTTCCACATACTTCACGCTTCTCAGTCAAATCGACCCAGGTTTTCCTCACCTCATCACTCTTCCAAAACCTCTCCCGTCACCCAGGGGGGACCTGCCCCACCACCTGGGAATCTGTTCTGCTGCAGACCTTGTCAGGGCCACAGAGCATGGCCCCTGAGGGACGTTGCCAGCTTGGGGGCTCTGTGAGCTTGGCCACTGCACTGAGCCTGTGGCCTGGCCTGGCCACTTCCCGCTGAGCCCTGTGTTCACGTCACGCCCAGCCCCAGGAGGAACACCCCCGTGGAGAAAGCCGGGACTGCTCGGAGACATCTTCTCCATTTGCTGTTCACATGCACGTCGGGGCCCCTGCACTGTGGCTCTAAGCCTTGCTCTGCGACGGTGCCTCCTCCCCATGCCGGGCCCACACCCCCGAGATTCCCTTTGCCCCTCAGCCTGTTTCGTCCAGTTCCTCATCCATCTCTTCTTGTCCTTTTCACTGCTTTGGTGAAATACACATAACATAAAACTTTCTATGTCAACCACAGTGAAATGCATTCACCACGCGGGGCCCCATCTCCACTGGCCCACACAGAACACAGAGCCCATGAAACATCCACTTCTAACTGTCCCTCTCCCCTGAACGTGACACCTGGCAGAATCCCCGTCTCCATGAACTCCATGTTCTCAGCACCGCACGTGTGGAGCCTGTCGGGTGCTTCACTGAGCACAGTGGTCTCCAGTTCGGTGCAGGAGCTGGCTGTCGGCAGACACTCCCCGTTGTTCTGACTCATCTGTGCTCTGCTCACTGTTCCCTCAGCTGTCTGGGAGCTCACGGCGGGCACAGGAGCATGGTAACCAGGGGCGTGTGTTCTCCTGAGCGGGCCCCACCGTGGTGCCCTGTCTGACCTGTCCCCAGGGTCCTCTCTCCCACCCACAGCTGCCCCTCAGGCAGCTGCCCCTCAGGCTCCAGCACAAGTCGGGAGCCCCCTCCGCGCGGGCGCCGCTCTGGCCACCAGACGCGCCCCTGGGCCCCTGCGGAGCCTCCGGTTCCAGTGCCCGTCCTCTCTGCATGGGAAGGGAGGATTGGGTTCGCCCAGCACAGAGCCACCACCCCAGCTGCCGCGTCTCTGAGCTGTCCCTGCGTGCCCTTCCCCTCTGCCCGCCAAACAGGAAGTTGAGCCCAAACCCACTCGGAGTCAGATCCTCCATCTGTACAATGGACACACGGCCAAGTCTGTGGTCGTGACAAATTAAACGTGGGGGCAGTGCCCAGCACCCATTACAGATCCTGGGGCAGAGTGAACAGTAAACGAGCTAGCGAGTGCCGTGGACAAGACCAGGCCACGTCCACGAGGGTGGGAGCCACAGAAACAGGTGGAGCACTTGTCACCCAGACGTGCAGATGCCTGGCTCCGACCTTGCCACGTCCTGCTGGAAAGCAGCTCCGGTCTTTGCTGACAGCAGGGAACGCGCTGTTCCTGAGGCCCCGGGGCCGACCTGACCGTGGCTTGTCCCCCTCAGATTTTAATCTGGCTGGGTGCACTCTGTTGCTGTATCGTTCCTACCCCATTTGTGGTGGCGGGGGTGGGGGTCTGGTTTAAAATAGGAAAAGCAATGCAGACCATGTTGAAAACCAAACTAACAAACACTCGCTTTTGAAGAACATAAGAAATGGAATCAAACCCAGCGGCAGCCACAGCGGGGCGGTGTGGCCAGGGGCGGTCCGCACCACGTACCTGGCAGACACGTTGGTGGTGAAGGAGACACACTCGTTGACAAACGTCAGCGGCGTGGTTCCCGTGATGTCTTCCCACTGGGCAGGGGTGGTTCCACCTGAAATAACAGGACCACTGAGGCACCAGGCACAACTCTGAGTCCGGTGGTGAAGTGAGTCTTTGTGGTTCCGGCCGGATGCAGTTGCCGGCGTAGGCCCTGCCCCCGCAGTGACACACTGGGAGCAAAGTCACTAAAAGGCAGCACAGACGGGACAGCTGACCCAGCTTCCGGAGCGGAGGGTGGCTGTTTGAACTCCCGCTTTGTGCTACCGGGCGTCTGGGCCTGTGCCTGACACTCGGAGGCCTGTACTGGGGTTGCTGGCCCTGAAGATACATTTGTGCACGGCCAGCGATTTCAGAAGACCCTGTACCTGACCCAGGAGCTGAAGGCTCTGTTTAATGGGAAACCCAGGTACTCTGTTGCTCCTGAACTTCTCATTTCACACAATTCTTTCATAAAATAAAACTTTCTCTCAACGTACAATGGAAGGTTAGCAGAAAAATCTTGGGAAACATTAAGAGCTCAATGAACTCTGCAGGCAGATGGACAGACAGACAGAGGCCCATGAGTAGCCCGACCCGGCGGATGGCGTCTCGGCCATGTGGTCCGCTCACTGGGCTGACGGCAGGATCAGGAAAAGCCCGCACACTGTCTCCGCTGCCTCGAGTCCACACACTGTATCTCACGGGCACGAAAGGGTGCACAGGGCCCTGAACAACAGAGGACACCCAAGCCGGAGGCGCAGTAACAACCAGGAGCGAGGAAGGGCTCCCCTGTGCTCCTGTGGGCCCACGTTTTGAATTTTGCCTTTTATTAAACGAATGGGGTAAAATTTTGCATTTTACTAAATGTATGGGGTGGTCTCAATGGCTCACTGTCCTAAGTGTAGAGATACATGGATACGAAGGGAGACCCCGAGAGAGAACAAAGCAGGGGAACAAGCGCCCCGCCCACGTGCTGCCGCACCTGCAGGCCCAGGGGGATCCTCTTGGTCAGTGCCCTCCAGCAACCAGGCGACCAAGGCCGACTGTCACTCCCTCTGACAGGGCACAGATGTTGACAGAACAGCAGCAGCTTGGGGTCAGCACGAACAGGGGGTCACCAGCCAAGGGATGGGGTGGGGGGCGGGGGGCCCTCCCACTGTTGGTCGTTGGGCTCAGACCAGCAGTATTCCAGGGTGTCTGTCTGGAGTTGGGCAGTTGTCTGAACGCTACTACAACCGTCAACTGAAAAGACCAAATTCAGTTAATCCAGGAGAAACTTTACTCTGGTTTTCCAAAGTCAGTTTAACAGACCAAGGATGGAGACATAACCAACTCCGAGACAGAGGTCAGGTTTGAACTACTGGATGTAATCACTCAGGATGGTGCTTGTTTTCAGAAAGGTGCAAGGTGAGGCTCCGTGGAGGCTGACAGGTCCACGGGCCTGCGTGTGACTCTCGGCTCCTCTGGAGTCTGAGGTGTGACCTCAGGCAAGTCCCAACTGTCCAAGTGTCTTCTTCTAGACGTAAGGGTGTCCAACCTGGGCCCATAGGCCACATGCAGCCCAACACAAAATCGTAAGTTCATTTAAAACGTTATGAGATTTTGTTTGTGATTATGTGTTGCGCTGTATTTAATGTGTGGCCCAAGACAGCGCCGCTTCTTCTGGGTGGCCCAGAGACACCACAGGCCGGACACCCTGTCCCAGAGCCTCCCACTCGCGGGGTCCTGGGACCTCACCTGTTATACTGCACAGCAGCCTCAAGGTTGGCGCTTCTCCCCCAAAGCCATTCAGCACAACGTCGCTGGCAGCTTTGGGGACAGGGATGGTCATGGTGATGGGCTTGTGGAATTTCCTCCTTCGAGGCTCCAACGTGACTATGGGGCTGAAGGTGGCCTTGTTCCCGAGGATCTTCTTGACCAGCTCACTGTGCATCGGCTGAGCCTTTGCAAAGAAAACATACGACAGACAACAGACCGTTTTAATATGTTGCTTTTTGTCTCATCCCTCAGTGTGGTGGCTGTCAGTGTGGAACTGGGGTGGCGGATACTTGCCCTCCTGTACAAGACCTACTGTGTGGCAGGGAGGCCCCTCTCCAGCACGCTCTGACCGCGCCACCCCCAGCAGGGCCCCCCCTTCCCTGCAGCGCCCCCGCCCGCGTGCCCGCCGCACCTGCAGGCCCACGCGGATCCGCTTGGTCAGCGCACCCTCGGGGAACACGGCCTGCACCTGAGGCACCACGGTGCTGCTCAGCACGCCGCCCTCAGGCCCAATCAGGTGGCTGTCTTGTTTGACGCGCGACACCACAGCGAAGTACTGCGGGAAGTCGCGAGTGACGATGCGGCAGATGCGCTTGCGGTCCAGGTCCTCCGCGCTGTCCAGCACTGCGGGCGACAACATGTGCGGCCACGGTCAACGCCGGGCGGCCTTCCCCTCGCCAGCGCACTGGGTTCCCCCCTCACTGCACCCCCAACTCTCAGTCCTCAGGGTGTCGTGTGGGACCCGGTCTGTCCTGCAGGCCTGTGTCTACGGGGTCCCTCCAGCGGTGACTGTCGCTGAGGCAGCCACTGTGTGTGTAGAAAGGGCCTTTGTGGCACAATGACCATGAGCCCAGGGTTTCGACTCCCTGCGACCGTGAGCCACCTGCGTGCCATCCACCATACTCACAGGGCCACAGGCTTCTCCCAGCCTGCAGCAGGGCGGGCAGGTGGGCGAAGCGGAAATGCAGACGAGGGTGAGGAGCGGGAAGTTTGGACTGAGCGGGTCCCTGATCCGAATCCCTGATTTGGATTTTATTTTCCTGAAGGTCACAACAGAGGACCAGGCAAACCTGACTCGTCGCCAGGGAGCACACCAGACACCCGCTGCGCCGGAATGACACGCGTGCACGCACACACACGTGGCCCTGGAGTCCAAGAGCTTCGCTGCCAGGCCCCCTCGCGGCCGGCCACGCCCCAGCCCCGCACCTTCGTCCATGCCGTTGAGGACCTCGTTGAGCTCGTCCTCCGTGTGCTCGCAGCAGTGCTCCTTCCAGCCGTCCCCGTTCTCGCTGCGCAGCACCACCAGCTCCCTCTCCTTCCCGCGGAGGGCAGCGAAGTGGGGGATCTCCACGACGACAGGCCTGGCGGCAAGCGAGACACCGGTGTGGACAGGGGCCCGCCACTGCGGCACGCACGCGACTGTCTGTGGCAAAGTGACCTGGATTCCTCTCTCTGGGGACAGAGCACTGGCTAACGACGGCCCCAGAGCAACGTCCCACTTCGGGGCATGGGTCCCCAGGGACGCGCTGCCGCCTGGAGCCCCGGGACGCCCCCCTGTGAGTGCAGGAGGCATTCTGGAACTTCTTCGATGTGCGTAAAGGAACAAACATGCGTGTCTAGGCTGTGCACCAGCCTCCTTGGGCGCTCCCTGCGAGGCGCCGAATGATGCCGCCGTGGGACAGGGAGTGGCTCAGGCACCGTGGGGACCGCGGAAACTGCAGAGGCATGCACTCGGGGTCCGGTGAGAGCACCGCCAGCAGCACGCACGGTGCAGCACGCACGGTGCAGCCCGCGAGCCCCGCAGACAGCTGGGCATGGTGCCTGTGAGGCTCAGGCCCGCCCCCTCTAGGTTCACAGAGGCCGCCGGCCTTCCGGTCCAGGTTGCTTTGATACAGACTCCAAATTTATCATGACGACATCATAATTAGCACATAGCACCACTAGGCAGGGCTCATGCTTTAACGAAAATAAGGTCACAGCACTTTAAGGGAAAAGGCATAAAAACATCACTCAAAAACAAAAGTCACATACCACAGGGGTCAGAAATGGTCCACTAAAGAGAGGTCATATACAGAATTGAAATCATAGAGAGGGACACGTCATGGCACGATGACAAAAGAGAAATCATACTGCAGGAGGAGGAGGAGGGGCCCACAGCCATCAATGTGCTTTAAGTCGCTCCTACCCAAGGAATTTGGTTCCAGGAGGCCCCAGCTGAAGGATGCGGCTGACCAAGCTTTCTCCCTCATTAAGTGGGGGGGGAGCCGCTGGCAGGTGCAGTTTACTGAGCACATCCAAAGCAGCAGTGAAAGAGAGAACATCAGTCAGCTTCAGGTGCGGCTTCCACCGGCGCCAGCGCCACTGCAGATCGACAGGGCCGGCTTTGGTTCTGCCCCCTCCATTGGTCACAGGGAGCCAGGTGCGAATGGCCCGAGTGCTCAATGGAGGTGCAGGGACGCCAGAGCTCATGGGGGTGGGTGTGTCCCTGGTGAGGCTCCCCCAGGGCCAGGGCCAGGGCCAGGGCCAGGGCACGAGCCAAAAAAGGAAAAATGTGCTGCTCCACAGGAAAGACAAAGCTGCTGGGAATACAATGAAAACTCGGACTCTGTACAGAGGCCTGATGTTTCCACGGAGATTCCCGCACAGATGTGCCCCCACAACCAGAGTGTGAGGGAGGGAATGGGCCTGGGGCAGCAAGGGACAGGGGGTGCAGACCGACTCCACCCAGACCCCCGCGGGCTCCCCCTGGAGCTCTGGTCTGACGGACCCGGGAGGGGTTTCTAGAACCGCAAACACAGACACGTAATTCGGAGCAACCCATGAACAGTTGGCTCCGAATCACGAGGTTTTAGATTGATTCCTAGTTCCAGAGCAAGAGCTCTCTCCCATGTGACACAAGCAAAGCAAGGGCTCGTGACACACAGGACTTGAGCACAAAGACTTGCTGTGACAGGACTTAAATACAATTGATTCGTTTCAAAATATTTTGAAACTCATCCCCCTCTAGAACTTCATCTTTTTGTCAGTTTTCAGCGGAAGCTACGTATTTCTCAGCAGGTTGAAATACCACTTAATAAAACAGCAGCCATTCAAACAAATAGAAAATTAAAGGCTAATTTCGGCTCAAAATTGCTAAAACAAGGATGGTAGACATGCGTCTAGATTTCATCATCTTAATGACCACTGTGACCAGACAGCCTGCCTGTGTGATTGTCACACGCGAGGCAGCGACTGTGGTGACGGACGAGACAGGACACAGACTGACTTTGGGCCCTTCTATAAAGGGACACTCCCTTCCCGAGGGTGATTCTCTCACAACTCACGCTCACGTCTGGAATAGAGCAGTTTTTTTTTCTTACGACTTTACCATGTAGGCCTCAGTGGGGAAAAGAAGGCCCACCGTGGCCCACCACAGTCACCCACACTGGGAGGCCAGCAGCTGCTGCCACGTGCAAAGACGGAGTCATAAGGAGCCTCCCAGTTGAGCCCATGGAAGCCTTGAAAGAACAAGTGTGGAAGTGGAGCTGGGCCTCAAGACATCACTTCCAACTCTCAGAAAACTCCACAGGGCCAAGTCCGTTTACCACATTTGACGCACCTTTGTGCCTTCCAGCCTAGTGGCGTCAGGAGGGGTGCACGCTCGCCAGGGACAGAGTGGGAGGCTTATCAGAGACTCTTACCCCAGGAACTGAGCACCAGAGGGTCCGACTTCGATGAGGCGGCTTGCCAGGCCTTCTCCTTCCACCATCGGGGGCATGGTGGCCAGTCGGTGGCGTTTCACCAGGCGGCAGGTGACCCGCGTGGGGGCCGTGCACTTGCGTGGCGGGATGATGATGCGCAGCCCGTGGTGTCTGCAGCCCCGCATGGCGCCCCCGCGGGCGTCCACCATGAAACTGACCAGGAAGCTGAAAGGGAGAGCAGACGGTGGCCGAGTTTGCAAGATCGAGGGCAGGGGCACAAGCTCGGGGGGGGTCACTGAGGCCCGTAATGCTGTGTCCTCAAGTCATCCCCTCGTTCTTGGCATGCACGGCGGGAAAAATCTGCCTTTGAAAGTTGTTTTACTTTACACCAATGCCTTGATTTTGGTTGTGCTACTGTTTTAATTTTCATGCTATTTTTACCTGAAACCTAAGGTTTCAGCTAATTTTTGTTGACAATGGTCATGATAAACTGTACATCAAAAACATATGCAGTTGACATGGAAAGTGGAATGGAATTCTGTGAAGACGCTGAGGAGTCTCCTTCCTGCGTGTGCCCTGAAAATCCCACACACAGAGTCAAGTGAGGACAGAGAAGCTGCGGTAAGTTAATTCCACTTGGCTTTTCCAAGTTACGTCTTGTCCAACTCATCGTAATGTAATTTTGGGACTTAAAAAAGGATGCACAGGCCTCTCCCAAGGTCACACCATGAATGTGCACCCAGCTCACAGGAGCCAACGTCGGGGCAGGAGAGGTGACGGTCCCTCTGCTCCATGTGTGATGCGGGAAACCCTGGCTCCTGCCAGGGAGGGTGTCAGTGCCCTGTGACTGTCCCCAAAGTGTAGCGAAGTGAATGTGGAGAATCACGGACGATTTAGAAGTGGAAGGGTGTCTCCGTCATTTTTGCTCCTGTTCGGCCCAGCTCATGGTTCATGGGCAGCCATCCATCCCAGGTGGCTCGGCCTGTGTGTCGGGGGAAGGGTCGGTCTGAACGCTGAGGATCGGTGGGGCTCCTGTCACTTTGTCCGTCACCACCCTCACTGACGTCCTGGAGGAACTGGCTTTGCCCTGGAGCAGCTCTGCCTGCACACGCACACGGACACATGGGCAGGCGGCGTGTGTCCCAGACACGGGCCCCGTTGCCATCTTTGGCAGTGTCATTGCATTCGCGAGGTTTGGACGCCAAAACAGCAGGAAGGAAGCAGCACCTGGGTGCACCCGGGCTCAGCCAGCAGCCCCACACAGCACCGTGTCCACGGCAACACCCAACACACGGGCAGGCGTCCAGCCTAGGTCCTTGTGGGACCGAAGCACAATGCACTTGTGTCATTTTTACACGAGTGAAGAGAAAGAGCTCAGCACCCCTCACAGCACAGCACAGGCTTCGCCAGGCATGTAGTTAGAGCGCCCGCCGCTCGTCCCCAAAGGCACAGGCAGGGCCCAGAGCCTGCACAGCCGTCACGCGGAGGCACCCGAGGCCCGCACACCCTGACCAGCGTGCTTACTGTGGCCCCACCGGGGGTGGGGGGAGGGTGATCAAGAGTTCAGGCCCCAATGTGGATGTTTCAGGTCTTTGTCAAAACACGTGTGAGAATGTCAGCTGCTTTTCTTACTACCATGTCACCTTTTTAAAATATGCTGTTGCTCAAAAGAATGACACTTGTGGTGAATATGAAGGTTTTGCTTCTGTCTTATGACTTTGACTATGTTTGGCAGCCTCCCTGCTGTCTGCACCTGCTGAAGGCACTCGGGCATTTCTGCCCGGGCACCTGCCGGGTGTTTGTACCTGTGTGCTGGCAAGGCTGGCACTGGCACGGCTCCTGCGCCACTTTCTCCACCTCGGGGTGTGCAGAGCGTCCCTTCTGGGGACCTTCTATCCAGAGGCCGAAGGGCTACATTGCTGGCTGAACGTGTTGGTACGTGTTTCACCCCCTTTTCATCGGCTGCTCCGTGTGAAACCCTGTTGCTCCCATTCACCCCACAGCCTCCTGTTCCTGAGACACTGTTACCCTCACACCAGGGGCTGCCCTGCTGGGAGTGGGGCTCAGGCTCGGAGTCTGAGCCCCAAGGAAGGCTTCGCTGACCCGAAACCACATTCGTCCCTGGTGCCTGGGAAGGAGCCCTGGCAGCAGTGATCCCGTGCCGCCTGGGTCCTGGCACGAGGTGGGCGACACTGTAGGGAGGAGGACAACCGCTGAGTGAGTGAGCGGCAGGGTGAGAGGAGCGAGCTGGGAAACGCTGTCCCGATTTTCATCTAACGCAGGGAGAGGACAGCTCGTGCAGAAGGGGATGTACTTGTCCCATCTCTGGGCAGACGATCCACTCTGAACTCATTCGAACGACCACACGCCGGTCTTCCGGGCCCTAGAGCCACAGAATCAGACTCCGGCAACGTCACTGCAGGGAGCCAGCTGATAAAACAGCTGAGCGTGTGGAGCTGCGAACTGAAAGCAGGCTTCTCCAAATGACAGGGAATAAGAGAGCCAGTGATTGAAGTGCTATCTGGATGCTGATGGGAAGTCTTTTAGATGAAAGTCAACATGCTGGTCACTTAGTCCCAATTGTTTATAACAAAATTGGGTGAGCATTTGAGCATTTTCATTAAAATGTCAGATTATCGAAAGGTGTCGGGACTTGGGTTGGCAGTACAACCCAAGCTGAGGGTTGTTGTTCTGTGTACATTTCCAAATCCTAAAAGCAGATGAAAGAGACTTTTTTGTGCCACAGGAAAAGGGGGAAGGCTGTACGGTGTTGAGTCATGAGGTGATGCTAAAGTCAATTAAATGGGTTTGGTCCTCTCGTTTCCAGGAGATTAAAACTGGGACGAGACCCTGTCCGTAAGCCATCTAGTGGCTGGCGTGGAAGTGGAGACGCGGAGCAAGGTGTGTGCGGGCGGCCGACGCCTGGCTGGGGCTCAGCCTGTGGTTGGTGTGGCCACAGGCAAGGCAGGGAGGTGCCACCTGCAGGGAGGGCCGGTGAGGACTCAGCCCCCTGCGACAGAGACCTGCGGCGAGCGAATGCTGCCCCCCTCGCCTTCCTCTGCCTACACCCACCTGGCTTTGGAGAGTTTGAACATCGTCAAAAAGACAGGACAGCACAACATCTAAGAACCAATGGGGACACTAACATTTTTTTGAGCACCTACAGTGAACCCGGGACATTGCCGAAGCAGTTTAATGAGATGATGGAGCTTTTGCTCCTTTCTGAACGTCTCTACTTTAATGAAATACAAGCCACTGCCTCACAGGGCCCTGCAGCAGCAGCACCGCGGCCTCCCCGGCCCCTCCCCCCCAGTCCCCCCTCCAGTCCCACTGATCGGTCTCTGCCCGAAGCACTGCTGTGGCGGCACACCAGTCGCTTCACACCTTTAGGTCTCCATTTCCTAAAACGAGACTGCCCCCCACACACTGCAGAGCAGCGTTTGCTGCTGCTGCCGCCGGCTCCGCACGTCCTGGTGCAGGTGCTCGGGGTGGGGGGCTTTCCTGCTGGGAAGGCACAGGACGCACTGCAGCTCTGCCGAGGAACAGGCTCCTCTCTGCTCTGCGGTTAAGCCAGCCAATGAGCGGTTGTGCCGGAGCCTGCACCGCACACTAAGACTCTACAGACAGAAGTGTCACATGCCGGCCTTGGCTAAAACTGCACGTCTTACTTTGGATAAAATTCAGCAATCATGCAAATTAGAATTTCTTACTGAGATTTTCTAAATTGTAAGATTCAGTGTTATCACAGTTTAAGAAGAATAAAGGCAAAAGCGACCCACCATTATTATGCAGATGACTCGCCTGAGGCGACCGGATTAGCTACCCGGATACATGCTTCCAGGAGGCTGGGCAGGGGTGGGGGCCTGGGCTGCTGAGGGTCACCCTCCCCCAAGTCAAGGGCGGCTTAGTTCAGTTCAGTTCATCCAGGAGCCCGGGCGGGGTGGGGAGGACTCTGTAGCATTCAGTTAGTTTGGGGTGAAAACAGGGAAAAAAAGAGTCGCCAGGGTGCTTCAGTGATCTGCACACACTGCCAGGCCCACGGGTTACGTCCAGTTCTGGTGAGGATGCCGCGTCCGAGCTTCTGCTCCACAGCCCCCTTAAAATAAACCCTTGGAAACCCCCCATTCCCATCCACTAAACCAGGGATGGAAAACATCTCTCAAAAAAGATGTGACTCAAATTTGCTAAAATCACCAAAAAACCATTTATCACTCACAGTGTTCACAGGTAGAAACATCATGTTTAGTGTTTCAGAAAAACTGAAAGGATGGACATAAAATTTTCAAAATTGGACATGTGAAATTGCTTTAGTTGTGGACAGTCCAACACGATGGATGACTGAGTGACCAAAACGCTGTCACTGGTACGAACCCTCAAAACTAGTTCATTGAACTAACATAGGACAATGGATGTTGCAGGCTGACTATCACAAGGCTGTTAGTTACAGCAGCATAGGAAGGATGTACCACCAAACGCCTGCAGCCTCCGGCTCGCTTGGAATGCAAGTGTTTAAAAAAACCTGCTGAGTGACAGAGTCACGACTTCTAACAGACCTTTCAAACAGGTCCACCAGTTTGCGTTTGCCAGGAACGACCGTGCGGCTCACGGGGCTTTCTCACCGCAGAAGTGGCGGCAGGGGAGCCGCAGTCAGGCAGGACTTCCCTGCAGGGCTGAGTTTACTCTGGGCAAAATTCCAGAAAATTCCAACGAAATGGACAATGCCCACTTTCCCTCCACCGCAGAGAAAGGGGACCTGGTAGGGATGTGGCCGGAGTGCGGCTGTGTCCCTGACAGGTGTTTGAGCACTGGAGCACCCTGGGCTGCAGGGGTGGGGGTGGCGGGGACAGGTGGGCGGGGGATGCACAGTCACCTGCTGTTGTCGCGATCGAGACACGGAGAGGTGCGGCTGCAACAGAACAGATACTTTAGCACAGAGAAGGGGCTGTGGGACACCCCAGAGGGTCCGAAGCAGCTTTGGAATGAAACAGATTACCCCACACTGCTGCAGTCTTCACAGAGAACAGATGGGGACGCCATGGGGGGCACCACTCTGCACAGATGCTGAGAGGGGCCGGGGTGGGCTCCGGGACGCAGGGGGCCACGGGCACCCACTGGCAGCCCTGCCCAGCGCTGGCTGCGGGGCACTGACGAGGCTGCTGTCCCAGAGCCCAGACACCACTGAGGAGCATTCAAACGACAGTTACAAAGGCTGAGACTGACGGGCAGAGTTTTGTCTCCAAAGCTTTCCGTTCACACTGTTAACCCTTCCTCAAGACTGGCGGTGCCCTATGGGCCACTGCAGAAGGAATTGAGACAGAAAAGGCACAATTTAAAGACTGGCTTCCAGGACAAGCAGTGGCAGAAGTGATAAGGCAGAGTAGGTAACGTGAACTGCCTACAGGCAGGTAGCAGAGACTGTGCCAACAAAGTCTCGGTGCTCCTTCAAGACCGTGGGCCCTGCCCCAGCTGCTGGCTGGCTGGGGGTGGGGGGCCCGGTCAGACCCCACGGCACAGGCCTGTCAGCTCCCTCAGCTCACTCGTGCCTGACATACAGGACACATGTTTAAGGGACCAGAAAGCCAACCTTACAAAACAGTCGTGGAACTACTTATACAGTCATTTTCTTCACCCAAAAGAATTTACCTTCATGTGCCTTTTTAAAAACTAGGGCGTTTGAAATACATGAACAACCAAGTTAACTGCTCGAGGTTCTGAAATATTAATGTTGTCAAGCAGCAAACAATCTCCACTTGCTCAAATCTCCAATACCCACTTCCCCTGTCCGGCCGAATAGCTTCATGGGTTTTTAACAGACTTCACTTTTTGGGGTAGCTTTAGATTCATAGCAAAACTGTCTTCGACGTGTTTTTATGAAAAAGATCAATCTTTAATGGACTTCTAGTTGCTACAACTCCTTGTAGGATAACATGAGAAATTAACATTTAATTGCTGGAATGTGGCTCTCATTAAAAAACTGTAAAAATAAAGAGCTTTGGGATAATACTTGAAATGAATGGAAAAACGAGCCGTTACTAGAACGAGGCCTTATGTCTGCTCATTCACAAGCACTCGTGAAACTGAGAACTGTGAATTCACGATGACGCTGGTTTGAGCATCACTGGGCAGCTGGCGACATCGCCGGCTCACTGATGAGTCAGCCACACCACTCCGAAGAACCACCACTGGAATATAACTGTCAGCCTTTCTTCGGCCAGAGGTCAGCTGTGTCTCCTGGGCAGTCAGATTGTTTTGGTCAGTGGACATCAGCCGCTGGGAGCCCAGAGCAGAGGCGGAAGAAACCACTAGCCCGGCCTCAGGGGACAGCTGGGCCCTCCGCTCGCCTACAGCCCCACCGGGGACCCCATTAGACTGTCGCATCTGAAAACAGTGGCAGGTGTATTTAAAAAAACTCACTTTATTACCCCCTCTGTCAAAAAACTTTTTTTTCCCTGACACTCTGGGCAGATTTAGAAGTGGCTTAAGAATTTGCCCAAGAACCCCAGTTCCTTGAAAAAAATATATAAAAACAACTCAGGAACCGGGTGTATAACGAATAAAACTACAAAAAGTCAATGTTATATGATGGGATGTCATAGATGCAGTTCCTGTCCATTCATCTGGTGGTAGCTTTCAAACGCCACGACACTCAGGACCGAGGATTTGGCCGTCACTCCCCATCGGTCAGAGCCATGGGTCCTGTGGGTTTGCGTGAACACTACAGTGGAGTGAGGCATCGCTGGGCAACAGGGTCCCACTGAAAACAACTGTGAGTCCACCTGACAGGAAGACGGTGTCACCCAGGGGACTGGGAATGCAGTCGGCTGGGCTGGGGTTCAGGAGCCACCCGGAAGGCATGTGCAGGGATGTGTAAGTGCTCTGCTGAGTACTCTTCTGTGTAAGTAGACTCTGCTGAGTACTCTTCTTTCTGGACAAAATGCTAATTATTTAAGAAGCCTATAGCCTTAAGGTTCCCCCGCGGGATCCGTAAGATAACATTCACCTTCCTGAGAAGTGAACTTAAACTGTGACCTTTGACCGTCTGCCTAACATGGCTCGTGCCACACCCCAGGTGACGTGGCCGAGATGCAGTCTGATGGAGCCCCTCCAAAGGGGACACTGCGTTCCCTCTCCTCCACAGACTGTCTTCCAGCATCGAATGACACAGGTGTGTCTCTTCGAGGGAGGCGGGGCCTGCTGCAGGTGTGGCACTCCAGAACTCAGCAGCGTGCGGGGCACTCGGGACAGGTTAACCACCGGGCTCTCCGCAGCGATGGGCGCTGTTAGGCCTCGCCGGCCTCCCTCACAGTTGGTCTAAAACATGCACTGCTGGACGACTGGCACTTGTTGACATCAGGAAGCCACGGCTGTGAGGGTGGCAGAGACTGTGGGAACTGGGTGGGGCCTGGCCTCTGCTCAGGGAGCTGAGCACATTCAGTCAGCGATCCCGCTGGTTGTTCTGGGAGGAACTAGTTTACTGCAGACCAAGACTGTAAAGACCCTATCTTAGTAAGTGATTGATCTTTAACCACGAATGCTCTAGAGGTTGACTCTGTGGTGAATTCAGCCATTATGGGTTAATCACGTCATGGCTGAGATCATCCTTCCCCAGGCAGGCCAGTGAGGACGTAACTAGGACGGTTTCTGCACTGGGGCCTGTTACCGTCAACACTCAGGGTCGAGCTGTTCCTTCTTCTCATCCTCAATCAGAAGTTTAGTAGCAGAGTGCAACGTTATGCTTTTTGAATAATTTATAGCCATTGGATTTTAATTATCTCATTTTACAGTTAAAATATGTAATTAATTTTGGATGAGGTTTATTTTGGTTTTTATTTCCTTGAATAAGTGTTGCATTAGGAACTAGCTTTTACTTTTTTAACAAGGAAATAAGTCTTATTATTTCCCATATCTTTGTAACTAACTTCACATTCTATGAATCTTTAGTAGAAAATGAAACTAAGATGCCCTAAAATTTTTAACATCTTAGAATGCTTTCCTGAAAGGAGACTATTTTAGAATAATAAAAACAAGAAAGGATCCACAATTCAAAATAGTCCTAGGGGTTATGGATAAGGAGTTTGGATAAATACAAAGAATTGTATTTAGTTAGATAATATACGAGCAGGGCTTAGAAAAGTGACTAAATGAACAAATAAATGTTAGGGCTTTACATATAATATGAACGGCCACATGACCAAAACTACTGAACTGTAAGGGGAAGTTCAAGTGTGAAGTGCATCCACAACAATGAACTCGGAGCCCTCCCTTCTGCCGAGCTGCTGTCAGACGCGGCTCGCTCGGTGGCACACGCGGCCGCTGACCCGGGACGGGCAGACTGACAGCAGCACCGCATTTCCTCTGCACACAGAACAGGACTCGGACTTCCGGAAACATCATTTTGAGTGCATTCATGTGTGAGCAAAGGCATCTATTAACCAGCCGGTTAATCTCACGTACAACTTTCCAGAAAATAGATAATCCTGCCTCTCCTTTTCAGACTTCTTAAAGACAAAATGTCAAGAGTGAGGACACCTACAGTATCAGCTAGTTAGTTAGCAAGCTGACGCGGTTCTGCTGGTTATTTAAAAACAAGGGTCAGTTTTTCTTCACTGAGTCTGACCCTGTTTGCCGGTTTGTGCAGTAAGGGCCCATATTGGGCAAGCCGTGTTATTTACAAGTTTAAACAACGGTCACTTCCCCTGTAAGCTGGCCACCAGCTCCAGCCACCGGACAAAGCTGTCATTTTCACACCCCCCTCGCTTACCCTCGCTCGGGACACACGATACCAGCAACTCACCCTGAGTGAATAGGGCTGGAAGACAGGGCCACATTGTCCAGGGTCTCGGGGCCCCAGCTGAGGCGGTAAGCGTTCCTCTCCGCCTCCTTGGCGAGCGCCGACACCTAGACACAGAGACAGTGCTGAGTGCAACCCCCCTCGCTCAGACTGACACGCTGCCACCTCCGAACACGGCGCCACAGGTGGGCAGCCCCGCCTGAAAAAACCCCAACTTGAAAATGCAAGACCAAGGTGCGTTCGTTTGTCATGCACCCCTGTATCAATGACACTGTGGATGTTGGATCACATCTGTGTGACTGCCTGTGAAGAGAGCAGGTGTTGGTGTAGTCACGTGTCCAGCCAGCCAACACCAACACGATCACGCCCCATTCCAAAGTGTCCCCTAAAACACTACATCTTCTCCATCGGTGACAATTCTCAACACCGAGAGGAGTCATGTGACCCTCCGTAAATGCATCCTACTTCACACTGTTCCCTGTGCTAGAGACTCTCCGGGGGGCTGATTTTCACACGTGATCCCACAGAGCACAGAACAGCTAAAGAAACCAGCAGTATGGCTTTAGAAAACTGCGGGTCACAGAGAAACCTAGTGAACGTTTTCCCTGGTTTAGAAAAGGCCTCCGGTCTTACATCCGGGCGTCACAAGGTTCCCGTGATTTCTTTCAGATGAAGAAGGGCTGCCCTGGACGCCCCCCAACACCAAGCAGCATCCGAAGGCTCCGCAGCCCGGAGACAGGCAAGTGCAGGGCCACCTACCTGATGACTGGGGATCAGGACTGCGTCGTCAATCATGGCGCTGTCCCGCAGGTAGGAGGCGTGGCTCAGGGTGTGAGACCTGTCGGAACTGAAGGACCGGAGGCTGGCAGGTGAGCAGGAGGCCATGGTCACGTGCCAGCGGCGAGCGGAGGGGGGAGGAGGGCATGACGAACCGAGCAGGAGAGGGGAGAAAGCGTGCAGTTAGCTGCTGGGGCCTTCCAGGGGACAGACCGAGGCCCAGTGCCGCCCACGGGCCCGTCACCCACACGGACACGCCCCGACCAGTCTGGGCCGGGGCCCCGGGGAATCCAGAAACTGGGTCTGATCCTTCTGATCAGACTCACGTTCTCCTGAGAAAGGCCTGGAAGCAGCAGCGGCCATTCACGCAAGGAATGGTCACATGGACAGACCGCTCAGACCTGAGCCGAACGCTAACCTTCCTGCAACTGAGAAACGCAAGGAGCAAGCCAGGCCCTCAGAGAGAACAGGACGGAAGACAGACTTCTGTCCGTCCACGCCCATCCTGCTCTGCTGCTGTGACCGCCGAGGCCGGGGACCCCGGGAGGCCAGGGAGACAGCACCGCAGCCACATGCATGCACACTTCCTGAGGAAGCAGGTCCCCAGCGAGGCCAGGTCAGAGGACAGGCGGCCCCTAGGTGCCGGTCGCCACAGCAATTACACAGGCACACAGAAAGCGTTTCTAGGCACCAGCCAGACCCAGCCAGCCTCCCAGCACAAAGCGAGCGGCCAGTGGTGACGAGCAGAGGTGAGGCTGGCTCTCATGGGGTTCGGGCCTCCACCACTGTGTTTTCCTGACGTTCTGTGGAATCTGAATGCCGGCGTCCCGCACAACGCACTGAAGTGTGACCAGTGCAACTTGGCATTCAGAGATGCAGTTTTACTCCTCCCTGGTCAATTTGTACACTCCGAGGACAAATAGATGGAGAGCTTAAATAAGCTCTATTTTATGTCCAGGTATTTAAAGACCAGTACTCAACACACTAGCCCAAAGCCCGCAGGGGAAATGGAGAGACATGCAGTCACACCACGGTCACAGAAGCAAAGTGCCATTTACTCTGGCTGGTGGGTGTGCAGCCAGTGCAGCTTGTAGAATTATGGACTAAGTGTTCCAGTTCATGCACTTGTCAGCAAACACTATGTCCATTTTACAAATGTACCTAACTTTGTAAACCAACACCGTCCTGTCTACCCTCCGGCCAACTTGGGTTCTCTCTGCGGGGTGCCCTCGGCAGAAAATCCGTGGTGGCGAAGGGCCCTCTCCCGCCGACCCGGACCAGGCCCCAAGCACCACCGGCTGTGGCACGCGTGGGGGCCAGTAGCTGGGTCCTGTGTGCTCACACCTGCACGTGTCTGTGTGTTTACAACAGACTGGAACCTAAGCAGAGATTGGGGGTCCCCGCCCTTGTGTTTCACAGGCTCCCGCTGAAGACAAGGGTCCTGACACCACACACCTGGGGCTTCAGTCCTGGCCCTCAGAGGCAGCTCTCCCTCCCCTCAGTGGAGTTCAGCAGCATGCTCATAAAGGGGCTGCAGTGCACTCTGAGTAACCTTGGCCTGGCCTTGAACTTGAGGACAGGAAAGGGATTAAATTAGGCGGGGGCAGGGAAGGGTCTTTAAACTCGGGAATCCCGTCTCCCTTAGAGGACTGAATGATTTTGTTTTACTGCCTTAAGCCACAGAGCTGCTTCAGGTTCGCTGGCATGAGTTCCGTGGCAGGCCACTCAGAGGCAGTGCTGGTGTCGCGCGCTCCTCACTGGGGTTGGAAACGGGCCAAAGAAGACAGCAGTGGAGGTCGCCCGCCTGGAAGGACAGGGCCATCCACACGCTCGGCCCACCTCCATCAAGTCTCCGGGGCCCGACTAGTTAATGGCATAACCTTTCCCCACAGCTTCAGAATTCAAAGATGCAGAGGGTGAGGTCACGCACTTGAAGTGCCAGATGGACGTGCACGGCAACACGTAAGGAGCAGGAGGCTCTGGGAATGGGACTGAAGTGCCTGCTCACAGCGTTGGGGAGACGCTGGCCCCCGCAGAGCTGGCCCTGAGATGTCGTTGCTGGACAGTGGAGATGTGGGAGTCAGAGGGGACGGGAGCCAACTGAATGGTGGCAAAGGTGCCTCAACTGGACCTGGGCATGCAGGAGCAACACGTGGACGCCGGGCTCGGCGGCCGCCCCCCGGGACACCGTGACCTGGGTGGGTGCCCATCTGCTTCAGGAATGGGGCGTGAAAGGGCTCACCCGATGGAGCACGACTCCACACGTGGCAACCCCCGAACCCCACGGCCTGACTGCTGGGTCAGTCTACTGCTGGGTTTGGGGGGACAGAGTGGGGGCAAGGCTCATTTGTCTTCCCTGAAACCCAACAGGAAAGGGACACAGAGAGAGAAGAAAGGGGAGAGAGAGACGCGGTGACTTCCAACAACCAATAAAGAGACCAGGGTGGAGAGAGATTAGGAATGAGTGAGGAAAGCCAGAAGGAGCCCTGTGTCTCTAACATCTCCGACTGCGGGACTGCGCGCTACCGCCATCTGCTGTTGAAGCACTGCTATGGTTTGTCTGGCACCTTAGGGCCTATTTTGCTACAGAACCCAACTCAAGGAAACAGTGCCGGAGTGTTCCAACAGGAGGGGACTATTCTCACTGAAGGACAGGCAGCCAGCAGAGTCTGGGATCACTATGGTCTCTGGCCCGGAAACTGCCCACTGGATTGAAGACGTCAGGAACAAGTTTAAACGTGTTGCAGCAGAGCGACCCTCGCTCTCCACCCCGTCAGAGGTCATGCTGCTCAGCTCACAGGGCCACGTGTCTGCCGAGATGTGTGGGAAGTCCGTCGTGACCTTAAACATGTACTTTCCCACTACGGCACACTGCTTTTATGGACACGTACTGGGTTGTCTGCGTCTATGACTTCGCTGGAAAGTGCCGTGATTCCCAATGCGTGTGAGACAGCCAGTCGGCGGAGTTCTCCAGCCCACCGAGTGGGTCGACACTGAGGTGCCGCTGTGCCTGCTGTCCCTCCGTGTTCGACCCTGAACGTGACAGCATCTGAGGTTTGTGAGCACTGGTAAAACAGAGGGGACCGCCCATCCTGCCGGTCAGAGGCTGGCTGTGATCTCATTCCACGCACAGAGTCACACCTGGTTGACTCTGCACCCTTGTGCACTCCAGTGTCACAACCGTTCTTCTAACTGCACGGGGCTAACGAGGGCCCTTTTGGGGCAACCACACAGGGCGCTGTGACAGGTGAGGTCAGGCCCCCGGGCTGGTCCTAGCTCCTCATCACACAGGAACCCTTCCAGCCCAAGGAGCCATGCCACGCGACACGTAAGAACCCTGACGTGAGCAGAAATCCCTAATTCTGGACCGTCGGCACCCACGAGCGCAGCACACACACAGAGGCCAAGCAGCGAGCGGGCGGATGCGGGGGAACTGCAGGGCCGCGCTGCCCGGCTGCGGGTACCCACCTGGGAACGGCACTACCGAAGGCACAGCAGACAGAGAGCGTGACGGCAAGGCAAAACGTTACCAAGAAAGGTGACTCACTGAGTTGTCTAAGCAAAGGTTAGAAGTTAACGAACAAGAAAGGGAGCTGCTGCCTGCCCCTCCGCTCGGGGAGGGCGGCCAGTTGCAACCCTAGGGAAGCAAGCAGGGGCTGGAGACCAGGCCCTGCCTCGTCTCCTCCCCGTCCTCACACACCCTGCGGCGTTCGGTGGGACGCACTGCCGCTCCCGAGCCCTGCCTCCCAGGGGGCGCTGCTCTGGGTTCCCACAGAAACTTCCCCATCAGTCTGTGACCGGGGGTCAACCTGGGTGCTGACCATGAAGCCAGGGGGCTCAGTGCCCAGAGGCTAAACACTCCCTTTTGGGGCTGAAGGGAAAAGTGGCAGATGATTAAAAACATCTATTGAAGGCAGATGTCTGTGCCTCCTACTAGTCTGTGATTTTCCTCAGTCATCTCATCTCTCTGGGCCTGTTCCCTGCTCTGAGTGGTTAGCAATTCGGGGACGTGCCGATGTCAGCAGGGGAGGGTCCCCATCTCGGCCCTGCACCTGCTTTTCTTTATCATCATCATCATCATCATCATCGGAGCACGCGACTTTCTCCCGCCAGCACCTGGGCCAGCACTGGTGCCCACCTGTGGGAGCACCTACCTGTCGGAGCGCCCCCCCTCCAGGCTGTAGCGCAGGTAGTTCATGCCGTCCAGGAACTGGCTGCCGGGCAGTGAGTCATCGCCCAGCTCCTTCAGGTCCTCGGGCCTCAGGTACTCGCCACCGTCCCCAGTCATGGTGTCGTCACCTGCAGATGAGTGAGGTGGCAGGAAGTCACCCACAAGTGTGACGAGGCAGCGACACTGCGCTGCCGTCCCAGAAGCTGCACGTAGGAGGGATGCAGAGCCGGGCATGGGAAGGGGTGAAAACACAGGAGACGCCCGTCCCGCACCGGGGAGAAACCGGACCCAATGGCGATTCTTCCTCTGTTCCTCTGCTCACTCCTCCTCGGGCCCTGACTCACAGCTGTGGCACGGAAGCAGACAAGGCTCAATGGCACCAGCACTCTCAGCTGCCACACGTGGCCTGCACTGCTGTGGGGCACCCTGAAGGTCTGAGAGGGAAGAGGTCCCTTTGGGACGGCACCCCGGGGACCCTTGGGAGTTGGCCGTGTTTGGAGGCAGGGCCTTTGTGGACGTCATTCAGGGGAGTGCTGAGGTGCGATCCGACCGGGTCAACCCAAGGACTGGGTCCCTACAAGGGTCAGAGGGACACAGAGTGGAGGCCAAGGGAAGCCTGGAAGTGAAGGATCACTACTGGCCCCAGGAGCCTTGTCCCACCACGGACCTCTGGCCACTGAGTTTGTGCTAATGTCCTGCGGTCGCCCTAGGAGCTCCCGGGAAGCTGGAGAAGGAATCGCCGAGGGAGGAGCTGGAGGTGCTCCCTGGTCTGGGCGCACTCTGGCAGGCGACCTAGCGGGGTTCTGGGTGAGAGGCCATGTGTGAGAGTCAAGGGCGTTAGAAAGACAGCATGAAGGAAAGAGCCACAAGGACCATGTGGAATCCATGGCCACACTGGTGGGCAACAGTGGAGACCCACTAGGGACACTGCTGTCTGACACAGCAGTGGACCAAGCGGCTCAGACGCCCCATGATGACCCCAGACGTGCCTGTCCCACTGCTTCCCTCCCCTTGTGTGACGTGTGGCTCTTCCCCAGGACTGCCTCCATGAGGCCAACAGATGGGGGTCCCTTCCATTTGATTCTGGGAGAAAAAATTCTTAGACTCGGTGTCAGAACTGGCTTTCCAAACTCAACACGCCTGATTTGTACAGCAGCCCACATTATTTTCAGTTTTGTTAGCGTCTGCGCAGAATCTCACTGAGGAGCACCAATGGGACAGGGAGGCAGGTCTGTTGGATGAAATGAGCTTCATGAATCCCTGCAGCGAGTGGCCTGAGTGAGGGTTAAACCCCAGAGCCTCGCTGCCTTAAAAATGATCACGTAACTACTAAGTTAATATAGTTGTAACCACACCAGAAACACATCTTCACCCCAGAGTGACATCAACTGCATGCAGTTCAAACAATCTAACTTAGTTGTTAACTTATTAACACTAGTTCCACATCAATTCATCAAAGAATTATTTTTTCTCTAAATTTGTACACTACGAAGAAATATTAGTTTTGGAAAAAGAAGTATATACTGTTCACATAATTTAAATATGTTAATATGTCTCAATAATTGTTATAAAATGATTAACCACATAAGCAAGTCACGGCTTTGCACTCCCAAATCAATAAAATCCACGCCCCCAAATGCACCCCAGCCTACACATGCCCCTTCAGAAGGAACAGGTTAGCGTCAGGCAGCCCAAATTTAAATGTTAAGCAAAAGGCCTCAATGCAGTTAAGCAAAGTAAAAGCAAAGCAAAGCGTCACTCCAAGGATTTTCTCTAATGGTACCTGAGTCACTCAGTACTTCCCCATCAATAAAGTGGTCACCAAACCGTTTAAAAGCTGTTCAACATATGAGTTAAGATGAGCAAGTTGCCCCCAAACACCACGTGGTGTGCACCTCTGAGTGGGGAAGGCTAGTTGGCACGCACCAGGGCAACAAATTGCTACAGTAATTTGGGTGCTGGGAGCTCCCAGCAGTGCACAGACCCAGCATCCGTTTGTCCTCAACACTGGTTCCCACAGGAGCTGGTGCAACAACGCTCTCACCAACTGGCGAGTTAACAAATTGGTTCCAAATCAGTGTCTCAGTGCAGTTTGACCTTGTGATTAGATCTTAAAGAACCTGACGAAATGCCTTTCTATCTCTCTGTGATTATTGGAGAAATATTATAAAGTTTTTTGTGAGTCATTTTTCAGCCGTGCATACCGGAGCACAGCTGCACTCTGAAACATGGTCGCACACTTTGCTGCATTCATGAATTTTTAGCAGCAGATTTTCTGGTTCAAGAACAGTCCACCATCTACTTGGAGTGGGTATGAGGAATGCTGCCCACTGACGTGTTCAGAGCCCCCAGCAGAGCCGCAGGCTGCTCAGAACCCTGGAGCGCCTTTACCAACTTGAACACTAGAGGGGGCACATTTTCTGACTTAACCAAATTGAATTTGAATTTGTCTGACTTACTGCTATTCTATTTTTAACCTTCTCTAAGGCTCTTTTCCTCTGGATTTAAAATATATTCTGCATGTTTGAGCCAATCAGAAAGCAGGGGTTTCTCAATATACCACGGTAGTATATACTCTGAGATCTTTTTATTTAAGGTGTTGTAATAAAAAGCAATTTAACTTAATTATGATATGTGTTAATAACTGCATTATCAGGTGGACACTGTAATAGATGACCGATTTCCAGTCCTGCCCCTTCCCAGGGCTGTTATTTAGTAGGACAATAAGAACAACACCAGTTGAAAATACACTACTCAGAATCCCCCTTCCCCAAATGGCAAAAGCAGGTTTTTCGGAATGAAGCTGGAAATGTAACTGTGAAATCCAGAGGCTGCCCCGCTGCACCCACTGCCCAGCTGTCCCTGAGGACAGGGTGGCCCCCCAAGGTCTGAGGGGGAAGGCTCACCCTCTTCATCGGAAACATCGAGCACCTCGGTCATCGTCTCAGGAACATTCAGTTTGTGTTTTTCAGTGATAGTCTGGAAAGAAAAAGAAATCATTAATGCTCAGAAACAAACTCGAACAAGAGCTCTGTGGAGCCAGGAGGAGCTTGGCCCCAAGACCAGGCCAAGGCCCCACCTTTCACATGGATGTTCTGGAAGTTCCTTCTCATTTTCTTTCCTGGAAACCCACTTCTTGCTCCTAAAGACAAAGGATCGTGTGCCTGGTAAGGCTGTACAGGGGAAGCCCACTGTGCCGAGTTCCCACTCGGAAAATGAACTGGTCAGCAATGGCACGAACAAGCAGCCCCCTGAGGAGGCAGCAGCAGGCGCGCAGCCTCCCCAAAGCGAGGGAGCAAGCGAGCAACGTCTCCAGGAAAGCTCGAGAGGCAGCTGTGGCCACAGGCAGTGTATTAAAAATAAAGCCCGTGGAAAAACTGTTGAAAACAATGTGAAAGATGTAAACTCTCTGGAAAGAAAATGTGTCTTCTGGGATCTGAGGACCCCGCGGAGGGGACCCAGGGTCCTCACAGGGACCTTGGTCCGCATTATATAGCAGTTGGGGGTGGGGGAACCAGGCTGCAGGGGCACTCCCGGGGCTCAAAGGCTAACCTCCCCATCTGTTCGTTAGCAGGCCTGACCAGGACCCTGACAGTAACACAAAGATGAAGTGAAGTAACACCGATGAGAGTCTAAGAACGGTGGTTGGCATATGTTAGTGTTCAACAAGTATTAGCTAACACGCATTGCTCCCGTTGTGGAGGAATTATACTTAAAAGGAAGGGCCTCTGAACTTGTCATCACTCGGGCCTGAGGGAACGTTTCCAGAGGCTGCTGCAGGTCCGGTGCAGTTTCAGACACGTGGCCTGGTATTGTTACGGGAATTCAAGAAAACGATTCTCCCTGAGCATCTTCACTGAGAGCCCAAGATGCTACGCGCGGTGGTCGCAGTCCTCAGGCTTTGCCGCGTGGACGTCACAGATGCGTCCGAGTGGCTGCAAGGACACTCTCACCTGAGCTTTTCTTTCCAAAAGTATCACACAAATCGATGATGCAAAATTATGCAAAAGACATTTAAAATCCACATCACAATGAAACAGGCTTTCTTTTGGGTGATGTCATCCTTGGAGAGAAGGAAGAAGCCAGGAGGGTGAAAGAAGTCCCGTGGCGCAGAGGACGGGGCACTGAAGCCCGAGGGCACAGCCAGCCTCACACACGCATTTCCATACAGGCCGGGATGGCTCGTCGGGGACACAAATCAATGCCGTCGGAGACACCAAAGCTTCTGCCCACAGCTCCGGGGCATGGCCGGTCATTGGTAAGTATTTGTTGAAGGAAGAAATTTAGACCGCTTATATACACCACTTCGTTATTCTTTTAATATTAATCTATGAATTTAACAGATAAACCACCACCTGTTCTACATCAGTGGTTCCCAACTTCCGCCGCACATTAAAATTGTTAGAGGAATTTTAAAAATATTGTTGCCTGGGCCCTCCCAGGGGTCACCTAGGCCTCCCTGAGGACGCGCCGGCTCTGGGTGTTTTCTAGAAGGGCCTGGTCCGAGGGCGTTCGCGCAGCTCCAGGTGCAGCCCCTCGTCCTGGAGCAGACGGTGCGGGGCCAACACCACTCGGCCGGGCCACCACGTCCTCGCTACCTGGCTGTTCACCAGGAACCTGACTTCCATGTCCGGGGTTCTTGCTGGAACGGTGCTCAGCTCCGCCGGTGAACGGCAGCCCCCGGAGAGGCCCCGTGCCGGCGCAAGGCACGCTGGGACCAGCCAGCGCTCCGACTCCTCCCAGGCGTCCACGCAGCTGCGGGCATGCGCAGTCCGGTCGTTCGCGCCAAGCGTTGCTTAGGAGCCTGCGATCTCTGAAAGCCGAGGTGCGGTCCCGTAGTTTTTTGAGTACAAGGAATTTATTTTCTCACAGGATCTCCGTGTCACGCCGCAGGCCACCGCCCTGGCGTTGCTGCCGAGAGAGGTGGCCTTTTCACCTCAGCACAGCGCGGGTTCGCGCCCCGCAGACCTCCCGGTGCCTCAGCGGCAGGAACCAGGAAAGAGCCCGGGACCCCGGAGAGGGCGCCCTCTAGCGGCGGCCTGAGGAACCGGCGCCCGCAGGAGCCTCGCCGGCCAGTGAGGGGCTCGGTGTCACGTGCGTCCGGGGAGACGCAGCCCGACCGCGGAGTCTCTCCTGGTCCCAGGCCCCGGAGGGAGGCGCCACCAGGACTCGGCCGCGTTTTCCGCTCCGTGACTTACTGTTGGAACTTCAATCTTTAAAAATACCGCGGCGCACGGGCGAGACTCCGCTGGAGAAACCGGGCGGCGCGGTTTGCCTGCGTGCGGACCCGCGGCCTCGCGGCCAGGAACGGAGCGCGCTCCCCTGCACGCGGGGCCCCGTCGCGCTGCCGCCACTGCTGCGGCCGCCTCTTCCCTCACGGCCCCCGGACGCGGCCCGCATGCCCGCCCCGCAGACCTGGGACCACATCGCCCCCGGAGAACAACAGCCTCTGCCCGGCCTTCTACCCGCTCGCCAGCCCAGCGCCCAGCAGCGTTCGCAGGTTCAAGCTACAGCAAAGTCCGAACGAGTTCATACAAAGGGAACGTCACCGGGAGGGGCCCTGCTGCGCGGGGGACACAGCGCAGGCCGCCTCCCCGCGCCCGCGCCGGGTGCCCCCAGGCTCAGCAGGCTGCGAGGGGCGGGCGCACAACGGCGCGTTCTGAAGAGGTGCTCTCTCCAGGCACAGACCATGTCCCCGCGGAGCGCGGTCTTTCCGAATAAAAAACCATCGAGAACAGGAAGCGAGGAGCCGTTCCGCGGGAAAGGCCTGCGGGGGCCGGGGGCCTTCCGAGGCCCAGTCGCCTCCGCTCAGAGGGTCAGAGGCTGGGTCTGGGGCTGTCCGGCCGCAGCGGCCGACCCAGCGTTCTGCGGTCGCGCTCACTCACTGTCTGCGCGGGGCTGACGAGCAGCGGCAGTGCGACCCCCGTGCGCTGACCTCCGCGGAGTTCGGGGCGCGTTCACAACAGACCCGCCCAAAGAAGTTCAGGGGGAAGAAGGGGCGCGTGACTGGGGCACGTGCCGGGGCCCCTGTACTCACCGTGGTGGTGGTGACCTCCTCAGTCACAACCTTCAGCGTGTCCACCACCGAGATGTAGCCCAGCCGCTTGGCGATGGCCAGGGCGGTGTTGCCATTCTGGGGTGAGGGGCAGAGAGAGAGCAAGAGCACGGGGCCAGTGAGCTCCCCGCCCCCGGCAGCCGCCCCGCCCCCAGCGCCCGGCACAGCCGAGGAAATCACTAGTTTTCACCATCACATCCCAACGCGGCTTGGTAACTTCTCTGGGCTGGAGCGCAGATCACCATGGTAACACAACAAGCGGCATCTGCCCGCTCTTGCTAATGAGAAGCACTTGCGGCTTTAACCCCTGGGAGCTCAACTCTGCTGGCCCAGAGGCTGCATTGTGCAGGGAAAAGATGCCCCCAAGTGCTGGCACCGACCAAGGGTGTGCACCGCCCCCCAGGGCCCCCTCCACCTCCGGGGCACAGACACTCAGTGCCACAGCTGCAGGGGGGGGGCTCCTGGTACCCCCAACAACACTGGCCTAGAAGCTGGGCCCCGCGCCAGCTACTGGGGACACCCTGAGAACCTCTCCTCTCAGTTTGCATTTCAATGGCTGCGCAGGAGATGGCTGGGCCCAGTGCCCCAGCAGCCTGAGTCAGGCCCTGTCCCTGGGCTGAGTCCTGGCTGCGCCGTCCCCGAAGCCACCCCAGTGCTAGGCCTGGAGGGCAGGGCCTCATTCCAGGAGGCAGCGGGAACAGGGGCACCCTGCACGGCCTAAACCGTGGCTGGGGCAGAAGGACAGACTGAAGCCGTGCTGTTGGGCATCACATGAGAAGGCGAGGCCCTTGGGGAGAAAGATAATGTCCCTGCCGGGGACAGAGCGACAGCAGGCAGAAAGGAGACCCCTTGTGGGATGGACTCACTCCACAAGGAAAGAAGCCACAGGCTGAGTCTCCAGGGTTGAGGGGGGCTGTGAGGACAGGACCCTGGGCATGTCACGCATTCACCCACCGCGTGTCCGCCAACTCAGCAGCACAACAGACGGAACTCTGAGGGTGGCACAGGCGAGAGGGACAGGGGTGCAGGCAGGAGGACAGGAGCAGGTGGAGGGACAGCCCGCAGGCAGAAGCAGGCAAGGGGCTCACCGTGGTGGTGGCGTCCGGCCGTGCGCCGTGCTGCAGCAGCACGTTGATGATGTGCGTGTGGCCCTGCTGCGCAGCCTGGTGCAGGGGCGTGTAGCCGCTCTGTGGGCGCCAAGGAGAGGAAGAGCTCGGTTAGCCAGTGTGCGGAGGCCTGCGTCTCACTTACGACAGCGCCGTGTACAGGGGCCACCTCCCCAGGGACCCTGTTCTCTGTAGCAAACACGCCCACACTCCTTTCACCCACAGACCGAGGAGTGGCTGGCCGGCTCTGTCCTCTGTCTTCCCGCATTCTCAGTGGTTCGCATGGAAACGTGTGCCGGGAGGGCCTGCACCCCGAGAAGGAGCAGCACCCAGTGACCACTGCCCCAGGAGGAAGGATGAGGAGATGTCACTGAAACCTGGGTGTCACAGGGACCACCGCTGTCCCCCGTCCCCCGTGACTTCCTGGTGGGTAGCCCTGGGCTCGCTCTGTGCCAGTCCATCCAAGATTTCCTTTCCCAGAGCAGCTTTGGCCAAAAGTGAGTGAGCCCCTCAGAGAACAGCAGGCCCACTTTGAAAAAAAGTTTTTAGATTTAGGTTCTTTACCCTTCTGGTCTGAGTTTGCGGCAGGAGAAAGTGAGGAAGTGCGGTGAGGAGAGGGGTAAAACTGGGAAGAGCAGAGGGGAGTCACTCGTTCAGTCCCTCTGGAGTTGGCCAGGCAGGAGGTCATGAAGGGTGTCCACACCTGCTCCGTGGTCCCCCTGCCTCACCCCTCGGGGCAGTTGTCCAGGGTCCCAGCTGCGAGCCCCTGTCCCTGTGGCCTGCGTCACTGCACTGCTTCCCCATCTGCAGGAGAGTCCTCTGTGCTCACAGGACACTGCACATCCCTCCTGCCCTTGCTGTGGCCTGCCATCGGGGCTGCCCCATGCACAGGACACACATCCTGCCAGCTGAGCGTCCCTACCATGGGATGACCCAGGAGCAGTCGTAGGGACAAGGACACCTGAGCAGCGTGAAGGGAAGGAGCGTTCTCCTAATTGTCCTCCTCTCTGTTGTGTTCACAAATACTGTGTCAGCTGAGCCCAGGGGCCTGTGCAGGGCCAGCAGCACTTCCTCAGCCGCTCTCTGGCTGTCGCCAAGCCCAGACACCGAGGTGACATTGTCACTCTCCATGGGCACTGTGGCCAGAGACCTGTGTCCCAGCGATGTGTCCTCCAGGGAAATTGGGACAACCGGACTCTCGTGCTTCTGCAGAGGCTCCCGCCCCCTCCTCCAGGCCTGCAGCCCCAGGGCTTCTGCCCACAGCTGGAACCTCTGACCCTCTCCCCCTCTCCCTCCCCACCCTTCCATCTCATTTGCAAAATGCAGACAACCAGGACTTCAAGTTCTGTAACAGATCCAATGTGCCGTCCATGCAACTTTTCTGTAGTTTATCTGAAGTTGGAGGAAAATGTCAGCAAACGTTGTTTTCTTTCTCACTGAGAGCTCCGTGATCTTTAGAGCATATCTGACAAAGAGAGTGCCCCCAGCACGCGCCCACATGCTGAAGGGCACGCCCTCTGCAAATGATCAACAGTCAACCCCACCTGTTTGCCTCACGCTGCTGCTACAGGGTTTCATCCTAATTTTAAGCTAGTAATAGTCCCTTAAAACTAGTTTGCCTCACCCAGTTTGAATACCAAGGCATAAACGTTTCAGTGCTAAAGGCAATACTTGGTTTTATATTTTCATAGCAACAGAACAATTTTGGTAACTATGGTTGGTTGCATATGAGAGGTGAGGAAAAAAACAAATCCTTCTATAAAAATGTCATTCTGTGTGAAAAAAATCTTACGTGTTTATTAAAAGAATGTCCTTTGAGGTGCCCAGATCAAACCCCAGGGAGGCAAACAGTTTATCTGGTGGAATGTCTGGCTTCCCAGCATCGCACGCCTCACAACACGAGGTGGGTGCCGCAGCCCGCCTCTGCAGAGCCTTGGTGCCCACGAGAAAGCCCGCCCCAGTGCCCTCGAGTGAGCTCACTCAGCAAATGCAGTGCCAGGTACTAACGCCGGGAATCTCAGATGCACTTTTAAATTTGTCCCCACGTCCACTTCGGGAGAACTCGAGAGCTGCTCGAAACCAGGTGGCGGCCATTCTTGCTGGATCAGACATGCCAAACCTCTGGTGTTCATAGTGTTTCTAATTTAAAAAGTGACTTTTTATTTGCTTATGTGCAGACACAGTCTTGTTCCTGCTTCTGCAAGGACAGAGAGAGACCGACATCCAAACTCCCCTGGTCCTGGCGCGCAGCGCTGGAGCATGTCTGAGCGTGTTCTCACCAACAGGCCCACTCACGGCTGCAGCAGGGGTTTCCCACACATGCACTGGCAAACCAGCACGTTCACGTGTCTCTCTGGAGCTGCGAGGGGCACCACAGCGTAGTTACATCATGGGTTTCTCTTCCCTTGAAGCCCTCTGGGCGCCCTAAAGCGCATGTTACTTTCCGACCTCGCTTCGCTAACGAGGCACTTCTGCTGCCCCTGGGAAAAACAGGTGGGTGCGGGGCAGGAGCCAAGGCCAGGAAGTATGATGTCCTGCCAGGGACCATGTGTCCTGCAGTGATGTGCTGGCCCGTGTCGCTGCTTTAGCTCCATGTCAGAAGCTCTGAGCTATGGCTCTCAGATGTTGGAATGAAAGTCTAGAACCATCACACAAAACCACACAGTGTATCCACCACTTTACAAGAACCAAAGGGCAAAGCCCACATGACCGTGGTGAGTGAACGGAGTGTCACTTTGGCAGGACCCTTGCCGACAGAAATGCAGTGAGAACAGCGTTACCTTGGTTTTGGCATTGACGTCCGCTCCCTGCTTCAGGAGGAAGTTGACCATTTTCACATTTCCGTAGTGACAGGCCACGATTAAAGGAGTGTAGCCCAGCTGCAAGTAACAAGGCACAGGCAGATGACCAACCACTCACAGGCAAACCTCGAGGGGCGGGGGAGGTGCAGACCCTCCAGGTGACCAGGGTAATACTACTCAGCAGGTGTGTGCATCTTGTGCACACAAACACAGGAGCAGGTCCGGGAACATGAGGACTTCATGCCACTGAAGGAGCCCAGACCAAACATGGGCGGGGCCTGACCGACAAAGAGCTAAGACAGAAGCGGGTGGTGGGTTCAGAAACCAGGCAGGAGAAAGGGGGCCACAGAGGTGGGGGGGGACCTGCAGTGAGGTGGGTGGGGGAGGTCACAACAAAACAAGGGCAAAACCATGTCAGTCAGGGTGTGGGGTGAGCAGGGGCAGGAGAAGACAACAAGCCACTGCCTGGCCAAGCAACAGGGTGTAGGCAGCTTCGCCCTGCGAAACTGAGGCCCCTGTCCTCTGTGCATTTGGACTTGACTCCAGCAAAACAAAGACCCATTCCAGGTTTACAAGCAGGAGGGTCGTCGTTAACCCAGGATGGACTTTTGAGGGGGGCACCTGCTGGAGTCACCCCAGGACCCACCCCCACAGTGACAGCCGTCCCCGTACCTTTGTGTGGGCGTCCTGGTCGGCCCCGTGCTTGGTGAGAACCTCAGCGACGTGCACTCTGTCCTCCTGGGCGGCCAGGTGTAAGGCAGTGAGTCCACTCTGCCGAGAGATGGGGGCCGAGGATGCGTCAGAGTGTGAACGTGCACCGCGTCACCCGACATCCCGTCGCCAGAAGAAAGTCTGTGAATGCACAGCCTCTCCCCAGAAATCGCGTCTTTTGATATTGCAGACAAACTGTCCCAACTACTGGGACTCTCCACCCAAGACAGATTCTCTGTTCACTGACACTTGCAGTAAATCACGTTTTCCATGTTGGGCACTTAAATCGTGATCTGAGGCTTACTCGGCAAACCCACTGCCAGATGACCACCCCACCGCGTCTGTGCCTCCCGCTGAGCCACCCCGCTGCTGCCCTGGCTGATCAGCCAAGCACAGGTACCACTCACTCAGCAGAGCAACGGTCTGTGCTCTCATCAAGAAAATATCACATCGACATAAAAAAATGGAGCATTTCATGAAACGAGCTCAGCACGGTTTTCTCCAGCCCCCAAAGGCAGTGTGCTGTTTTCTAGAATCTTCTAAAGACTACATAAACAGTTGTACCCTCATTTATAAGCAGCATCATGAATTGGCCATTTTTAGGTAACCAGCTTGTCACATGGGCATCAAGGGGTGATTTTAATTAACCAAAAATGCAGTGGAAGCACAGCTCAGGGACAGGAGGGTGGGGCTCGTCCTTTGCGGCCACAGTGTGGCAGCCCCACCCCACGGGCCAGTAGCTCCTTCAAGAAGGTGGAAACTTAAAGAGCCTCTTGAACCCTAGACCCTTAGTCCTCTTCACAAGTGCCCTCTGGGTGCTCCTCAGGTGCCCGGAAGCCCTCCAGCTCCTTGCCTGCATCGGAGCGCAGGGTTTCTGCCCCTACGGCTCTCCTGCAGCCCTGCCTGCTCCTGGTCCTGCCCCTGTGCTTGCCGCTGTCGCCTGGGCAGCGGACTGAACTGGGAGCACCATCCCCCGGCCCCCAGTTCACGTGCAGTTGAAGTCGGCAGGCCTGACTCCGCTGCCAGGCGAGGCTACGGAAGCTATGCCACGTCCTCCCAAGTCCGCGTCTCCAGCCACGCGCCCCCTTTGGAAACCTCGACCGACAGCAAGAACATTCTCCAAGGGATGGAGAAAAGGCTTTCTACGTAGGGCAGCCCTTTTCCTTGTGTCCATTATTACATGGCGTCGGGTAAGGAATACAATATCTATCTCTACATCATGGTCATTACTGAGAAGCAGTCATTCGGAAAGTATGAAGTGATTGATTTCAGTGGGTCCTAACCAGAAAAACTATACGTGCTTTTCGAAAGCAGTGGGAACAGTGGTCGGTTTTGCTTGTTCCCAAGACACTTTTCCAGTTGCAGCTGGTTTCAGTGGGGTAGACGTTGAGTGTAAGAAAGTCACAGGTGAGACAGAGACAGACAGTCCGAGAGCTGATAAACAGGTGTGGAGATAGGCGTGGCCTTGTACAAACCCACACGCTTCAACACGGGAATGATGTGTCTCCTGCGCACCCCTGTTACTCTACTGCGGTTAGTAAGCGTGTCCACAAAGGCTGCTCTGTGGAAAAGGCTGCGTGACAAGCACCGATGCTCTGGCACCGCCACCAAGCCAGGCTCACGTGAACCCCGACACCCCATTCTCTGCCCCCACGCTCGGCGGTGGAGAAGGGCTGGACAGGGGATGGGCAGGGAGCCACAAGCGGGACAGCCATGTGGACGTTAGTTCTAGGGAGGACAGGGTCTCAGAGGGACAGAGAAAACCGATCGCAGATACGCAACTGAAGCCGACCTGCGGGAAATGAGCCGCAGAGCCTGGGGCCTGCCCTGCCCTCCCGTGTCCCAGCCCACAGCTGACCCCCTGCTGCCCTGGCTGCTATTCGGTGCCCGTACCCACCCCCCACCCCCATTGTCTTAGACTGGCGTCTGTTCACACTCGTCTGAAACACTCGACAGAAACAGAGGCATGGGCGAAGCACCTTGGTCGACGTGTGGACGTTGGCGCCCTTCTCCAGGAGCAAGGTGGCCATGTCCGAGTGCCCCTCCTGGGAGGCCAGGTGCAGTGGGGTCACGCCCTGCTTGGTGACCACGTTCGTCTCGGCTCCGTAACTGAGGAGCGTGGAAGCAATCTGCATCTGGTTCTTCTTGGCGGCGATGTGCAAGGGTGTGTAGCCGTTCTGCAACAGAAAACCAGCACGCCCCGCAAGCTTAGCCATGGCCGGATGTGGATCTTGGAAGCAGCCAACCGAGCCGCCAGAAGCCAGTTTAGGGTCCACGATGGCTCCCCCCAACACCCAGACCTGTGCAGCCGAGGCCACAGGCCCCGCACACGCCCAGAGCGTAGACGCTCAGAAAGCCCCAAGCCCTGGCGCCTGCCGCTTCGTCCTCTGGTTCTGTCCTGAAGAACAACCTGGAAGAGGCCAGCCCAGCTCCTCTGCACATGGCTTCCCCTTGATGCCCACAGAGGCTGCACACCCCCCACTGCCCCTCCATCCCAGCCCAACCCCACCCCGCTCCCTCAGCTTCCTGACGGGACCCCAACTCCAGAGCCCTCTCCATGGAATCGACCAGTCTGGACTCATGCTTGCTGGTCAAGATCGCCCTGGGCCTCTGTCCGGGTGCAGAGTGCTGCCCATGTCAGATGGGTGCCCCCCGCACAGAACGGGACAGGCCTGCACTGAGCTCTCGTTACAGCCTCCCACTGACATGCTGGTCACGGCGTGTCTGACCCTCTGGAGCTACCACGGGACTGGCAGATGACCAGGCACTCACACCAACTCATGCCCCAGGGGACCCCCCGCCTGCAGTGGCAGCCCTCCCACGCCCTCACCTTGGCGGTGGCGTGAGGGGACGCGCCCTTCTCCAGCAGCAGCAGGGCCACCTCCTGGTTGTCGTAGTGAGCAGCCACGTGCAGCGGGGTCAGGCCGTTCTGCAAAGAACAGGCCGGCTTATGGTGAGTGAGTGCCCTCCCCGGCCCTGAAGCTGCCAGGAGGCCTGGGCACCGGGATGGACCGGGTCCAAGTTCGTTCATTAATGTCGTCAGTGGAAGCAAAGGAGCAGAAGTCTACCCCTCCCTGCTGAGTTCACACTGGACACTCAGCCAAACCTGGGAGCGCCGGCCGAGGTGACAGCGAGGGCTGAGATGCTCTGTGACAAGTAGGACGTGCCCATGGCAGCGACCCCCTCCCTGCAGCCCGTGTGGCAGAGGCCCCGGCAGACCCCCACCTGCCCACCCATGCAGACTGTACCTTCCCTGAGGAGTCAGCCGCCACCCGCCGGTGCAGCAGCAGCTTGGCCACGTCCAGGCTCCCGTACTTGGCCGCCACGTGCAGGGGGGTGAAGCCTTTCTGAAACGGGAACAGCGGGGAGAGAGGTGCTCACCTCGCCAGCCACAAACGTGTCACTGTGACCGCTGTGGAGCGGGAGGCTGACATTCACATGCAGAGAGCGAGGGCGGCATTAGATCTGTCTGCACTCAGCCGAAGGGGCAGAGGGCACCACTCGTTCCCCAGAGGGGCCTGCTGCTGAGGGCTGGGAGCAGGAAACGCGACTCCGCAGGGGGCTTCTGAAGGCCCCGGGGCCGTGACACAGCTCAGGCTCTGCTGGAAAACCCTCTTTTTCTTGCCTCTACAATGAGTGCCATTGAGACAGCAGCTCTCTCCCCATCCTTTTCTCTGGTCTCTTTACAAGACCTGAACTCCAGACCTTTCCATTTCAGTTTTAGGATACTGACAAGTAGTTGCTAGAATAAGAAAAACCGCTCTCGGCTGAAAAGCACCTCCCGTCCTGACCAGCGCCCAAAGGCGTCCACCCCGCTGGTGCTGGGCTGGGGGACACCAGACTTTTGGACACACCACTGCCCAAAGCCTTTATAAAGCCATTCTTCTCCCTTATGCCTCTAGGCTCTGGTCAAGGTCTTGTGCCTAAAGCCGGCCTCTGCCCTTCACATTGTGTCCTGGACTCAGACGAGGACAGCGGTCTGACAGCCATCAGCCCCATCGTCCTGGCTTGGCCCCGACCCCCTCGCTGTCCCAGCACCGAGTGGAGAGGCCGCGGCACAGCCCACGGCACAGCGCCGGGGCCGGCGGGTGAAGGTGCGGCTTCCCTGGGCCTGTGCTCCTCCTCCTGACCCAGCCTGTCCCCCTGAAACGGTCTCGCCCTTCCAGGGTCACCACGCACTGCTCTCAACTAGGATGGTGTTTCCTCTTTGCTTCTTCCTGAGGATTTGGAGATAATAGCTCCTTGGAGGAGATGGAATCCTGCCTTTTTCCGAGCATGGGGCAAATACAGGGAGTGAAACCAGCTCCCTCACCAGAGGCACTCAGTGCAGGTGACGCTGGGGAGGAGGTTCTCTGAGACAAGCCATGTGGAGAAACGGCCTCCCCCTCCTCCCGCTCGGGTCCTGCGGGAATAGGGACCCAGCCCCTTATTCACTGGGAACCCATGTGACTAAACTGCAGAGCGTCCCCCTCCGGAGCAGCAGCACAGGGTCTGGAAAGTGTCACCTGAGTCTCCATCTTCCTCTGCCCCTGTGCGACTTCAGCAGGACCTCACTTACCCCCAGAACCTGCAGAAGCTCCTCTCCAGCCCCTCGCAGAGCCCGGCCGCCCCCGACCCCGTCTGTCCGGCACTTTCTCCCACGCCAGCATCTGCAGCCTGAACTCCACTCCTCTCCCCTCTCCCTCTGGGGACCGCCAGCGCCCAGGCTCTCATGGGTTATCGCTACGATTACTACTCTTACTACATGTTCATTGCTTATTTTCTGATTTTTTAAAAAACGTTTTTTAAAACACTTTCAACTCTTCAGACTGGAATAATTAGCGGTTCTCTCCACGGAGGTGGGTTCTGCAGACTCAGGCTGCTGGGTAAACTGTTGCTCCTCCCGCCCAGGGCCCAGGCCTCGCCTGTGTGCACCTCTGCCGGGTGCCGCCTGCGCCCACTCGCTCTGGGCAGACAGGAAACGTCTTTCTAATCATTGGAAGCCTGTGGTGGTGTGTGGGCAGCGTGTGGCCTGCAAACTGTCCACCTGTGTCACTTCACCTGCTGCTTCCTCCTCTTCAGCACTAATCCAAGTTCTTTTCTCACCAATCAGCTGAGTGTATCCCTGTTTTCTTCCGAGCACATCCAAAAGAGGGGTTTCAAACCAAGTGTATCGGGGGGAGAAAAAAATGACTCTGCCCAGCACAGAGTTGGAATGTAAGTAAAATTCATGCTGGTGCCTCTCCTCCCTGAGAGACAACGGAACCTAATGGTAAGGATGATTCTCTGGCCTGGGTGCATTTAGATGCTGATGACCACACGGGAGTGAGGCTGGGAACGGTCAGAACACCAAAAAGATGCAGCAGCTGAGACCAGCACTGGGAAGTGCCGGATTGTCGGGAACTGCCCTGCCTGGTTTCAGGAGCTGTAACCCCACCACGGCTAAGGCTGAGTGAATGGCCTTCGGACCATAAGCCACTAAGAGACAAAGCTTATCTCCCTTGCAGGGGAGATATCGCCTCTGCTCCTTTTACTTCATCCATAACTGGCTCCCAGTGCTTGATCAGTTAGCTAATGACGGGTAAGATTTCCCAAGGGGAGAATCGACCTAAGACAGGCACGATCACAGGGAGGCTCCAGGGAAGGACTTGGGGGGCCATGAAGAAAGGGGGTGATGGACCCTCGCCCCTCAGCTTTGACATAGCCTGGGTCCTCATTCTGTCTGTGAGAAGTCTCCTAATCTCTTGGCTGCCTTACCTCCCTGCCTGACTTAAGCCTGAAACAAGGACAGAGGGCGGTGCAGCCCTGTGCTGGAAAGGGCGGGTTCCCCAGTGATCAGGCCGAAGAAAGAATATGTAAAATCCTGTGAAACCTGCTCTGTTTAGAATGCTCTCATTTAAATTATAAGTGTCCAAGCAAGAAGTTTGTTCCTCAGAGCTTTATGGCTCTTTAGCTAGCTGACCCTGACTGAGAATAAGCCCTCATGGTTCTTTGAATGCTGTCTATTGTTTGATCCTTACCTGTATTCCTGTGCAAACGAACCCAATAAAAGCCCCTTGAGCAGGGGGCTCTTGGTCCTTCTCCTTTGAGAGATCAGCCACCTCTCCTCTCCAAGCATGTCTTGGTAGACTGATTCTCATCTGTGGTGGCCGGGGTGGGGGCGGGGGCCTGCGGGCGGAGACCCCCACACCAGACGAGGTGCAGGGAGCATCCGAAGCCCTGAGAGACGCACAGGCCCATCGAACGCAGCGTCTCGCCCTGCGGGCCTTGCTCACTCCCTGTACTCAGGGGCTTCCTTGTCCCTCTGGGACACAGTGTAGAGTTCGTGACAGGAAGAGAAGGGATGGGGAGGAAAGGGAGGGTGTCCCCACATCCACCAGAGGGACAGAACCAAGCACCCCATCACAGAAACAGTAAGTGTCCTCCAGACATTCCTCAGACCTTGGGAAAACACACCCTGGTGCTCCGAGAGAGAGACCTCACAGGCCCAAAGGCCACCCACCCCCTGGCCAGGGCTGCGGCCCCTCCCATGGTCCCGGGCTGCCCCTTACCTTGGTGGCTGAGGAGTGGGCGGCCCCTGCTTCCAGGAGGACCGCGGCCACGCCCGCCTGGCCCTCCCGGGCGGAGATGTGCAGCGGCGTGTGCCCGCTGGCGGTGGCCGCGTCGGGGTGCGCCATGTGCTGCAGCAGCAGCTGCACCAGCTCCGTCTTGCCCAGGCGCGAGGCGATGTGCAGAGGGGTCTGCTCCTCCTACAAGGCAGGCCGAGTCGCCGTCGGTGCCCGCGCCCTGCTGGCCCCTCCCGCCCTTCGGCGCCGTTCCTGCAGCTGCGTCTGGCGTTTTCTGGGAGTCCCGAGGAACCCAAAGGAAACGACCACCACTCTGGCCACAGCTGAGTCCGTAGGCGGCCGCAGAGGGGCCCGCTGGGTCGCACGTCCTCCCACCAGCTTGGCCGTTGGTTCCCAGGGGCCCCCGGGGGCCCCCAGGGGCTGGGCTTCAGCCCTCACTTAGGTTCCAACAGAAGCCAGCTCTGGGGTCTGAGTAGGAGCGAGGTCTAGTCCAGAAGCTCTGAGACCTAGACTCTCTCCTGCAAAAGCTGTCGCCGAGAGACCGGGCTCATTCTGGGAACCATGTCAAAGGGAAAAAACAAGGGATTGTGGGAAAACCTGGCTCTCTCTCCGCTCAGCGAGCCAAGGCTACAAAGGCCGGCTGTGCCTTCAAGGAGAGACTGTGGATAAGGACATTGATCGGATTCTTATAAACGTTCCAGAACACCGTGCAGAAGCGTCTGGGACTTGCATCCTGGGAGCTGTGGCAGAAGGAAGTGGGGCTGTCAGCCAAGCGCTTCCCCGGGAAGGCCCGCAGGACACATCTGAGGAGGCCCGACAAGTCCCGGGACTCGGAAGTATAGTCGGGAAAACAGTTTCGGTGCAAAGAGAACCAGACCAGACCGTGCTCTGGACAAATATCGACCAGCTGTGTGTGACCTCTGCAGTGAAGGGGTCTGTCACCACAGCTGGCTGTGGACACCTCACAGTCACGGGGAGGAAGGGCATGCAGGGCAGCTTCCCACGCCAGGAACAGACGGAGCAGGAACAACGGCAGGGGAGACCTGACCCTGCTGCAGCGTCTTCAAGTCGTAAGGAAAGGACCGCGAGGGAGCCACAGGCGGACGTGACAGTGTGCGTGGATTTCAGGGCAGTGAGACGTGAACAGAAGCGGACTCTGCGGAAAGCTGCCGAAGGCAGACTTCCTGTGTGGGCACGAGGTAGCCCACCCCTGAAACAGCCCTGGGAGGCTGGCACGAGATGGGGCCACTTTCAGGGAAAAGAGGGGTCAACAGGAACTAAACGAGTGTCCAGGGCTGTCCACGTCACTTGGCCACGAACACGGCATTTGAAATCGGGCCTTGGACTCTGAAGACACGTATCTGCCTGACCTTCTACAGCAGGACGCACAGTGGCCACCGGGGACACCAGCAGGACAGACAGGCCGGCAAGGAGCCGGCGGCACCTTTGGCAGCACAACCCTCCAAAATGCAGAGCAGTGGGTGGGGTGGGGGGCACCCAACTGCAAAGAAGCGTCAGCAACAAAACACTCGGGACCTGAGGACAGTGACTGGGGACTCTGGGCTCCTGGGTCCCTGCCCCAGAGCAGAGCAGGGGGGCTGGGAGCAACAGCGCCTCAGGACTGAGTGGGGGGTGATGAGCCTTGGCCCAGGGCTGGGAGGCACAGCAGGGTCGCCGGGGGCTACGTGACCATCTGCGCCCACCCCGTTCTCAGACCAGGCAGCAGGTGGCACTGGCCCTAGAAACGCTGTGGAATCAGCGTCCTGCCCACTTTCTTCCACATTGGTCCAGTCACGTCCGAAAGTGGAAGAGGGAAAACGCACAGCTTTGGGGGCAAAGCCCTTCCTCCGGGGACCAGAGCGAGAAGCCCCGAGGTTTCGGGCTGTCCTTTCCTCTTCAGTTTTCGGCCCTCGCTGAACGTACTCAAGCCAAGGCCTCAGAGAATGGAGGGTACAGGACAGTGTTTGTGGGAAGAAGTTAAAGATGGGGAGGCCGACCACAGACGTCTCCCGTGTAGAAGGGGCGCTGATTCTACCTTGAGGCGACTGACCTGGACCCAGTGCAGGTCGGAGGAGTTGGGCTCCACGTTACCACGCAGGGCACCGTCTCCCAAAATGAGGGGCACGTGCCGAGCCCGAACCCTTCACCACAAGACCAAAAGATTCGAAGATCTGATACATCTTTCTGTCAGTGGTTCAACCTCAGCCGGACTCCCAGGGGCCACACAAATGGGCAGCTGTGCAAGTCACAGGGACCTGGGTTTCAGGCGAGTCTAAGCCCAGGGGCTCAGGGTGCTCAGTCCCCAGAGTGAATGCCAGGCGCCCCACTGCGCCCGCAGAACACGGCACCTTGAGCGAGCGCTCGCAACAGGGTGGGGGCACCTCTCGGTGCACCCACGGAGGAGCCTGGACACAGAGGGCCCGTCCCGGGTGGGGACGGGGGCGGCACACTGGCCAAGGGACGGGGGCACCTGCAGCCCTGCCCTGAGCCTGTCAGGCAAAGTGTGGCTCCGTTTCTGACCGACCACCCTGGGAGACACTGAGTGGCAGGGCGGTGGTATGAGGTCCGGAGGGTGTTTCGGAGGAGCACGCATGTGGGTGCGTGTGCTGGGAGCCCCGGGCCAGGCCAAGCAGGCAGGTGTTGGTTTTCCTGCCAACACCCCCACACCCTTAGTCCGGGAGCAGCCCTCCTCCCGTGGGGAGTGGACACGCCCCTGCTCCAATGTTTCTGAAATCAGGTGCACTTCCCGCTGCGTGTACCCACCGTATGCTTCCTTTTTGTCTGGGAAGCAGTTTCTGACAGGTGCCCCCACCCACACACCCTGGGAGGCGGGGCCCGAACGCAGCACCTACCCGGGCTCTGGCGTCCACCAGGGCGCCATTCCGAAGCAGGCACCGCACGACCTCCACCTGCCCCGCCCGGGCCGCCATGTGCAGGGCCGTCTCGCCGCGCTGCCAGAGACAGAGGGTGCAGGCGTCAGTGGGCCCTTGCCCGGGGAGGCAGAGTCCAACAGGCCTCCTCGGGAAATTCAGCAACACCCCGAAGGTTTAGGGAATCTGTGCACAGCACCATCACTCCTTTACCGCTTAGTCTATAAAAACGTGGCCATATCTTCTCCATCTTCCTAAAAATAAAGCAAACTCACTCCATCCTTTTCAGCCCACAGCAGACCAATGAACTTACCTAAACATCCCGCACACCCTGCGGCCCAACGCTGCGCCGCCCAACAAAACTGAGATTACGTGTGGCAGGAAGCTGACCTTTACGCTTCAGCCTCAAACCTGCCATTGTCTCACTCAGCGAGGTGACTGTAGTTTGGTGGCATTTCAGTGAGGAAGTCCACACATCCCAAAGGTCACACCCTCTGCACCAGACTTCGGTCACCCCCTTCCAGGAGCAAAATGCATTTCCGAGACAAGCCGCTGCTTTGCCTCTGACCTGTCTTTGTGGTTAGCGACAGGCAGGGGCTGTTTGTCCAAGCTCTGACCTGCCCAGGAGGTCCCCGACTTCTGATTACGGAGCATAGTTCATTACAGAAGTTATTCAGGAAACTGCTGGAGGCGAGGGGAGTGGCCATGAGTGGAACCGTCCACTGGGCCCCCACGCAGCTCCGGCCCCGCCAACCGCCACACTGACAGGGTGGGAGTTTGGACATTAGAGAGTTTTCTCACTGGGAGGCCTGTTAATTGCTGAGTCTGAAACACAGGGTTTTGCCCCCTTTTAATCAGCGTGTTTTAAAGGCACGTGTAGCTCTGGACAAGGTGGAGGTTCATTCACTCAGACAATTTTTCGGTTATGCAGGACGCGATTCTGGACTGGAAGTTAGTGCTGTTAGTCACGACCATCCTGGAGAGCAAGTCGGGTGGCCGGCTGCAGACCCACGAGCCCCACGGGGAACTCGGCTGCGCGAACCCCCGACCGGTCCCAGGGAACGGAGTCCTCTCTCCCCTCACACGAGAAACCCTTAAATCCGGAAGATCCGGGGCGAACTTCCAGTTTTATTCCCAGCATTCAGAGGCTCCAGGCCTCACACAGTTATGAGAGATTCATTTCAAGTGAATTCGCTTTGAAAGCACTGAACTGAATGTTCATCTGCTCTTTTTCCTTTGGTTGACAACTCACTTACCCTCCGATGTCCTCCTTTTCTGATGACATATTTAGACTCATTTAAAGAAAATGTCCCAGAGTAAACTGTCTTATGAAACGGCACATCTTCGGAAAAGCAGTGTCTGCCTTCAGACCTGGGATGTGCAGCGAGACCCTCCCTCGGGGTGACCGGCCCCAGCTGCTGCCCCCTGCCTCCGAGAGCCTGTCCCTAAACAGAGGAAGCTAAGACTTCTAAATATAGTTTTATATACACAAAAATCTTTACTCTAAAAATATATTTACTCAAATCTTTACTCTATTTCTAAGTCTTAAGAAAGCATAGCGATTTTACAAATTGTGGTAGAAATAAAGACAAAAATTAATCTCCTAACATGTCAAAGAGGCCTCAGGAGTCAATAAGGGGTTTTCAAAATGTAACATGTTTCCAATAGGAGTGCCACAATTTCCAACACTTTTAGTTACCTTAATGGCGTTTACCCATTTGAAACTAATGCTTATATATAAAGCCTAACGTAAAGTGTTGAATGTTATACTCCAAGAAAAGTCCTAGGCACACAGTCTCTCCCTTTAACAGTGGTCTCTCTTGATTCTTAGTTAAGGACTTTGGGGTAACCGACTCTTACGGCAATTTTCCCTCGCCGTTTCACACCAAGATGCCCTTGTTTTTATGTAAGTGTAAACAAGATAACGAAGGCAGCCGTGGGCAGTTTTAATCAGGAACTTCCGTTCTAGACTGCTGGGCACCTCCTCTGACTCAAGTCCGCTGCTTTCTTTACCTCGAGTGAGGTAACTGTGAGGCTCGGGAACGTCTCCCAACCCGATGTGAAGTGGGAACCTGGCTGGGCCCAGGGACTGGCCGTGACAGGGGCCTGGACAGCCCACAGGGGTGGCCTCCGCTCCCACGAGTGGGTGACTGTGTGAGGCAGCCGGGCGGGGCGTTTGTGAGGTTCTGGAAAGGCCTGTGGCTGAGCGACGGAGCAGTGGGGGGGCCTCCCACGGACCGTGAATTCGGAGACAAGAACAAGGCTGGCGAGAGAAGGGAGAGGCCAGGCCCAAAGCAGCTACCGGATGCCCCGTCCCTCGGGTGTTAGAACAGACTGCGGCAGCTGCAGGGACTCCGCGCGGCCGTGCCGTCAGAAGCGCTGAAGCCGGATAGATGTCATTGCAACCGAAACAAAATGCAACGTGGTTTCAGGTGACACACGAGGCTCCAGGCGGGTCGGGGCAGCCCACTCTGAGCCGCAAGCAGACGAGGCCACATGGAGTTTCACCAACCGTGCAGGAGGGACCCGAGTCCCTCCAAATGCAGGGAAGTTCATAAATGTGGACTTTATGCTTCTAGTTTTGACCGGTTTGTGCTCCGACTGTCCATCACATGAAGAGGGAGAATTAAATAGTATTTAAAATCAAATAAGCTGTTTTGTGTGGGTTCTGCCCGTGCATCAGACAGCAGCCCGGAAACTGAGCACAAGGCCAAGGCAGGGGCGGGAGGGCAGAGGGGTGAGGAAGAGGCAGGGCCCGTCTGCCTCCTGGAGGGGAGACGCCCCGGGGCAGCAGCGCCCACTGTGGGTCAGTCGCTGCGCTCATCCTGCTGACGGCCTCTGATGTTTTCGGGGAGAGCTCTTTCTGTGGCCTGTGCAACACCCTCACCACTCAACGGCGGCATCCTGGGAGTGCAGGGGAGGGGGAGCACTGGGTCATCAGACAGTGTCTCGGGGCAGACAGACAGACTCCAAGATGAGGACAGCAACACAGTGGAGTGGGAGGTGAAGCCCGGTCGGGACGAGGCAGAGAGTCCCAGGCACTGGTGCCACCGGCAGGAAGAAAGGAGCCCTCCAGGTGGGTGAGCTTGGGGCGGAGCTGCCTCAGGTGAGAAGGGAAAACCCCTCTCCAGATGAAACCAGATCGGGGCGGAGCACCCAGTGGGGCGGCACGTGGAAGCCCCAGGTCAGTGCAGCCGGGAGGGCCTGCCCTCCAGCGGAGCCTCGCGTGGGTCTGCTGCTGGGTCACCAGCCGCCCTGGTGGACTGTGGTCCTGACCTGGCATCGGCTCTGAGGTCACGCTCCGCCCCCAGGGGGAGCCCGGGCGGGCGGTGGATCACCCCGCACAGGGCCTCAGTGAGGTCCAGCAGTCACTGGGCACCCGGGGCCTGGCTCTCTCCACACACACGCGCGCGCAAGCACAGACAGACGGACAGACAGACAGATGGCCGCCTGCACGCGGCCGTACTCACAACGTTAGTGACATCGGGACAGGCGCCGTTCTGCAGCAGCAGCAGCACAATGTTCAGGTGGCCCATGAAGGCCGCCACGTGAACAGGCGTGAGGCCGGACTGCGGACAGAGCACACGCTGTACCCCACACGCTCAGCCCCCGGCCCACGGGCTCCGGGCAGCTGGGCGCGCGGAGGGGCGCGCGCGGTGCCAGTGACAGGCGGGGACAGTGACTACCTCTGTCACAGCCTGGATGGAAGCCCCATATTTCACCAGCAGCTCCATGACTTTGATGCGGTTTTTCTTGCAGGCGATGTGCAGGGGGGTAAAGCCGTTCTGTGCAAAAGACAACGGGTTAGTCGGGACACACACACATGACCCCACACCGCAGCTGGCACCGCCGCGCCCCGCTGGGCCCTCATGGCCGCTCCTGCCCACGTCCAGGCCTGCTGTGTGGTGACGGAGAAAACGGCCTGCGCGTCGGGGCGGGGACCCGGGGCGGTGAGGCTGGGCGCTGGGACCGGAAGGGTCAGGCCGCACCGCGGGCACCCACGCGCTTTCTGACGCAAGGCCGCCTCTCGAGGCGCAGACTCCGGTGGTCTGCTCCCTGCAAGTCTGAGGGCGTGGCGGCCTCCGAAATCAATGTGTCAGCTTTGTGCGTCTTCTTCAGGGAGCGTGTGCACAAATCAGCACGGATCACGGTTTATGTCGACAGTTTTTTATATCCTAATGTCATATTAAAAATTTTATAGGAAGTCACATATTAGCGGAAATCATTATGTTCATATTTTACTTCTTGAAGTTATGCTTCTGTATTTAGAAGTATTTATAAAGTATGATGGTGAAATACATTTCATGAAGAAGTGATTATGGTGTGTGAATATCTAAGGAAAGTGTGGAGAACTTCCGGGTCGTTGGGCGGAGGGAGCTCTCCAAGGCAGAGGAAAGTGGACACGCCCGGGGCGTTCGCACTCCCGACTCAGCTGAGGTGCGGGCGGGGGGGAAGGGCACCCAGAGGCCCGTTAACCAGCTCTGTGCCCACCCCACCTGGTGTGTTGGGTTCTGCGTTTTTCCTTGAACAATGACCTGTGTGTGGAGCGGTTGGTGATGGGGGGGACCGGCCACCGGCCAGCACTTTTCCGTACCCACAGTTCCTAGGAACCGCGGGCCCCACCCCGATGGCCACCTCCTCGCAGTGTCCTTTAGGCCCCTTCCCGCTCCTGAGCTGCGTGAAACCCAGAGACAAGGAGGCATGTGGAACTCGGCCCCTGCAACGGCCCAGGGACTCGGCCGCGACACCACAGGAGCTTGCTGGCCGCTCTTGGACTGAGAACGAGTCCCCTCCTCCTGGTGAGGAAGCCAATGCGCCCCCGTTAGTTCTCCTGAAAGCGCATCTGCTTCCCAGGCACGAGGCAATACTTCGACTCAGATGGAAACCTCGGAAAGCTTCTACACAAAAGCGTTACTACCGATCTTCAGGGACACCACACCTTCCTAAGCACTGACTGAAGACTGGTGTGAGTGACGTTAACCGTGGAAACGTGGAGGGGAAAGGGTTTGCTTTCAGCGGGAGAACAGGGACCAGGCATGCGTCCGCGCAGGCCCTCCTGCTGGGGCAGGGGTTAGGAGGGGAGGGGAGCGCGGAGACTTGGCAGCGTTAGGCCGGGACACACACGCGCGCGCGCGGGCTGCGGAATGGCCGACTCCAGGCGGTGCTCTGGGAGCGACAGGCGCTGAGCTCCCTGCTCTGGCCCCGGGCAGGGCCCGCAGCCCCTTGAGGAAGCCGACAAGCGAGTTCTCCAGCCTGACCCCCCACCTTCTTCTCTTTCAAAAGGGGAAGAAAGAAGTTCAGCTTCTCCCATGTGCACTCCGACCCTACAGAGAAGTGTCCGAGCTCATCTTGTGGAGAAGCCCCTACCTGTCAGCTCCTACTTTCCATTTCAAATTGTCAGCCCCCCCACCCCCCGCGGTTTCCCATCTACTGCAACTCGCTCATCGTGGGGACGCCACCTTGGTGGCCTCGCCATCTCTCGGTGCCCGAGGTCACGCCATGGCGACCAAAGGCAGGTGCAGGCAGGCACCTGGGTGGACACACCACCTGCTGTGCAGTGCTGCGCGGCCGCGAGGCCCACCTGCCCGCCCCCCCACGCCCGCTGTGTGGCCGGGGCCAGCGTTACCAGGGCTCGGGCGTTGGGGTTGGCTCTCTTGTCCAGGAGGAGCTTGGTGACACGGTAGTGGCCACAGTGCGCGGCGACGTGCAGGGCCGTCAGGTAGTCCAGCGTGACGTCGTCCACGGGGGCCTTGTGCTGCAGCAGGTGCTTGACGCAGTCCACGTGGTCCCCCTGCGCGGCCATGTGGAGCGGGGACAGCCCGTTCTGCAGGTGAAAACAAACCGGATCCCATCCCACTTCGGGCCTCAGGGCCGGGCTCCGAAGCCCAGCTGGTCAGCCAGCTGGGTGACGTGTGGACAAGCGAGTGAACAGATGGGAGAGGGCGAGTGAGTAAGCCAATGGGCCAGGAACAGACGAGCACGCGTGTGAGGGAATGGCGACCGAGTGAAGGGCCAGGGAAATGGTCACTCAGCCGCACACGCTTTCTGCAGGACGTGGACACGGGAATGACATCTGACTTCCCAGGGAGGCCACCTTGGTGACCCATGGTCTCCAGGGGCGATGTGACAACTATAGCACCTCTATGGGCGAGACTGCGTCGCAGTTCCTGGGAGGGTGCTGTCCGTCTGTCTGTCTGTCCTCAGTTCGCTACAGGCTTTCTAGTGGTCACGACAGGGCTGGTCTGACACTGTGTCACTTACATTTCAGTCTGTGCTCCACAAACGGCCCCGTTGGTCTCATGTCACCCTGGACTGCACTTCAAAACAGGTCTGTGCGACCCGCACAGTGCGGTGTGGGGGCGGGAAGGACGGCTTCCCTCGGTGCCTGACTGGGGGGGCGGGGGCCCATCGTGGCTGGGGCAGAGCTTTACAGGCAGAGTCTGTCCCACACCGACTGCAGACCTGTGGGCTGGCCGGCCCGGATCACACCTTCAATCAGCACATGGCTGCACTGAAAACGCCTGTTGTGTGGGCTGCCTTGTTTCCGCCGCCCACCCTGTAACAGCACCGATCGACCCCACCCTGACTGTGGGGGTTGGGGTGACAGAGGGAGAAGATGTGAGAAATGCCCCCCGTCTGATTTTTGCTGGTCAGGACCCAGCGCTGTCTTGCCCCATCAGACTGCGGTGTGCTGTTCCCCGTGTGCCCCATGACGGGGTTCGGTGACCGGAGCAAGGCTGCACTGCCGTGAACCCCGTAACCCACGTCTGACCGTGCAATCCTCCTCGCTGGGTCTCCCCATCAGGTCGAGGGTCCCCTAGTGCCACACTGAGGGACGCAACCAGGGCTCTGGCCGTGCTCAGCCACAGAGAACAGCGCCTGCCACTCACCCCAGGCAAACGGTGGTGGGAGCTCACGCCACCCCGTCCCCCTCACCGCAGCTGCACAAGAGCCATCGTGTGGTGCTGACTGTGCTGCGTTAATGGGTGATTTTATGGGCAGTTATAGCTGTCTCAGAGCCTCATAAAAATGTAGACGCCTAGAGGGTCAGACAGGATCACTGACCCGCGACACTCAGCTCCTCACAGCACGACACTCCCATTTCCTTCTGCAGTGAGACCGGCAGGTGACAGAGAGAGGACTCGGAGGCACACCTTCCGTACGTCCCACTGCCTGCGTTTGTTGATGTTAAATCGTGCAGCAATGTGACACGCATGCCTCCCTCCGGGCACACAGGTGCCGAATGACCAGGAAACTCGCGCTGACACTCCGTGTCAGGAGGGTCAGGTGACGCGGCGTCCCCAGGGCCTCACCTTGGTCCGGGCCAGCAGGGGCGCGCCCCTCTCCAGCAGCAGCTCCACCGCCTGGCCGTGCCCGCTCCGGGCCGCGCAGTGCAGCGGCGTCAGCCCGTCCTGCGGAAGAGCCGGCGTCAGGTCTCGGGTCACGGCCCCTGAAAGCGAGGTCCCACCAACGGACACCCCGAGGAGAGTGCGTTCTGGCGACTTGACAGGCACGAGGACTGCTCTCGGCTCAGCGACAGAGAGGGAGAGAGAGAAGGGAAACGAGACGAACGGGACAGGGCGCGGACAGGCGGGCTCCCGCGGGGCGCAGGCTGTTGGACTCGGACGTCCTCCTTGCTTGGGACCAACCGAGAGGCCATATTGCTGTGCTGCTCTCATCCCGCCTAGGCCCAGTCCCAAACTGTCACTACCGTCACACGTTTTCCTAAAATGCCACCTGAAATACTTAGGCGGAAGGGTCCTTTTCTCGCATTCTGGAAAACCCTTTAGATGGCCACCACACACTCTCACCTACGAACTACACAGTCGTTTCTCAGAGGTGACGCCTGTGAGAGGTGAAGGTGGGTCGCAGTGGAGGGGATGGGGGACCGTGGGTAGTGGGAGGACCTTGGGAGCCCTCACTCACCCGGGACGCCACGGGCCGGATCCCGGGCTCCACCTCCCTCCTGATAAACGAGCCTCGTCTACCCCCTTCCCGATCCCTCATCCGGGGGGCTCTGGGCGGGACTCCCAGCTGCCCCTGTAGGCTGGGCTCCGCCCTCCTCCACGTTGCTGCGTGGCCCACACAGGCCTCTCTGGTCGGCACTGGCAGGCTCCCTGTGCTCTGGCTTCGGGCTGCCTTGGGCCACAGGCCACGTCTTGTGTTGCAGGAAGCAACCTGCTGAGGGTCTCCTCAAGTCTGGCTGTGTCTCTTTACCCTAAGCAGCTACTGCCCCCGTCCCCCCTTGAGTTCAGGCCTGGATGCTAACCGCCCTGCTGGGACCACCCCAGGGGGCACGCCCCACCCCCGTGCCTTCCCCACGGCCCACCCACGAAGGGGGAACAGGCCCTTTAACAATGTCTGCAGATGACCAAATTCTAGGGCCGTTGGCTCAGCCAGAACCTTGACTGGTAACGATTCCTTGCTTTGCTAAGTGTATTCGGCTGATTTCAAGACCCCGAAGGACCCAACAGGAGCCTCGCGTGTGGGCAGGTGGGCGTTAGCCAGGAAAGGCTGTCTCGCCAGGAGATGGGTGGTGCTGTAGTGGGGAGGCCGTTGTTGTAAAGTTGGCCAGGGAGGGGCCTGCGGCGGAGAGTGCGGGCAAAGCGGTTAAAACTCGTCTTTTACCCCAGGACGGCCCTGCGCTGGGGCACAGGCGTGGTCGTGCAGGGACCCCACACCCATCGGGTTGTCCACACACGTTCCGCACTCGCCCCGGTGGGGCTGCGCTGAGGCCCAGAGCGCGAGGGACGGAGGTTCCTCCAAGAACGGAGGTTCCGCGCGGCTGCGCCACGTGTGGGCCGGGGCAGGGGGCGGCACAGGGCCACCGCCGTGCCTCTGGGGGGTCAGCCGTGACGTACAGAACGGTGTCACTTTCCTGCCCTGTGTCACTCACAGCCTGTTTGAAACTGCAGGGGCGCTGCCATGAGGCCTTTCTAGAGAAGGTGTTTTCTACAAATAACTTGAAATATTCGTCGCGCAACGATATGGAAACAGTTTCAGAGGAACGAGAGGGCAATGAGGAGAGCATGCGGTCGCCCGCACACACCAGGACGTCAGCTTTGGCGGGTTCTGGACCCCACACTTCCCTGACGCGGCTTCTCCGCTCCGTCAAGGGCTGCGGGTCACGCTGACGCCACGCGCCCCACGAGCTCCGTCTGAGCGGCTTGGGGTGTCTTCCACGGAGAACAGTGACTCAGCCCCAAAGATCCTCATCCAGGTTTCCCGCTCAAGGATTCGGTTTACTTAAATTCCTCTTTAAATGAAATTCTGGAGCCTGTGTTTGAAAGTTCCGTTTCCCCTCCCCAGGTCCTTCCCCTGTGCTTGTTTTCGTCACGAGAATTGGTTCGGATACACCCCGACACCGAGGGTCCTGACCGGGGCTACCCGGCCGGGCACCGCACGCCGGCTTCTCCACCCTCCCTCTGCGTCCCTCTGCTGCGACCCTTCTCCTCGCCGGGGCCCCTGAGGCCTGCGGGTTAGTTTGCTCGGGACGCAGCTGCCCGGGTCCCCATGTCTCCCTTCGGGTGTCACGGTTCCTCAATCAGAAAACACGGTGAAGCTCCCAAGTGGTTGGCAACGAGACGCGGCGGCGTCTGCAGAGCGAGGGCTGCACAGGGTGCAGCGCATCACGCGCCTGAGACAGCTGGTGGCCCCACTGTCGCTACTTCCATTTCTAAGGTGACCCCTTTTTCTGATGGACCCATTTTCTAAGGTGCCCCTCCTTTAACGTTTTTGTATTGTTTTACTATTTGCATTGAAATATGCTTTTGATATTTCAAGCACAAACCTTAGGTAGACTAGCTCCACATTTAAATAATAACTAAGTTTAAAAATAAAAATGAATGATGCCTTAATGAAGCCTGAATTAACAGCATCATCTGTAACTAGCTACGAAAGTTGCCGTTGTTTTAACATTAAATGAGGTTTCAGACGGAGGAAGCCAGGGCTCGGCCTCCCCGCGTGCACCAGACGGTGTCGGTGCAGAACCCTCTGCTCTTCCGGGCACGTAGGAGAAAATACTGATTCCACTTTGCCACGCGAAGCCTTAACTAGGGCCTGAGGTTTGAATAAAATCTAAGGAAACCGTTTCCCGAGGACACACGTTTCCGCAGGCTTGGGGCCGGCCCTTCGGGCGACGCGGAGCGAACTCGGCGGTCCCAACGCAGAGGCAAAGGCACGCGCTCACCCTGGTTTTGGCGTCGATCTGGCCGCCGCGGTCCAGCAGGAGCTTCACCATGTTCGTGTTTCCCCTCTTGGAGGCCACGTGCAGAGGTGTGATCCCGTTCTACAGGGAGAGGAGGCAAGAGCAGGGCGTGAGGGCGCGGAGGGCACACACACAGGGGTGGGCCGGGGGTGGCCTAGGAGGAAACCGGACCCAAGGCCCCTGCGATGCTTCCGTCGGTAAGGAGCGAGAAGCACCTGAACCACGAAGCACCGCAGTCAGAGAATAAGATGGAATGAAGCTGCAGAACTAAGTTGCTGCCACATGGGCACTGGGCACACACCTGCCGCATAGAACGAAAATTTCAGGGTCCTCCTGGGACGGAGCCCGAGCCCCAAGCCCGTCCTTCTTTCTCCAACACCCGCAAACACAGAGAACCGGGGGCTGAGAGCTGCCTGTGCTCAGAAGGAGGCACAAGTATACCTGCCCATACCGGGGGACAGCGACTCACTGCCACCTTCAGAGAGATTTGGTGTGACAGGGACCCCACAGTCTCAGGGCAGGAGACGTCCAAGGGTAAAAACACCCTACGTGTGAGTTACGGTTATTTTATTGGCTGTCCTGCAGCACCATTATGGTGAGGATGTATACCTGATCCCTTGTGTCGTAATGTTGCGAATGTTCAACTATCTCATTACTTATTCATGTTATGTGTGTGTGTGCCCTGTGACACTGAGTCACCCTGACTCCGGGCGACCCCATGAACGGGTGACGTGCCCAGAGTCCTGTCCTCACAGCCCCGCTCAGCCCAGGAGACTCAGCCTGTGGCTTCCTTCACAGAGTGAGTGCATTGCACGCTGGGTCCCCTCTCCCGCTGTCGCTGTCCCCAGCATCACTGTCTTCCCAGAAGGTCCCCGCCTGCTCACCAGGTGCCTAGCAGGACAGCTGCAGTCTGTCTGTCATTCTACCCCAGTGATGTTTCAGGCTTATTTGTCCATTTTTCTGGGGATCTCAGGTTTCCAACACCCTATTGTAAGTGAATCTGTGTTTCCCATCAGCCTTCTTCACTGTCTGACTGTCACATCCGCATGTAGTGACTGGGAAGAGGAGGGGTGGGCAGTCCCAGCCTGGGTCTCTAAGGACACGTCTGAGCTCCTGGTGACCTCTCCTGATTCCCCCACTACTGCCCTTCCGAGTCTCAGCCTGCTCCTGACGCCTTGGCTGCCGTCTGCACTTGAACTGAGGACGGAAGCAAGGTCAGCACAGGCTTTAACAGTTTGGCATCCTCATTGTCTGTGTTGAAGTTGTGCGTTTCTTCTGCAGCCGTGACTTCTGTCTTCCTGAGACACGGTCCCGCTTTGCCACTTTCTTCTCGCGCTCTGGTCAGAAGTCGTTTCGATCCTGGCTCCTTTCTGCCGGGGAGGCAGGGTCACCGCGGAGCTGAAGTGACTGGTGTTTCTTCCCCCATGTTCCCCCACCCCCCCGCCGTCCACCATCTAGAGTTTGCGTTCCTTTTCCCCGCAGCATTGTCTATCCATGGTCTCCCTCGTGATATTTCCAGTTTCAGGCCACAGTTGTTCTGGTTCTTGGTCAGTCACATTTATTCGAGCAAATCTGCAAGCTGTTGGCTTTGTAGAGCCCCACGGACTGGTCTGCTGTGCGTCAGAGCTCTCGTCCAAATTCCCCGACACTGGATTTGGCTGCATTTCCTACCACTGCGTCCCAGTCTCGTATAATTACCCGTGTGTCTTGTCTGTCGGTATGGGATCCATTCCGTCTCGGATGCTTGCATAAAGCCTTCCCCGCCCTCTTCTCCAGCCTCTGGAGTTGGAGCGCAGACAGACGGCGGCTGTGCTGGCTGGTCTTCCCGGAAGTCTGCGGGATGTTGCTGGTCTTCCCGGAAGTCTGCGGGATGTTGCTGGTCTTCCCGGAAGTCTGCGGGATGTTGCTGGCCGACCTTGCACCGCGGCCCCTCCCTGCAGGGGCTGTGTCTCGCCTCTGCATCGAAGCTACCCCGTTTCTTCTGAGCTTGTCGTCTCCAGGACAGAAACGTCCCACGGTGGTCGCTCTGGCACCACCGCGGGGAGGGGTCCCGCTTCCCCGCTACAGCCCTAGGTCGCCTCCGTCCTCGCTCCGTGTTGCAGCCGCCCCTGCCGGGGACAGCGAGCTCTCCTCCTGCCCTTGTGCGTGGGCCCCTCCTTGTTTCACTGAGTTTGACAGCGGTCACTCAGGGAGTCTTTCCAACGTAGAACTCAATGCGGCGTCTCTGATGTGTTTCAGGGAGACTCTATAAGCAAATTCTGAATTCATTAAAAAAATTCTCTGTCAAACTGTGTGCCCGACGGCCATCATGAAGACTTTGGACAAATGTCCTGACACATTTTATACCAAACAGTTTAACAGGTCGAGTATTTACTGACTTGAAGCCGCTCATTCATGATTCATGGTGTGATTTTTACATCTAACTGCTCACACGGATGTCTGAATTAAGATCCTCCTTAACTGTTACAGATAATTTGTGTGGGTGTGAATATGTGATTTGTGTGAATACATGACTTGTGTATGAGTGCATGGTTTGTACGTGTGAATACATGTTTTTGTGTGTGAATACATGATTTGTGCGTGTGTGAACTCCCACACTCTCGTTGCTCACGTGTTGGGCTGTCCTGCGAGTTGAACACAGAAATGAAGACCCCACCCCTCCAGCCCAGATGCAGGGAAGGGAAAGGCCCCCCGCCCCCTGTCGCGCCCGTCCCCTCGGAGCTGTCTACAGCGGGCGGCCGCACGCATACCCGGGCCGTGAAGTCCACTGCGGCGCCGCGGTTGAGGAGCAGGGTGGCCACGTTGACGTTCCCGTAGTGGGCGGCGATGTGCAGAGGGGTGAAGCCACTCTGCAGGAAGCAAAGGGACACATTGGTGAAGGTCCCTTCCACAGGCCCAGGTCACAGGTCGTGGACGCAGGCACGTGGGGACTCTGTCTGCCTGACACAGCAGCCACATGGCCCAGATGACAGATGCCGTAACGAGACTCACTCAGGGCCACCAGGGGTAAAGAGCCAGGTCTGTGTACGGGTGAGTGAGGCTCCCACATTTCCTGGCGTAATTTCTCATTACCTTAGCAATTTCTCGGTTTATGAGGTTTTCTACTTAAACAAAACCAGGGTTCTTGAGTTGGTGTAGTGTTAGAGAAAAACCGTATGATTGACAACATAAGGTCTCAGCCAGGAGAATAACGTAGCTATGAATTAAGATGTTTTCTCCAGAGAAAAACTCAAAATTGACGCTCTTTAAAAAAATGATTAACAGCAGAGGTTGGCGCCGTCTCTTTGGAAGACACTGTGAGCGGGCCAGTCCATCCACACGGACGCGCCAGTACCCACCACTGTCACCGCAGGGCTCAGTCAGACCACGCTGTCAAACGGGAAAAGTTAAAAAAATTAACCAGCGCACTTGGCATCAATGTGAGTGAAAAGTTTTAAAAAAATTAGTTGAACCTGATTTTGAATGTTATTTAACCCAAACTTCATCCAAAATAAAATAAGACAGATACAAAATAAAATAAAATGGCTATAAAATAAAAGAAGCAGGTTAAATCAATTGTATGAGCATTAGGACTGGTTACCCTCAGAATATTTAGAAATAAATCTCAAACTCTTAAATGGAAGAAAAGTGTGTTTTCTTTCATTTCTTTTTCTGACAAAAAACTAGTCAGAAAAGTTTGCCATTTTCACAACACAAGCCTAGTAATTCCTATTACTAAGGAACGCAAGTTTCATCCTTGCTTTGCAATTCCCGCGATTCATCACTCAGTGAAAGACTCCCAAGACCACCCCCAACAGACGGGGCCTCGGTCCTGCAGCTGCGAGGTCATTCTGTCGGGTTCTCCTTCATCTGAAATGGACTCTGCTGTGTTCGGTGCGTACTGCTTTTAGGAAATATTATCCGAATCACAACTCAGCTCCCTCAGAGACAGAAGTCCCTCTGTGCCACCAGCCTCGAGGGCTGCGACTGATTTCCGATGGCAGAGACGCCAGACACGAAACAGTGACGGTAACTCTGCACCCCAGTCCCACACTCGGGTCAGGGCATTTTTATTTTGCATCCACTTGGTGTCAAATATTCATGTCAATATAATAGAGGGAAGGCGTCAGTCTACAACCTGGCTCTCGTTACAGAATGTCAAATTGTTAGGATTTAGGAACTAACTGTGTGTTTTTCATTTTTATTTCCATAGTTCTTGTCACCTGGGGTGTCCTGAATGTGTGTCTATGATTCAGGTCACAGCGTAATTACACAAAAACACAGCAAATGCTGGTGAATCTTTTTCAAAACATTCGAGTGGAATACTGTTACTTTCACATTTGCAAAAATAAACTAACTCCTTGACTCCCTGCCGGCCACCGTGGCTGACCTGGCCCTGGGAGGGAGCCTGCAGAGGTGGGGGCTGAGCCCCCGCCCACGGGCCCTCCACGGAAGGGCCCCTGTCATCTGGGATCCTGAACAAAATACATGTAACTTGGTACCAACCTACCAAACTGCTGCTTTCAATGCAATGCTTAGAACCAATATTGTTTTCAAAAACGTGTCTGAGTCACCAAAAATCACCTAAGAAATTAAAGGTATTAAAACCAGTCACTAAGACACCAATGTGCATGGTTTCGGTCTTGAGCGACTTCACCGATGGGCCCGCGGCTTCGGAAATCTCCGACCTGAGTGTCAGGCGCCGGGACGCAGCCGGAGAAAGGGCATGTTTACATCTCAGTGGCCACTGCTAACAAGCAGGACTCCAGAAACACTCTGCTCCCCGGGACCACGCAGTGTGAATGCTGCGTCCCACCCAGCGCCCGGGAGCGGTCAGCCTAAGTGAGAGTCGGCCTGCGGGAGCGGGCACTTCCCTCCTGTCTGGGTCACTGTCTGTGATGCCCTTTCCACAGCACTGGTCGGGGCCTCTGGGCAGCAGCCACAGGAGAGGCCCCTGGTCACGCCCAGGTGCACAGGCCCACACTGCGGGTCCGTGCGGGTCGGTGGGGCCTGGGTTGGCTTGTGGAGAATAGATGGCTGATGACATGGACTGTGAGACTCGCACTTTGCTGGGGCGTGGTCACTCTCGTCGCTGGCCATGCACACAAGAGACAATGTCACTGACATGGGCAGCTGTGAGGGGACAGCCAGGGGCCAGATAAACCTCCCTCACCGGGCTGTGCTGACCTTGATCCTGAGAACCCGCGTTACCAGGGGTCACAGCCCGGTGGCACTCGTAAGCCTGTCGTCACTTGGCACGTCCGCGCTAAGGGACAGTTTCATCCACGCTCCACTCTCATGGGCTACTGACGTGGTGTCACTGACTAAAAAATGCTTCAAATAGGCTACATTTGAACTATCCATTTCCGTTAATCACAGGGAAAGTTTCCAAGCAAATCTCCTAACAATGGGAGTCCCAATCATGAGCGGGAATTAGTGAGCATTTGTTCTAATCGAACAAAAAACTAAAAAGATCAAACCGAGCCAGAGCAAGCGTGTGCTGGGGGGTGGATACCGTACCTCGGTCGTCCTATTCACCATCATCTGAGGCGGTTGTGCGGAGAGAAGAGGCAGACGTTACACACTGCAAAGCAAGGACACAGGCCGCCTGCGCGGCTGGACCGCCCCACACGCCCGACGCACGCGCAGGAAGGCCCGGAACCCCACCACCGCCCGCCTGCCTAACGCTGCTGTTACTGGTCTTTACTAGAAATGGAACAAGCAGGCACATTTCTAAGAGGCTGGCCCTCGTTGTTGAAACAGCGTCTACTTGTCTTCCCGCGGCGGTGCCTGGCGCGGCCCCTTCCTCCTGCGCCTCCTCCGAAGGGAGCCCGAGTCTGGGACACGCGGGGCCTCACCTTGGACTGCACGTCGGCGTTGTGGTCGTTCTGCAGCAGCAGGGCGGCCGACTTGGTGTCGTCCTTCCTGGCCGCGATGTGCAGCGCCGGCAGCCGCACCTTCCCCTTGGTGTCGTTCTCCAGCAGGACGGCCACGGCCTGGTCGTGTCCTTGCTGCAGGGCCACCGCCAGAGGCGTGAAGCCGTCCTGCAGGGGCAGAAAAGACCCTCCGCTGACCTGCGGGGTCTGGGGTTCGGCAAAGCTTGGACGAACTAGCAGAGCGGAAGGACAGAAGGATGGCCTGTTCTGCAAAGGCCGGAGGAGACTGTGACCGGTCGCCTGGGGACCAGGGACGGCCCCCACACTGGGAGGGTCGTCAATGCCCTGACCCGCTCGGCAGGGCTGCTAGGGCTCCCTGTAGGGCTGTTATGTTTCGGATGTGTTCAGGGTCCCTGTGCTGGGCGCCTGAATACTTTCAATGCTGCTTCTCCTGGCTGGGTCGACCCTTCATCGTTAGGGGGCATCCATCTTGGCCTCTCACCTCAGTTCTGCTTTAAAGCCTGTTTTGTCCGACACGGTGCAGCGACCCCGGCTTTCCTTTGGGTCCTTTGCATGAAACACCTTTTCCCAACCCAGCCGTAAAGCCGCGGTTTTCGGCCTTTTCCCTCTGGCAGCACAGAACTAACCACTGACCCTGGACACCAAAAGTACTTCGTGTGCCGGTCTGACAAGAGAACAGGCACAATGCTGACCCTTCACCCCGGGAAGCTACCGCTGTGTTGGCTGCTGTCATTTCTTTGTTTGACAACTGAGGGGAAAGGGGTCTGTGCCCCTGACTGCATAGTCAGGTAACGCGAATTCAAAAACCCTCCCGGCACGCAGCTGAAAATCACTGCTGCAGACTTGTGTGGGAATCGTTTCCATCAAGAGCTTCCTACGGTACGTGCGCTGCCACAGCAAGAATTTTCAAATGAGGACTGAGTTTTAAATAAACCTCTTCTCAGCAGAATGGAAGCCTAAAGCACACAGTGCTGCAAGATGAGAAGTAGCCCAGAGTGAGAACTCGCACCGGGGACGCCATGATGGGGCGGGAATTCAGTGGGGATCTGAGGCCGGGACCCCAGCTGAAGCGCAGGCCCCAGGCACGGAGTCCCCCCGGCGGCTCACCTCGGTGGCGGTGCTCTGGTTGGCGCCATTCTCCAGCAGGTACTTCACGACGTCGATGTGGTTTTCCTGGGCAGCCATGTACAGCGGGGTGAAGCCATTCTGAGGACGAGCCACAAAAAAGACACACTCAGTCACTCCTTGGTGACAATGGAACCAGGGAGGGGCACATACACAGCAGGAGGGGACACGGCAGTGCCGTGGTGCAGCCCAGGTCACGCTCCGCGCCAGAGAACGAAACACGCCTCCGCCCCGGAACACGGACACGTGCGGTGAACCAGCTTACACGGGCCACGCCTCTATCCCTCCCCGTCCCGTCTCCCTCGGCTCCCGACACTTGTTACACCAGAGGGTTTCAGCGTCTTCGTGTCTACGTGTTCTGCGACACACAGAAATCTTGCCACCTGTGGTGACCGTGTAACACGGTATTTCTATACCGCCCTCCGCTTCGGCCAACCCACGAGCTGTTCACAGGCCACCGTCCTGCTGGGTGCGCACATCGTGCCCCCGGGCACCGCAAAGGCGCAAATGGCGGCTCACCCCACCGCAGGCCAACACAGACTGCACAGCCAATTAAAAAGTAAAAATCCGCATTTCAACGTGCAGAATGCAGTTGCCAGGCTTAAATTTTTTTAGATCCTTGCCCGAGGACATGTTTATTGACTAGAGAGAGAGGGGAAGGAGGGAGAGAGAAACCTCCATGTGAGAGACAAGCATTGACCCCAACTGGGGATCGAACCCACATCCTGGGCGTGTGTCCTCCCTGGGAGTCACACCGTGACCGGAGTCTACGGGACGACACTCCCGCCCACGGAGCCTCCGGGGCCCAGGCCTGTCTCTACGGGGACACCGGGTCCAGATTCCGGTCCCCGAGCAGAGCTCCTCCGCAGCTACCCTCCGAGCGGCGGCACCGCAGGGGTCGCTGCCCCGGCCACCACGCGGGTCCCCCGCGTCAGCTTCCTCAAACCGGCCTTGGGGGCGTCCCAAAGTTTCCCTGGCTCTGAGGTCAGGATGATTCAAATTAGTCCCTAAATATATTATAAGCACACAGCTGCAAAGGATGTAAAAACCCAGTGGGTCCTAATTACAGTCACAAAATAGACTATTCTGGGTGCTCCGAGGGGGCACTTGGGGCGAAGGAACACGAGACACGGTTAGACACTTGCTTGGCAGCTAAGAAGGCATTTTGTTCATTAAAACACCGCACAGTTTCTCAGATGATGTGCCTTTGATGCTTCCTTGCCTGGTTGCAACGCGGTGAGTTATTTCCACCACCTCTTCTCTCCAAAGGTTCCCTTTAAAGGGCCAGCCGCTCCCAGCCGATAACATCACAGTGATTTGTGCTCTGAATCTTCCCAGGGAGACTCAGTTTATGGGTTTCGTCACAACTCCGCCACTGGGGCCACTTAACAGACACCACTGTGGCCGTTCACCTGGGGCCACACCCCCGAGCAGCGCGACGATGGGGACTAAACCCGAAGGACGCCCGGCCTCCTTTGCCGCCTCCACGCCCTGGGCATCAGAGCAGAGCCTGGGTTCCCTGAAAAGCGCTCGGGCCAAGCGGAGTGGGGCTGACTGGTGGCCACAGTGGGGTGTGTGGCCGGCTGGATGCCGCCATCCAGAGCTCCCTTGGATTCCTCTGGTGTTTACTCCCAGGGGCGAGAAGTGGAGGGTGGTGATTGAGAAGAGAGGAGAGGCTATGACGCCCTCCCCGTTTGTTATTTAACCCTTTCCTCCCAGAGCCCTAAGGAGACGTCTCCACACGCCATTCGAGCCCGAAGAGACCTAAACACGGCACTGGGACCGGAGCCACCGGGAATCCTTCTGAGCCCCGGCCCTTCCGGCTGCACCAGCAGCTCTTTCCCCCAAATTTTTGAGGGAAAAATAAGGATGCATATCTTACTTGGGTAGTACTAATTCCATTATCTATATAAACGTTTTTAATTCTTTTTTATGCTTATGTGTTGAAAGTGTAAATCTAGAAAGCAATAACAATATCTGTATGCAAAATAATACCCAGGAATATGATCATCGGTTTTGTTTCTAAATATTGTTGCTGCGTCACATGACACAGCAACGGCTGAAGGGCGTGAGGCCTGGCCTGGCGCTCGGTCCCTGTGCAGGTGGCCTTGGTGCCGGCCGGGCCCCTGAACGACTTCAGAGGCAGCCGGGCAGTCAGAGCAGGCACTGAGGGGCCAGGAAGGGGACAGGCCATGACGTCACCAGCCCCCCACGGCGCCCTCAACCTCGAACAGCTGGCTGCACATTCCAGTTCACAACCTGCCAAGACAGAACCCCAAAGACAGAACCCTGTCCGTGTAGTGGTCCGAAAGCTCACGTAGACGACACGTGGAACCATCGGTCACGTGCCCACACTCGTGTACTTGGGACTATTTATTTGTAACCTTGCCCTTGAAACACACTCACATTCGCCAGGACTTACACACACATGCAGTTAAAACCTGCACCGACAGTCAGGGTGAGGTGGGCGGGCACGCGGAGACGGACAGAGCCTGGAGGGGCCGGAAGAGGACTCCGGGTCCTGGCAGCCGCAGAAACAAGGAAGTGCAACCGGAGAAGAGGGTTGCCACAGTTTTGAAAAAAAAGCTTGCTGGCCGCCATGGAGAATCTTGAGTTCACCCGAGGGACAGAGAAGGCCGGGCGTCTTCTCCCTGAGGCTGTTCCTCAGGGGAGCTGGGAGAGTCGGCAACCAGGGGGACCAACTCCAAGTAGCACCTGGAGGGCCAGGCGCAGCCACCTGTCCTGAGAACGGCGAGACGCCCGGCTGAGACTGAGGCACCTGCAGCCACGCTCTGCTCAAAAGGACCTCAGTGCGCGGAGCTCTTGCTCTCTGAATAGAAAAGCGGCCATTTGGACCCGAATGATTCTGAGGGCAGATGTCACTCCTCAAAGCTCGCCCATACGGGACATGCGTAGGGCCCGCCCTCTCCTTATTTCCCAAAAATCAGACTGAAAACAAAACTATATTCTGATGGACCTGCCTGGATGCTCTGGCTACAACTGTAGCCAGAAACACAGGAGGAGGCTGACGCGCCACGAGAGCTTTCTGGAACCTGCCTGCCCCCCACGCCAGGGTCGTGGCCACTGAGACCTCGTGGCTTCCAGGTGGCTGTCACAGTCGCTGGGGACCACGCAGAGAGTGTGCACACCAGGCACCGCCCCTGCCCTTGCAGGGGGCCCTCCTCTTCCTCTGGGGTGTGGCCAGCAGGTGCGCACTAGGTCACACTGGGGCAGACTCAGGCTGCAGAGCGAGCAGCAGCAGAACCAGTCTGTCCTGATGCCCTTCCCAGCTGCTCTGCACGGGACAGCGGGTCTGGTCCCAGGTGGCTGACGGCGTCCCCAACAGTTCACAATCCCCTTCCATCCTCACACTCGGCCCCGCATTCCACGGACTGCAACGAATGAGGGCCACAGTGAGGGCACACAAACCAGTGAGGGACACAGCCGCTGCCCGAAACCATGGCCACGCGGAATCTAGAAGTGCACAGTCGGTTTGAGCTCGTAGGAATGGAGAGCAGAGCAGCGGTCCCAGGCTGGGGCCCGGCGCTGCCCCGTGTGACGCAGGCGGGCGACCGAGCAGCACCCACCCTTCTCACCGGGAAGAAAAGGCGAGAGGCGTGTTCAGTGGCTCGACGTGGGGAATCCTTGCAAAAGGTACACGTGTATAAGACCACGATGCTATTAACTGTCTTACAATTTTTGGTCAATTATACCTCAACAACACTGGAGAAAAGTAAACTAAAAAATTATCTATGAATTAAACCGAGAGGGAGAGAGCCGTCTATAGAGGGCACGGCGTTCTGGCCCCGTGGCTGTGCGTCTGGGACTCGTACGGATGGTGCCGAGTGCGAACAGTGGTGGAAAAATAAATAAATAAAGTAAAATAACAAGGAAAAGAGAAAGAGAGCACAGCTGAGTCATCAGTTCCCAGGGGCCACCCTCACTGCTCCCGGGGCCCTCGCAATAGTTTCCGTCCCAAACTGGGCTCAGTGTGCTGCTGTTTCCCCCTGTGCTTTGTCTGTGGGCCCTGCCAGCAGGCAGCACGTGGTGTGGTCTCCCCGAGGGCGGGGTGTCACCGGGGTCCTGGTGGAGGAAGGGGCCCCGCACTGTGGGAGCTGAGGCCCGAGGCCGAGCACAAGGCAGTGGTCCGTCGCTGCCAGAGGGGCTGTTCCTCCGGGGCAGCTCGGGGGAGAGAAGGGGAGGCCTGTGCACAAACTGCAGGGCTTCCCACTCTTCTCCCGCGGGCTGACCTTACCGCAGACTCGGCTCCTCCAAAATGCAGGGACGCCGGCCCCGGACAGGGAAGGGACGAGAACCAGCAGGCGGTAAACCAGGGTCTGGAAGTGACGGTGTCCAGCCGTAATGCCCCCAAGTTCAGGACAAAACGACGACTAGCACTCAGCCTTTCCGCACCCCCTGTCCCCAGACAGGAGCGCAGGACGAGTGTATCAGTCGTGATTCGAAACTGAAAATGTGCTTTATTTTACTTCAAATTTAAAAGCTACCCTGCTTTTCAGTTATGGTGTGCATTTACCAGACAAGGAATCTTACTGCCGGAATTCCACCGGAAAAGGAGAGAGAATTCCATTCTACGCACAACTGGCGTCATTTCTCCCAGCTCCTGGCGGGTGCAGGACGGAGAGGCGCACACAGGTGCTCGCGCCAACAGTGTGGTTTTCGGTCAGAAGACGGCGTGTCCTGACGTCTTTCTCACCCCTGGCCGAATGCAAGCATGCGCCTTCATCCCAACCTCAGAGATTCGGAACCAAAATAGTGATTTCCCCAACTTAAAAGACCGAGAACCTTACTGAGGAAAATACCACATGTGTACAGTTGGAGGGAAAAAGCTGAACACGAAACCTCTCCTCGGGCTCCGTGAGCGCGACTCCCACTTCACACGCCAGAGTGTCGACAGAACAGAACATTCAGCCACGAGTTTTGTGCCCAGAGCCAGGGACTCACTGCAGCCAGATGGTGGCATTGCACACGGTGGGCATGCCGGCCAACTGCGCACGCTTCCTGCTCTGCACAGCCCGGCTCCCAGGACCCGCCACTGTGGGCAGGCACAGCCAAGAACGAGCAAGAGACTCCGCGCCCGAGCCAGGGTTCATCGCTGCGCACGTGGGCACGTGCACCCCGAAAACCCTGTGTGGATCGCAAAGGGCGTTAGTGGCGCTGGTGTGAAATCTGAAAGCTCCTGCAAGAAACGCCCACGCGGTTTGTGTGAGCCGAGCAAGCCTGCTCCTGGGGCGGCGTCGCCAGGGCCGATGAACAAGGGCGCTGGGCCGAGAAAAGCAGGCGTGCGGCTCCCGCAGACTGTGGCTCCCTGTTCCGGGGGGGGGGGGGCTCGCGAAGCCCACGTGGCCGAGTGGCGTGGCCACAGAGTGGGGCCCCCACCTGGCAGCACAGCTGCCGACGGGACGTTCACCGTCTGAGTCTCAGTCTGAAGGAGGGAAAATGCTTTTACACAGAGACACCAAGTGGCATGAATAACTCATAGTGCACAGATGTCACCGTCCTTCTGGGAAAACCCTCTCTTCTCTTCAATGCCCCTGAAGACGAGGCGGCAGGCTGGGCGCCTGTCGGAGTCTCCGCCATGTCCACGGGGAGACCGAGGCTCACCGGGAAGGGAGAGGTCACAGCACGGGTCAGGAAGACCACGTGGCCGACACAGGTAACGAAGGCGTGCGCAGTCCGTGTTTCCACCCACCGGCGGGCGGGCGGCGCGGCCCCAGCCCCTTGGCGCTGCACTGACCCGGCTGCTCCCACTAGACACGGCGGACCACGTACCTGGGACTGGGCGTTGATGTCGGCGCCTTCCTTGACCAGAACCTTGACGACTTCCGCCTGCCCGGCCAGAGAGGCGATGTGAAGAGCCGTGTTCCCCTTCTGTTAGAAGAAACGAGAGAAAGCGTTACTGCCTCCCTGATTTTGTAGAAATCAACCTGTACAGGCATGTCCCGCGTGGCTGGTTGTTTCAGGTGGATAGAACCTGCCATTCTGTCAAGATAGCAGCCGGCCGTGGGAGGGTCGTTTTACGGCCCAGACGCGGACGTCCCCACCGCGCTCTGTCCTTTCTGGCCCGGCTGGCGCCGAGTTAGGACAGACAGACTGAGCTGCTGTGTGGGCTCAGCTGCCTCCCCACTGAGTGAGGGTCTGTTCTGCACCTAAAATTCTACCACGGTAGTCTAAAGGGCATCCGTATTTTAAAATGTCAGTCGGGTTCAGAGGAAAGGAGAAGAGGAAAACGACATCCGCACTTAGGCAATGCAAGAGGGCTTGGCTTAAGGGGACCATTAATATGGGCAACTCAGGGAGTAAATAACGTGACACATTCAAGATGGTATCTTTGACCGTGCTTAGCATTTATTTGATGGGGTCGAGAGACTTGTTAATAAAAATGCTTATTCTCTGTTTATGTCCAAAGTAAGGAAGTGATTACACACAGTGAACTATGTTAACTTCTTTGGAATGGCCAGAGAGTCTGTTTGCTTTTCGGTTTTCACTAGAACTGCTGTGTGCCACGCTGGGAGCACGGCCGGCCGACCTTCTGGCTACTCACGCGTGAGGCGCTGCAAGTCCAGACTGACTGGCTCTGCCCCCAATTTACTCCCGCGCCCTGTCTGTCTGTCTGTCTCTGGTCAGACCAACACCCCGCCCGGAGGTCCGGGTGTCCAACCCTCGCCCTGCCTCTCTCCCTAAACTCTCCCTGCAACCTTACAGCCATGCATAATCGCACTCCAGCGAGGGGCAGCAAGCTCGATTCTGATTGGCTACTGTTTTCTTCTAAACTAAAATTTCACCTTCTGAAGACAAAGATTTGTCTCCACTAATGGTATTTTTAAAAGTATCTGCTGTTTCTGAAATGACTCCCCAATGGCAAGGTTCAAATACATTCCAGCAAAAGCAGAATCAATGAAGAAGCAAGTTTTTAGTGTCCGTCTCTAAAAATGAGCCTAATTTCTTTACAAACACATCACAGCGACAAAATCTCATTTTATCGCAATCATTCAACGCATGATCCAAAATCTCTTTTTCCACCAGAGTACAAAGGGGTCTGTACATTATCTCATCAGGTTCAGTGAATACATTAAAAATACAACACCTTGAAGTATAGAGATCACTTCTCCGTCTTCATTCAGATGTTCACTATGTCCACTTACTTTCTTTAAAAATGAGTCAACCTTAGGAACACAGGTGCCACTGTCTGTGATCACAGAGTTACACTAATACAGACTTCAGGTGAATCAAAGGAAAAAGCCAGAACATGGGAAACTAGGTGGACAGAACTCAGTGTCACGCCTGCTACACGCTACACGACACAACCCACACTCTGCAAAGCTGAGCTGCCAGGGTTCCGGTTCCAGCTCTGCCGCCTGAAGCACCCGGTGTCGCGGCAAGCCCCGAATGCGCGCGCAGGGCGGGGAGCTGCCGACCGCCCAGGGCAGGTGCCTACCTTGGTGGCGGAGTCCACGGCCGAGCCCCTGCCCAGCAGCTCCTGCACCAGCCCCACGTGCCCCTCCTTGGCCGCCAGGTGGAGCGCGTTGAGTCCATTCTGCGGGAGAAGAAACGAGGTCTCAGCGTTGAGAGCGAGGCAGGGATGGGGTGGCCCTGAGCACCGGGACGGCTCGAGGTGGACCGGCTCTGGTCTCCCGCAGCCCCTTTCTTTCTGCATCAGCTTGAAGCTATTATGTTCGGAGAGACTGATTTCCAGGGGTTTTGGTTCAGAGAGGCAGAGGGGTTCGGAGGGAGAGGCAAAGCACACATGGCATGGTTTCTGTCCCCCAAGAGCCCCAGCAGTTTATCACTAAACCCCTGACGATCGCCTGTTCACTGGCACACGCCTGTCTGTGGCCGTTCTCCAGCCTCTGGCTTCTCTACTCTGCAACCTGACATGTTCGGGGCCTCCCGTCTGTCTGGCCCGGGTGAGAAAAGCACCCCCGACTTACACGACCTCCTCGGTTGTGCTAAATGTAAACACTTGGGCGGAGGCGACTGCAATGCAGGAATTCCCAGAAAACATCAGAAGGTAGAGAGTGAACACGCATCAAACCACAGCAAGAGACAAGAAGGAGGGACACCAGCCACTGGCCTCCCCCTCCCCCTGGGCGCCTGCGTCACCTCAGCCAGGAGGCGGTGGAGAGAGGGACACAGGTCATCGTGAAACTCTACCATGGGTTCACTCTGCCATTAGCGTGAAAGACCTGTTGGGAAACATCTGCACAACTGAGGGGAAAGTGCAACCGCAAAACGGGAGCAACCGATGGGCAGCCAGACCCCAGGCGCAGGGCCCGCTCCGGTGCCAACCGCGGGCCCTGTGCACCTCCCCCGTCGCCCACGGCGGCCGGTCTGAACGCAGAGCAGGCGCCGAGGTGGAACCAAGGGCTCGTCCGTGCAAGACCAGGACCCACAAAGCGAACAGCGCGGCGTCTTCGTCAGACACAGTTTAACCAGTTTCACCGCGTCTTCGGCTGCAGTTCCCGCAGGTGTCTGATGCGGAAGCAGGGCATCGGTGGCACATCTCGGAACACGACGCAGAATGAAGCGGAAAGCTGCACTGCGGGTGGGAGGCGCTGACTTTGTCGTTTATCTTCTGGTGGAAATCCCATCTATACTCGTGCACACATGCACTCGTGTCTCATGGGCACACGTGTGTGAACACGTGTCTGTGGGTGAAACGTGGGCACCTCTGGGGGTGGGGAGAACGTGCACGCGTGCTCTGGGTTGCAGAAAACACTAAGGCCAGTCAGGTGAGACCCCAGATGTGGGCCCTGCAGAAACCTGACATCCCCTCAGGTCAGATAAGTGACAGGGATGCTCCCAAAAATCATTCTAAGAGAGGAATGGACTTCACGGCGCGACTGTTTCAGTTTTCTGGACTCGATCCCATTTCGGGCGGCTGCTGTGACTCAAACTGCAGGGGAGGTGACGGGATGGACAGCTCTTCACTCCGATGACCTTTCCTAGACCCTGGGTGGCCTCCGCCTGCCCCACTCCAGGAGGATTTTGGATCCGGTTCCCACCCCTTCCTCCAGCGGATAAAGGTGATTTTCCCAGCTCTCCAGCCTGTGAGGTGCCCACTTCTCAGCGGATGGTTTTCTCCCTTTCCCACCTCATCCACTCACTTCCGTGGCTGGACTGGAGACCTGGTCACTTTCCAAAACGTGACCTCCCTCCAGGACCTCACTGTTCAATGTGCCGCCTGTCACCCGCCACTTGCTCTCCCACACACCCGCTGGCCCACCTGCACGGTCCTGCCGCCCCACCGGGAGCCCACTCATCTCCCGCTCCACAGACCTTCCCTGTGGGAGCTGCACCTCATGGCCTCCCCTGCGCCGCATGCCCCCGGCCGGCCTTCTCGGGCCCAGCCAACCCAGAGTTCTGGTCCCGAGGAGCTAACTCCAGGGGACCCGCGGGCACGTGTCTGCTGAAGAGCTCGTGTGGCAGCGGGTCACACCCCTTGGGACCCAGCGCTGCCTGGGGCCACACTGCTACCTGAGCCAAGCTTGCCCACACCCCCAGCCTCCGCCACCCTCTCCGCCTTCATGCTCAGCACATGACCTTAACTCACAGTCGATGAAAAACAGCGACTAGAGCTCCCCTGCAGCCCCTGCACAGCACCCACCACTCCCTGCTCCTCGGCCAGAACTGGCCGGGCTGAGGCTGGGTCACCGCGGGGACCGCACTGGCTGACCTTGGTGAAGGCCTGCCCTACTGAGCACCCTCGCAGCCACCTGGGATGTCCGTGCCCTTACGACTACGGTCTCCGCCCCCCTCCACCCCCAGAAACAGACCCTGGAGACACTGGCTGCTCAGGGCCACGTGGGCAGAGTGGGAATCCGGATTCCGCACCGCGTTTGAGGGGACTCCTGGAAGCGCTCTGTGGCGGAGCCACGGCTGTGCGGGCGGATGATGAAGTCGCTGCTGGGAAAGGCCTGGGAGCGCGGGGACTTCCTGGGCCTTGAAAATGGGGCGCTGGCTGCCTTCTGTCCCTGAGAAAGGAACCACAGGCTCTGGTGGACTGCTGTGCGCCCCAGCACCACCGCAGTGGGGGGGCACGGCCAAGGATGGGACAGGAAAGGACTGCTGACCTTCAGTGTCAAGACTGGGACTGGGCCCGTGAAGGACAATTACTGACACCCTCCCCGCAGCCCCTGGTGGGAGCCACCAAGCGCATCAACACTGACGGTGTTGTCTGCGCCGCGGCAGGATTCCTTGACGCGTGGTAAATTTTTTTACTGAAAAGTTACAAAGTCTATTTTTAATGTCTGGCTGTTACTTTCTTTGTGACGTTATTAGATTATGAATAATCACTAAATAAGAGAAGCATAAATAGATGAGTTTCAGAAACAGGGCAAATGCTGAAATGTATTCTCTTTTCTGAATGTAAAAGGATCATCAGACAAGTAATTTACTCCTTTAATCTCTTAAAGAAAATAAAATTTAACAGATCTGTAACCATTAGGAAAGGAAAAATAAAAACTTGAAGCTTTTTATTAAGCAATATTTCTTGTGCCAAATTTCTGAATTTTTTCCATAGCCTTGAAGTGATTAGAAACCAAATGGTATTTTTGAATTAAACTTCAAAATTCTCATAGTAGTTATGAGGCTACATTATAAAGAAAGAAATTTTCATCCAAATTTCAGCTGGAGGAATCTCGGCACACCCACGCAGGCGCTATTTCGGGAGCGTGGGCAGCCGGGCCGCCTTCCACTGAGAGACCCGACAGGGTGCCCGCATTCGGCTCCCATGTCCCACGTCACGTCACTCCCCGGAAACCCAGGCTCACGAGCAAAACAGAGGGTGACGCTTGTTGGCTTCACCCACGGGGCGCATCAGCTCTGAGCTGTCAGTAGTTAAAAACAGCAGCCCTCCCGGGAAGAGCGGCATCTTGTGCGCTGCTGAGTTTTCCAGTTACTTTCCCTTCTGCAGTTGAGCTGAGGTCAAGTAGCAATCCTGGGGGCGGTGCTCTTGGCCTAGAAGGTCCTCGAAGCCCCTGTCATGCTAATCGAAGGCATTCTGTCCCTATTAGCAATGGTAGATCACAAGTAAGGTCTGAGCTTGAAGATGAAGGATTTGAAGGGCAGGCACACACACCTCAGGAAGAAGATTGTCCCTGGGGGACCACAGACCCGGGGACCCTAGCCAGGGACCCCACTCAGCATCCGTGTTTGTGAACTCAAGGGGACCCCCCGCCCAGCCCCCAATAGGAGAATGAGTCTCCGATTTTGCACAAAGGTCAATTATAATATTTCTGATTCTTGGTGAATTATATATCGTGGTTGCGATTAGAACGTTGTATATACCACAGAAAGGCCTTTCATACATATCTCCTAATTTAATTCACGTTGCGACCCAGTAACGTGAGACTAAATGTACTATTTTATCTTGTGCTAGAGAGTAGAAAACTGTCACTTCCTGAATTGAAGTGCCTGGATGGAGGTGGAGGATGAACTTAACCTTGAGCTCTGGTCTCTGTGTGGTCTCCTGGCCCCATGTCGCCTCCTCATAAAACCAATGTTCTTCCCCTTTATAGCGACAGGCCAGGGAGCAGTTGGCCCCTCTGAGAAAAACATTTAGGCAGCCAGAAACTTTCTCAGGACTCAAAAAGTTGTTGGTCATAAAGCACGCTGAGTACTTACTGCTTAGAAATTATTTTTCTAAAAACACACTAAGATTTTTCATAGAATTAAATATGTTTGTGACACTTTAGGGTGAAGTGGACTTGGTCTGACTGAAGTTGACTTTATTTTCCCTGGGTTCCCTTTTAACGATAATTTTTACCTCGATAAACTGAGAGCTTCATTGCCCATCCTCTAGCATATGGAGAAAGTTAATGAACTGATATTAAAATTTGGGAATGTATTCAATATACTTTTAAAAATCTAAGATAACATTGAAATTATGAACTATTTTATATTCAGCATCATAGGCATTTTTGGAGGTAGTTTACACATCCATACGGACATTTGGATGTTTTTTATCTATTCTAGTCACTAATGTCCCTGAAGTTCACGTTATTTGTCCAAAGGAACAGTGCAAACATATCAAATAAGATTCATAATGGATAATCGATGGGTAAGAGATGCTGACCCAGGACAGGAAGACCCTACGTGTGGGGACAGAGGAACCAGGCCTTTCCCAGGGGCGTCAGGAGCTGCGTGCGACCCGGGGCCCTGTCTGCGTGACGAGGCGAACTGCTGACCGGCTGTGGTTCCGGTGCAGGTCCTGCAGCAGGAAGCAGCCGGGAAGCAGAGACTCGCATCTCCTGGGTCCAAGACAAAGGACTTGACAGCTCACAGCAAGAGCGGCGACTGAGGCCGGTGTCGCCATGGGGCTCCCACCAGCTGGTGTCCCCCTCTGGGCCCACGGAGTGACGCATGGCCAGCAATGGGGCCTGTGCGCCATCAAAGACGAAGGCCTGCTGCTCACTTAGACCAGCCTGGACTCTCAAGTCCCAGGTGTGCGTGTGTGCACACACAAACGTGCCACGAACACTTTGCACGGTCCGAGAAGTACAGGTGCACACCAGACACCTAAATCCACGGCACGAAAACCTCAGCCTAAAACAGCAGGACACTCTCAACATCTCGGGACCAAGTGGCATCCAAAGCTCAGGTGTCTGCTGAAAGCCCTAATCAGGAGGATGTGCAGAATAAAAATCCAAAGAGGTCACTGCACCGATGCTTCCAACTCTTCTCGCTCTATCTGTGTTTTAAAACAATTACAGGGGAAAGGGAAAACTTTTAAAAGTTCTACCCTCTTGTTTCTCCATTACCCAGTAAAATGCCCAGTTCCTGTGGGTAAGAGTCTGCAGCAGAGAGAAGCCAGAGTCCAGCTGACCGCTTGGTGCCCCACGAGCTGCAGAATATCGGGCTCGGCCAACAGACACTCCAGCTCCGGGCGGCCAGGTCACGTCACAGACAGAACTACACCCAACTGCCTCCTCTGATCTGGTTTCTCAGCAGTAACAGCTCCAGACACACATGTCTGAGGCCTCGGAAGGAGGAAGAAGGCGAGAAAACAGGACTTTCGCAGTGTGGGTCACGGACACTGTAGTAAATTCAGTTAAGCACCAATGGCCTGGGGCTGCTGGCTGTCCGTGCAGATGGTGCCCGTCCCCGCCGCCCCCCGGGGCCCGCAGCACTCCTACCTGGTTGCAGGTGTTGATGTCGATGCCTCCCTTCAGGTACTCCACGACCTTGTCCAGATTGCCGGCTCGGGCCGCGCGGAGGAAGCTGGCATTGCTGTCCGACTGTGGGAAAAGAGGAGATGTTGCGTGAACGGCAGACAAGATCGAAGCACAGCCCCGACAGCCTGAAGCTGGGAAGGCGGCCGGGGCACAGCGTCAGCTCTGAGCTCCCAACGCCCAACAGCACTGCCCGGGGCAGGGCGGCCAGGTCACGGCGTTTCTGCTGAGGGAGCTAAAGGTCCATGGGAGCTGCGCTCTGCTCTACCAGAGGGTAAATAACTGTGAAAATCACTGTGCCATTGGAACACGAATTTACCCCCAAACGCACTGCTACCGCTCACTTCAGTTCCAGGCTGCCGGTGACTTTATACTGAAGCAAATATGAAGACAAAAGGAATCAGGAAACTGAAAGAAATCAGAACCACTGGGTTTCTTCCTTCTCTGCTTTACTGTTTGTTTTTCAGACGAGTCTGGGTGTGGTCCCCAGGCCGTCACCTGTGCTCACCACAAGGGACCCAAGGCTCCAAAGGGCTCCCGGAGAGAGGACGGCATTCAGAGCTGCGGCCTGGGCCAGGCCCCCAGTGACGTGGGGAAGCGAGACTGAATTTAGGCTGACGTAGTACCAGAGGACCTGCTCTCCGTACAGACGGTCACTGCTGACAGAAAGAGGCTGCTCCGTCGTCCCCGTCGTCCCCACGCGCCTCCCAGAGTCTCGTCTGGGAGGGTGAGCTGAGTTTCCCCCCAAGGTGCCCTGGGGAGAGGCCCCCCAAAACCGGCCGCAGCCCCGCTCTCGGGCCTGCTCTCCAACCTGTGTGCCCAGCAGCGACAAACTGCTGCCGGAAGCCGAGACCCTCACGTCTCTTGTAATTCCCACAGCCTCCTTCCCAAAGACGGGAGCAGGGGACCTGGAAGGAACATCACAACCCACAGAGGAGACACGCCCGTGTGACTACCGCTAACCCAGCGCTGCCCTCCGACCCCGGATGACAGTCTAGGCACGGGCACCGGGTTCCCTCGCTCAGGCCTACTGGAGACGGCAGTGACGGGGACAGAGGGCGTCCCCACCGAGGGGCCGTCGGCTCACATGACTCACACGTGGGAGGGACAAACACCCCAGGCCTGAACCCGCTCACGTTTGACCAAACTCCACACGGCTTCTGAGTCCACGAGTCACAGAGCAACTGACCCCGGGGAGCGAGAGGCCGATGGAGCCTCTGGGTGTCTGCAGTCAGACGGGCTCTGGGCAGCCCCGCGAGGCTGCGGTGACCAGATGGTGGCTCGTCCACAGAGGTCCACCCTATGAAGTTACTGCACGGTCTGTGGCACCTTCTAAACTCCTGGAAGATTCTCTACCTTCAGGTTTTGGCCACGGCCCTTAAAAGTGAAACATGAAACTGTGTGCATCCCGTGAACGCCTCACAAGAAACATTATTTGCACAAAAACAGCAAAAACTAGTATTACAAGGTCACAGACAGAAAGTATGATGATATTATTTCCTATACATAGTTTTTAAAAATAAACCTATGTGCTATATATAAATGTCTAACCACTGTGGTTATATATACTGTACAATATTCTGTATCAACTATAGTTTAAAAACAAATTTTAAAGCGTTTTAAAAGAAGGCAGTGCCCAGAAGGCATTCCTTACACCTCGAGCCTGAGGCTCAGCCATCACAGGACACCTTCGCTGCCTGCTTGCTGGGCGGGCGTCCGGCACGCCGGGTCACGCAGACTCTCAGGGACACGAGGAGGCAGGGACATTGTGATAACGTTGCCATTGCACAGGTGGGAAGGGGCTGGGAGTGTCTGGACCACATGGTTACATGGTGGGACACCCACAGTTCAACTCCTGGTTCCCGGTCTCGGGGCACCAAAGCCGTGCTAACCCGGACCCTGCCCTGTGGGCTTCGGGTTTGCTGCGTGTGTGTGAGCACAGTCACCCCCGTCCACACGTTCGCTCTGAATCCCAGCGTCCGCCACACGGAGGGAGCTCCCAGCGCCTCCGCTGGAGGGAGAGCTCTTGGCTGGGCCCCTGTCCTCGCCTCCACTGGCCACCGTGCTCCTGAAACACACGGCCCTCACAGGACGAGGCCGTAGAGGGCCCACCGCACAGAAGCCTGGAACCGTCTCCCGCCGCACGTTAAACTCCGTCTGTGACCCCCGGACAGGTCCACGCCCGGACAGGCCCACACCCAGGCCAGGCAGAGCCTGCGGAGTGAACTCACCTGTGGACGCCACTGTGGAGGCTGGGGGGCGCCCTACAGGCCCCCGGAACCTTCTCCAGGGGGCGTTTTGCTATTGCATACTACCAAGTTTTCTTAATAACAGCTTTTCTCTGTTCTGAGTCAAATTTCTAAAAGGCAGGAGCAAGTCAAAGGCTTGTAGCCAGCCCAGGAATTTCAGCAAACAGTGTCCCCCGAGTCCCAGAGGGGCAGGACCTGACGGCCAACGTCCCTGCCAGGGGCCTGGTCACAGCTGAGGCTTCACGGGCTCCGCTTTAACGTGGACTCTTCCGGAACACTGCTGAGAGATTTCGATTTCCCACAGCGAGAAAATGCACATTGCAAATGTAAGTGTGGAAAAATGAATGCATTATGAAATGGTCCCAGAACACAGATTTCAAGAACAAAATTAACGTGAGGCTTCAAAGGTCTCGGGCAGATGTCCACGGTCGGAAGGGAAGAGCGGTTCCCACCCTGCAGGGCACACGCCCTCGGCTCTGCAACCGGGTCAATCCCAGATCAGGGCACTCCGCCCGCAGCTCGGGATAAGCGGGCGTCCGTCTGGTGGCCCTCACTCAACGCAGAGTCGGAAGCGGATTTGGGGACCAGGGGACAGACACAGCCATTTCTGCCACGCTGCTTCCCACTGAGAGGACAGAAGGAAGAAGTTTCGAGTTAAGCGTCCATAAGGAAAGTGCGCTTCCCCAGCAGACAGGTGTCTGCGGGCTCCGACGGGGCGCTGCCCACGAAAGCTGGACACGGAGAAACGAGGCAACAGCGGCTTCACAGGAGAGTCCTGGACAAATGCCAGAGCGGCTCTGCCCCTGTGCTGCCCGTGTTCCCAGGATCACAAACCCTCGGACGTCCGTCCTCGCACCCACGGAGTCTGACTGTGCCGAGAATTCACATGTCCCGCATGTGAAGCACCAGCCCCACATGTTTTAATTGGCCACGAAGCACTTCCCGACTCTTGTCCCTTCACAGCCCCAGGGGCACCTTGGGCCAAGAAAGAAAACCTCTCTCTTAAACTCTCCTCAGCGTAACTCTGTGTGTTTTCATATCTGAACCCCCGCAGGGCGGAGTCCAGAGCCACACTGTCCCGGGGAGCACGGGGCACAGCCTGGGCTCCGAGGATCCGGCTATAGGACGGTAAAGGCCTGTGCTCCCGGGCCAGCAACAACCTAACGAGGACAATGAGAGCGTGCTCCTGTCGTGCCGCTGGCGAGCCTCTGAGCACGACCGCGACACGCAGGCACGGGCCTCAGCGCCAGTACTCGGTGCACGACAAGCAGAGGCGGCAAAGGGACGCACGACACACGTGGTTCCGCCACGGTGCAGACAGCGATCAGAACGCCGTCCCCGAGCACAGCAGGCCAGGCCGGGCCTGCCGGACCAGGAGCCTCAGCGCGTGTCTCCCTCTCTCCCGCCGACACGCCCAGGGGCGAGGGGGAGAGAGACGCTGGGAGAGAACCAGAGAGGGGCCTTCTGAAGCCTGAGCGAACCTACCCTTCCCTGACCAAACCCTCCGGTTCCCCGCTGCTGCCGGAGGGAGACCCACAGCCTCTCCCAGCCCCACCCGCTCAGGGGGACCCGAACTCCTGCCCAGGCCCCGAGCTGCCTCCCAGGCCCCACGTCTCCCACACTCATCTCTGTCCCTCGGCACCTGTCCTCTGTCCCCGGAACAACCCACACGGGTCCCCAGCAGGCCGCTGCGGCCCTTGCACAGGCACAAGCCGGCTGTCATCACCAGCGTGCAGAGCCGGCCCGCGAGCCGAGGGCTGCCGACTCTCTTGCCGCATCCCACACAGCGGCACACTCGGGCCGGCTCTGCAGGCCTCCACGGCCCACTGCGCGGGGCCAATGTCACGAGGAGAATCACAGGACAACGCAAAGGCTGACGGAAGGAAAATGAAATCCTTTACTGAAACTGGGGGGAAATGTCAATGCGAACGAATGCGAAAATAAAGATTCCTGGTAACTGCTGAAGAGAGGAGGACGTAAAAATTAACCGTAAGTAGACAGGTCACCTAACGCTGTCTGTGCTGAAGAATCGCCTTTTCGGCTTTGCTCTTGGACGCAGCGAATGGGCCTGGCAAAGAAACCACAGTAAAAACACGTGACCCGATGCCAGAGAAACACAGAGTGCGTTTAGACCAACGTGCAAATCTACAAGTGGTGTCAGACCAGAAATACAGCCGAGGAGAAGACTGTGAATGGCCACGCGTTCCCCACGCGCTCAACCAGAGCCAGGCTTGGAGGCCACGCCCGGGACTCACGGACCCCGCGGGCTGTGCGGACACACGTCCCCCACCCAGCGACCCCGGGACCAGGGCAAGGTCTGCAGGGCGTCTCTGGAGCTGCCCGCTCCTCCGCGAGCGGGGAGGCCCCCGCACCGGCAGGAGGGAAAGGAAGCGGGTCTGCAGGTGAGCGGCCCCGGGGAGGGCAGCAGGGAAGTCTGCACCCACCCGGGACAGCAGGGCGTGTTCCCAGTACAATTTAGGAACAGCCGGGTCTTGTCCCCACCCCGTGCTGCCCCCGGGCTCCCTGTGGGGACGTCGGCCCGACTGCGCTGTCACAGATTCCGGTCCTTCACGGACTATCGTGAGAGGCAGCCACGCGCAGAAGAACACCCGCCCCCCCTGTCACCTCAGATTTATGCTTCCCCGTGAGTTTATTTCCGATTACGAATAAAACTGGAAAATTCATTTACCTGAAACTTGGGGCCTAACAACAAACTCTAAAAGCCATTTCTAAGTTTAATTCCAGAAGAAGAAAATGTCAAAAAAAACCCTGTTTCTGCTTTTCCCCTCAAAGACTATTATAAAATATAAGTTCCAA